TAATATATATATATATATATATATATAATATATTGTAGTATATATTACTTATTTATTTAATATATTAATATACATTAATATGTTAAATATAAATGTAATTTTTTTCTTTAATATATTAATATATATGAAATAAATAAATAATAGAGATATATATAATAATGATCTTGATATAAATCTATATAATAATGATCTTAAATAACACATTCCTTTATCAAGATCTAATAAGTGTGAAAGTATCGTATAAACAAATTTTAAAATTAATGAATCTAAATTTACCTACAAAAATGATCTTCTACTTCCATGATAATTCCATGATAATTCCATGATAATACGATTCGATTGTCAACACTGAGCTCCCCGTCAGCTGAATTCCGACAATAAATCAGTCATGCTCAACTAATCATTAAATACTGACTGACCTATATTGCTAAATATCACGATTCGAAAGCTCTCGCACGTTTTATTTACATATGCGTAGGTTGAGCTCATTTTCGAATTAATAATTGTAGAAATATCGCATTTATAAAAGTTATAATTTAATTATATAAATTATTTATGTTACATAAATCATAAAGTGAATTATTTATAATTTATTTATATGATTTGTAATTTATTTATAATATCGACGATACATTTTCCACACCCTCGCACAAAATTACGGTATTATTCCAGATATTATTATCAAGTCACGTCATTTTGCGAAACAAGTTCTTTGAATGTAAACGGATGAAAGGTCGGCCCTCTAATTGTCTCCTGCCAGTCGCTAATTACTGATAAGGCTGTGATAGGAATGCATTGTGTATGCTGCAGCATCGCGCAGTATCCCCTGTCGCATAGTTAATTGCAGTAGACGAGCGGTCTGTATTCGATCGTGCGTTATTACGGGAAATTTCGATAGCCTATATATTTGCGGTATATATAATACAAAGTAGAATTAACCGGAAATTTCATTTAAACTATCAATCACGTGCGAATTAAATAATACCTCGAATAATATATATGTAAATTTATAATATCTCAATTAATATTCGTACATATGTAACTTTTAATTTATATAATATGTGTAACTTTTAATATATGTAATATATGTAACTTTAAGCATTTAGTTTCATATAATGAAAATATATGAATAAATAATAAATGATAAAATATATGATGAAAAAAATTCCATAGTTTTTAGAAAATAGAAATCAAATTTTTGGCATAATACAAAATATTAATAATAATAATGCAAAAAGTAGAATTACCCAGAAATTTTATTTAAATTATCAATCACATATGAATTAAAAATTAAATAATTTAAAAAATTTTTTAAGTAGTCAAATAATATGTATTTAAATTTCATAACTTTTAATATACCTTTAATGCTGGAGCATTTAGTTTAATATGATAAAAAATTCCATAAAGTTTTTATAAAATAGAAATCAAATTTTTGGCATAATATAAAATAAAAGTAATAATGCAAAAAGTACGATTACCCAAAAATTTTATTAAAATTATCAATCACGTATAAATTAAATAATACGTCAAATAATATATATATATATATATATATATATATATATATATTATATGTCTATATCTCAATAAATATACATTCATAATTTTTAATATATCTTTAATGTGAGAGAATTTAGTTTAATATAATAAAAAAATTTAATAAAATTTTTATAAAATAAAAATCAAATTTTTAGCGTAATGCAAAAAATATGAAATATTTAAATTATCAGTCATACGTATATAAAAAATGTTTATTATATATAATATTTAACATACCTAATATATGAGAGAATTTAGTTTAATATGATAAAGTTTAATGAAATAGAAATCACAGATAGGACATAAAATGATGAACAATAAATAATAAGCTTTAATTTCCACTCGATTATTTATAAATGTCATCATGTCGCGATCTTTTCGAGGGTGGTTAAATTGTTATTTTAGAGGAGGGAGGGATAACATCTGCCGATCTAATTATCCGACGTGAGTTTCTAATTACCGATCGTGTCGCGATAACGATCGATCCTTACATATAGTACTTAGCCATTGCGGTTGTAACATGCTAGTTACAAGCTCCTTCGGTAACCGATACGATCCTGCAACACTATCCACGATAACGCTACTTCGGAATAACAATAATAAAAGGGGATTGTATTTCTCTTTAAAAAGAAAGGTCGCTTCTGTAGAAAATTGGCTGGATATAATCCGGAAACACTTTGTTTTCTGATCATTCTAAACAGAGATTCAATTAACTTTTATTGAAGATAAACACCAAGAAAATACTTGCTTTTTTATTTTATTTTTTAATTTATATTTTATTTTTTAAGTTTAAATTTTTTATTTTATTTATATTTTTATTTATTTATTTTATTTATGTATTTATTTATATTATATTTCGTTTATATTTTTATTTATTTATACTTTATATTTATTTATACTTTATGTAAGTTTGTTTTTTATTAATCTATGCACTTTTCATTATATCTTTGCTATTTTGCATTTCCCTGTCTCTTTTGTATACTAAAATAGCAATTTAATCATCTTTACGCTCGTGAAAATTTTTGTTTTAATAATTAAAGTAGAAAGTTTCTTCTCTTTTATTGACTGACTATATATTAAGTATACCTTTTAATGTAGGCTCTTAGACTTTGCAATCTTCTATAATGCACATTAATTTAAAATCGATGTAAAGAACAACTTCTTCTTTAATCGACAAATATGTATAATTTTAAAAATACACTCTTGTAAATATATATATTTTTATTTGTAAGAATAAATATTTATAATAACATTATGTATAATAAAATAAATATTTTATTATCAAATAATTAGAATCAGTAAAAAAGAGAAAAAATTCAAACAAGAGACTATCAATAAATACAAGAAAGGTACACCATATTATATTTATCACAATTAAAACTACTTGAATCAAAAATTTTTCTCGAATAAATTAAATGAGTGAATTATATGATAAAAAAGTTCCGCTAAATTATATAAGCGTAAATAAATATAATATGGAGTTTCCGATTAATTATATCAATAATTACGTTTATATATTCACGATTTGAGGCAGATGGTTGAGATTAAAGTAAGAAGCACAAAATTGACGTTGATGGGGAAGTAGGCATAGTCAATTAAAATTAATTAATATGTACCTTTACCTTGTCTTACGTATTTTCTCTCCGCCATTTCTGATCGATGCTACAATATACGCTTGTATTAATGCATCTATATATCTCCCTTCTAGCAATGAATTTCTTATCGATCTCTCTTTACGACCTTACCACGCTCATTTGACGCGATCTTACGAGCTACTGGGTAGCTTCTGTATCGAGAAGCTGTAAATTATGAAAATCACATCAACCGCCTTCCCTTTTTATTCGTATAACGCGATTAACTGCGTTGAAACAACATTTCTCCGAGCTTTCCAATAATTTTCTTAAACGAGAATATATATTATTTTCTCTTGTTTCCATTTCAATTCAAGTATCGATTCAGTGTTATATTCGATTCGTCAATATCGAAATGTCAATTAAAGAATTGGCACAAATATTACGTATATATATTTTAATAATATATAATATATATATATAATATATATAATAATATATAATATATTATATAATAATATATAATATATAATATATTATATAATAATATATAATATATAATAATATAGAATAATATATAATATATATTATAATAATATATATATAAAATATATATTATATTTAATAACATATTTTATAATATATAATATATATTATATTTAATAATATATTTAATAATATATAATATATAAATATATACCTTTTATTTCTTTCTCTCCCGCGAAAAGATTATATCGATTAATTATGTACGATGTGGAGAGAAGGAGAAAACGATTATCCATAAATACGTAGAATTTTCTCTCTTTCCCCTTTTTCGCAAAAATTAGAATTTTATCGATCCCCGGACTCTATGGGGGACATTTTCCAAACATCTCTCTCTCTCTCTCTCTTTCTTTCGAACGTGTAGGAGTTTATTTTTCTTCGCGACATTGACCATTAAAACAAAGACCTCGCCACTAAAGCCTGCTATTACATAGGTCGATGACTCCAAGGCCGAAATAGAAAATAGAAACAGTAAGACGGAGAAAGAAGGAGAGAGAGTACCAATTTTCCCTCCTTTTCTTCGTAATAGCGATCGATAATTGCACTTGATTACCCTCCTGTCGACTTTTCACCTTTTCCTCAATTGGTTCAGGTTTCCCAATCACATATTTTTTTGACACATTGCACAGAAACAATTTATTTACGTCAGCTGTCAGCAGTGTTTGCTGTTATCTAAATAAAATTATATAGATAAAACTTTGGCGTCATTTTATTTTTATATAGATAAGAAAAATGTGTATTAAAAAATTTTAGAAAATCATAGCACATAAAAATATTTAAATAGTAGAACTTAAGCAGTAAGCGATAAAAATGTATAAATATATTTTTATATTTTTTTTATATTTTTTTTATAATTTTTTATAACTGTGTTTACATAAGCAGTCTTAAAAATTATTATCTAGAAAATTATCTAGATGAATCGCCATATAATTTACCTCGATATATATCTAGATAAAATTATATATGACGATTCATCTAGATAATTTCTTAGACAATAATTTTTAAGACTGCTTATGTAAACACAGTTTTTAATAATGTAAATATACCTAGATAAAATTATATATGACGATTTATCTAGATAATTTTCTAGATAATAATTTTTAACTTTTTCCAGATCATTATTTTTCAATATTTAAAATAAAATCATCTTCATTTAATCTAAGCTAAATTTATATATTTTCATCTCATCTTTATCTAACTAGTTTAAAAATTATCTAATTTCCGGATACGAAGGAAGCCCCTGCTTTGTTTTGAAGCAAAAATTCTTGTCACACACATTCAAAGTCGCGTTCGTTCGTCGACAGAAGGGTTAATCTCATAATTCATCAGGGATTATCGTTACGTCACTCACTCTGTCTGATTATCCTCGAAGGTCAGGTTGCCCTCGATGTGCATGTACTGTTTGCCCGGCTTCGCGGTGCCCTCCACGGTGCGATAGGGGATGACGACGCGACCACGGGCCCCGCTGTAGCGCACCACCCGCAGAGGATACTGCCCCACGCTCTCCACCAGCTCCACGTCTCTCTCCGGGAAGCCGAAGATACCGCTGTGGTCGTCGTCCAGGATCATCACCGTCGCCAGACTCGGCGAGACGAGCATCGCCGGCTGCGATACGTTGCTGAGCCTGCAGGCAAAAGGTAAGGATGCTCATTCTTTTACGTCAAATTGTTTATGTGAAAAATTATATGTAAATATTTTTTAAAAAGGAAATTTAATTACTTTTAATTATTTAATTAATTCATTAAATATAAATATAATATAAATATAAATATAAAAATAAATATAAAAAATAATGATATATTATTTAAATATTATATTTTATTATATAAATATGTGTGTGAAATATTTAACATTTTTTATTTAAAAAAATTTTTTTGATTTTTTTCAACATTTCCAGACAAAATCGAGATGTATGCACTATTTATGATCGATCATGAAAATAAGAAACTTAAAAAAATTAAGAAAGAAGAAAATAAAAAACGAGGGAAAATTTAATTATGCCCCCTCCTGTAAAAATATCCTGCGTGATCATTAGTGACATTTGATATTAGAATTAATTGACACATCTTCTGCATCAATCAATACAAATGACATTCGGGAAGATTTCCTCTCTCGAGATTTTCAAATTGACAAGCTTCTGTAATTTGTGTCGAATGTCACATCGGATCTCTTTTATTTTCTATCTAAAAATGTCATGCTGCGCAGAATACCTTAATCAAGTTTGCAGGTAAGCTAGTCTATAATTTCGCCGTGTGAATATTCGTCATTTACAAGAGATTTCTTCGAAGATGTTATTTTTATCGCTTGACCTCCTTTGATATCTTTTTACAAGGATCCCTCTCTTACATTGCTTTTTTTATTTTTATTTAAATTCTTCGATCTTACCGTCAAAAAATTTAAACAAAATTTTCTCAACACATCTCGGTCGTAGAATATTATTTTATCACAAAAATTTATATTATTTCGAATTTTAATTACTTTTATATAATAATATCGTGAGATATTAAAATTATTTAATTTCAAATTATTATATTAAAAACTCATCAGCTTGTATATAAAACAATAATTAAACATTTTAATCTGTCGCAAAGATAACATTAATGTAATTACTTCGTTCAATAATTATCTCTCCGCGCAATTACATTTTTTCTCAATATATTTTATATTTCTCGATATTATATTTTTCTTCTATTAAATTTGTAGAAATAAAACATTTCTACAAATTTCTTACACGACAGAGAATTGAATAATATACATTTTGACGTTAAAATAATTTGCGCACACGCGAGATGAAATTATAAATGACATAATATAATCTACAGATTCTATGTGTGTGTGTGTGTGTGCGTGTGTGCATAAAGATTATTAAATAACAATAGTTTTCTTTTCGACCCACATAAAATATAATCAAAGCGATACTTTGTTAGGATAATCGACATCCTTCGTGCGCAATTTTCGTTGATCTCTCTTACAAGTCGAATTATACACGTAAGTGCATGTATACGTGTGTGTGCGCGCATTTTACTTATAGATTTAATTGCGCATGCATGCGGTTTTCACGATGCAATCTAACATGCGAGGTTACGTTGGAGAAATAACAGAAAATATCAGGTCAGCCGAGACTAGACCAATAATAACACGAGCCCACAATTTACGATCGTGGCGTGAAATAAAAGAGTCTGGCTCGTTCTTTAATTGCACTTTTTGTTTCCGAAGGCGAAACGTATATATATATACATATATATATTATACTTTCCCACGATTAAAATACATATAGAAACAAAGCGCGAAGCTACCGATTTTATGTTAAAAACAAAAAATTTTTATTTTGTTAAACAAAATTTTTTGTAAAACAAAACCGAAAGTTTTTTGTAAAACAAAACCGGAAAGCTTTTTGTAAAACAAAATTTTTTTACATAAAAACGCTTTTGGTTTTGTTTCACAAAAACTTGTTTAACAAAATAAAAATTTTTTGTTTTTAACATAAAATTGATAGCTTCGCGCTTTGTTTCTATATGTATTTTAATTGTGGAAAAATATAATTATCATTTATCTTTCTCTCTCCGAGAAGGCGCGACGAGTCCCGAAAAAGGGAATGAAAAAAATAAATGACATGTAATGAATGACTAAAGTCGGTACATGCAACACCTAATTGTTCTTTATTATATCTGTCTGGGAATGTGTTTTTGTGACGCAATAATCGGGCTCACGGATTTCTTCCCACGTAAAGCAGGCTTACTACTGGTTATAATTGTTCACTTATGACATCATCATAATAAGTCAATGTTAACGAGCAATTTACTTGAAAAAAATTTTTAACGCATTAAAAGCGACAAATTTATACGAATTATTAATATAAATATTATATACAATTATATATAAATATTTAAAAAATTTGAATTAAATATATAAGCACATAAATATATTATTATATATTATTTAATATAATATTATTATATATAATTATGTATATATTATATATAAAAATAATATTATATTATAATAATATATTACATAACATTATATTATATAATATTAAAATATAAAAATTTTATATATAAAATAAAACATAGACGGTATTAAATATGTTAATTGCATTAATTATCAAATTAATCTAATATGATAATTAGACGCATATGCATATATATTATGCGGTTAAATAAGAATTAAGAATTCTCGAATTTATCAATTTTCTCATAAATTTATTTCGAACACCTTATTTGGAACGTGTGTGTCGAATAGAAAGCTGGTAGTAGCAGCTTAAATTGCACAAAGAAGAATGGCCAGGTTAACCACTTCTAACGTCCTTGATTAAATCGAACTGTTAGCAACTTATCCAGATGAAATTGCGGATGCCGTTCGTTCGAAATGAATTGAATGATTGCCTCTTTGGTGCTAATCAATGATTCGCGATCACGAAGCGCGCTTTAAGAACCACGCCTCTTTCGCGAAGGAACTTGAAGTATCTTTCAATGGCAGAATCTATCTAGACGTATCTAGATGATATCATATTAGAGGGCTCAATTATGCAAATGCTCCACAAACGATCGTCCGGGCAATATTAATTCGGGGGGTTAATATCAATAATTCTGTAATAATTATGAGTGCTTTCGAAAATGAAATTCTCCGATTAAAGCAAGCGATATATAATGACGATTTATTCTCCATTTAATCTTAGATGAAATTTATTAAAGGAAAATGCATATAGAACAAAAAAATTAATTTTTTCATTTAACAAAAATTGTTTTTGATCGAAAGCTTTTTGTTTTACAAAATTTTTTGTAAAACAAAACCGAAAGCTTTTTGTAAAACAAATTTTTTTTACAAAAAGAAGCTTTCGGTTTTGTTTCACAAAAAAAATTTGTTTTACAAAAAGCTTTCAGTTTTGTTTCACAAAAAATTTTGTTTAACAAAATTAATTTTTTTTTTGTTTTTTTTTTGTTTTTAACATAAAATCGGTAGTTTCGCGCTTTGTTTCTATATGTATTTTAATCGTGAAAAAAATATAATTATCATTCTATTCAGCCAATAAAAAGAAAAGGGTGCGCAAAAATGATATTTAATCGATAAAACAGGACGATGAAATTCACCTGACGTAGAAATGCTCGTCCTCTTCGAACAGCTCGTCGTCGATGACCGAAAGCTTGATCGTCTTCTTGGTCTCGCCGGGCTCGAAGGTCAGGGTGCCCTTGGCGCTAACGTAGTCGGAACCCGCCTCGGCGGAGCCGTCCTCCGTGCAATAATCCACGCTGCAGACCTTATTAAGGTCGCCCCCGGCCCTGGTGACTCCCACCTCGAAGGTCCCGACGTTCTCCATCACCGTGTAGTGGCCAGGCTCGAAGAACACTCTCGTGGCATTGACGTTCTCGATGTCGACGCTCTCGGCCTCCGCCTTCTGCAGCTCGGCCTTGACCTCGCTGAGGTCGCTCTGCGCCCTTTCGCTGATCTTCCTGCTGAGGTTGCCCGCGCCCACCATCTTCCTCGTAGCCTGCACCCGGTAGAAGGCCCGGCTCTTCGGGCCCTTGCCCAGCACCTCCTCATGAGCCATAACCTCGAGTTGCTCCAGGGGTAGAATCGGATACTTCTTCCGCAGCTCCTTCAGAGTATTGATGTAGTCTCTTCGCGTTTGCTCGAACTCCTTCGCTTCGGGGGAGTCGATGTCGGCCAGGCGGTCCATCATGCCGTGGAGACCATCTTGCTGCGGCTTGATCTCCAGCTCCACTCCTATCTCGGAATCTCCGGCCTCCGCCTGCACGATCACACCCCGCTTGTTCATCCGGTAGCCCTTGTGCAGGTACTTGTAGATGAGCAATCGACGATCAGCGACCCAGGCAGTCAGCACGGTGGCCGGGAAGAAGAGGAAGGTCAGGATACCCTCCCAGATCTCGAGCACACCCGGACTGGAGACCGCGAGGATGATGTACAGCCAGACGTAGGCGAAGATGCTCCAGGTCGCGGTGACGAAGAAGACGCGGAGGTGCTTGATCTTCCGGGTCTCGCCGTTCGGGATCACGAACACGCACAGGGAAATGATGACAAAGAGGTTGTAGGCGGCGGAGCCGACGATCGTTCCCGGGCCGAGTTCGCCGGCCTGGAAGTTCTTCGCCCAGATCTCGATGATGGACAGCAAAATCTCGGGCGCGCTGCTACCGAGCGCCATCAGGGTTAAATTCGCCACCGTCTCGTTCCAAACTCGGACTATCACGATCTGGGGCTCTCTACCGTGACGGCGCACCACCAGCTCCTTCTCCTTGGACGTGATCACCTCGATAGCGGCCATGAAGCGGTCGCTGATGATCGAGACGCCGATGAACAGGTATAACAGCAGGAAGAAGTACACCAGGCCCCGGAAGACGATCTCGATCAGGTATAGGTTCTCCTCCGGGCGCCAGAGGGGTATCATCAGACCCGGCTCGCACTTCACCGAGTAATTCCCGGGCATGTTGGAAAATCGCGATTGGATCCTCTAGTAACTCGATTGTCGTCTCCACGGGAATACAAATCCGCCGGGAGTCTCGTTCTTCATTCAGAGCGGCGAGCAACTTTTCTTATCCCGGCGTGTTTCTCTCTCGATATATACGTGACTCGCTCTTTAGGGATGAGAGAGAGAGAGTTCACTCCCCTTTCCAGGGAGCAAGAAACAAGAGGCGGGTTTCTGCTTGAGACGGAAAAGTTGCTGCTTTTTTTTTCTATCGCACACTGATTTGATCTCGGAAAAAAGAAACCCTCCAACGAAATTCGACGCGCGACGCAGCCTCGCTTCGGGGAGAAATGGGGATGCTATGTTTTGCAACAACAACCGATATAGCACCAAGTCGATGACGATCCCGGACCGGCAATTTCAACTCTCTCTGATCGAAATCCTCAACATCGTTCGGTGGAGGATCCCTTTCTGTCTCTCACTGTCCTGATCCTTTTCCCTCTTCACGCACACTCGCTCTCTCTCTCTCTCTCTCTCTCGCCCCGTAAAACTCGCACACACCTATATACCCTCGCACACCGATCCTCTCGCCGAGGTAGACGGAGAGCTAGAACCGCCACTGCGGGCCACCCTGAGGTAGGTACATTCGGGAACCGGCTACCGAGGGAACCCGCCAATACCACCGCGACAGTGAGCTCCCATCATCATCGAGGCGGGTGACCCTTCGACACCACCGGGGGCAGCAGAACCGTACCGGGCCGCGTTCGAACGAACACTGAAAGAGGAGAGAGAGAGAGGAAGAGAGGAAGCTAGAGGAGAGAGTCGGCCAGACCGAGTGGGGAGTGGTGTCTCGAGCTAGCCAGACGCGGCCACCCTCCCACTGTCCTCCCTCTTCGACTCCCCTCTTCGGCCGACCTCTCTTCCGTCTCGCTCCGACTTCGTCCTCGACGCTCCGATGATATTTTTGTCCTCGTCTTCTTCGTCGGGTCGACGCTACCTCCGTTCTACTCTAACCCACGACTAGAGGAGCCTAGGTGGTCTCCCCGTCCTTGTCTGTCGCTCTTCAGGGTATCCCTGTCCTCTTCCACCTTGCTTCGCCGCTGCTATTTCCGTCCTTGTTGACTTCCCTGATGATGATGCTCCCTTTCCTACGTCGAGCTCGAAGAAACGTTCTCCCTCTCTCTCTCTTTCTTTTTCTCCTCGTGTCTTCCTCTCTCCACGGTTTTCATTCCTCGTCACGCTTCACGCGGCGCAGCGGCATCTTGTATACGTTTGCGCGTGTAGAATATCTACCCTCTCTAGTAGCGTCCCCCACTTTCTCTATCTCTCTTTCTCTGTCGCTCTATCCGCTCTTTTTCCGTATCCCCGTATTTATATCCTCGTCCTCGTCGAACCCTATAGCGCACACCACCTGCACCCCTTCCGCTCTTCTCTTTTTTCTCGCTCCGCGACGTAGCCCCTTTCTTCGTTCTACCCTCTTTCTCTCTCGGATTCCATATCAGGGGTGGCCATAACGCGAATCTCCGTTCCACCCTTCGTGCGACGTCGTCGAATCATTTGATTTCTCACTTGTGATCAGGAGTGCGCAAATATCCCTAATAGCACAACATATCCGAAAAATATTCAGAGGACATCTTCGGAATGTTCTCTGAACGTCTTCAGGATATGCGTGCTGTTAGAGATTTCTTTTGCTGTGAAGGACTCTGTCCACCTCGATGATTTTTATAAAAATCATTCTTTTTCCAAGTTAATTAACTAAACATCTTCAAAGAATTTTAATCCCAATTTATACTCTTCTTTAACTTATCCGAAAGTAGGTTCAGTTCTGCAATCTTCTTTTTAAAGAAGGAAAAAATAAAACAATTTCTTAAGTTTACATTCCTACCCTAATAACACACAATATCCAAAAGACATTCTGAGAATATCCGTAGGATTTTCAAAGGATATCCATAAAAGGATATTCGAGGATATCTTTAGGATATTCAGAGGATATTCCTAGGATTTTCAGAGGATATCTATAGGATATTCGAGGATATCTTTAGGATATTCAGAGGATATTCCTAGGATTTTCAGAGGATATCCATAGGATATTCGAGGATAACTTTAGAATATTCAGAGGATATTCCTAGGATTTTCAGAGGATATCCATAGGATATTCGAGGATATCTTTAGGATATTCAGAGGATATCCATAGGATATTCGAGGATATTTTTAGGATATTCAGAGGATATTCCTAGGATTTTCAGAGGATATCCATAGGATATTTAGAGGATATCCATATAATATTCGAGGATATCTTTAGGATATCCAGAGGATATCCAGAGGACATTCGAACGTCCTCAGGATGTTTTCTCAGAGTGTCTTCGGGATATGTGTGCTGTTAGGGTATAAATACGAAGACGGGGGATGGATATTTAAATGTTCTTACCCCTCCGATGTTATAGTATCGCAAATATAATTCAGTTGATTGCCACTGTTCAACGCTGAATCTACTTCCAGCGCCTCCCCGATCGCTATCTTCGTCGCTCTCAGAAGCTTTCCAACCCCTCTCCGAGGCTATCCACGCCTTTGCCCATCCTCCCCATGTTCTCCATCCCTTACACAACTCGCGCTCTCTCTCTCTCTTTCCCTCTCATCCCTATCCGCGCCTGTGAACTAGAGTAAGCTTGTATAAAGGATGATTCAACGTACCGCGTATTTGGGGTGGTCAAACTTGTCAAAAATTATAGTACCGACATTTTGTATTCGATAAAAAATTAATCGAGCACAAAATACGTCACATATATTATATGAGATATTAGGAGAAATGGTATATATGTATATAAGGGTGAAAAATGGGGGTTGAAATTTTCTCGCACCCTCTCGCTGAGCGAATATCCCCGTTCGCGAAGTCTCTATGTACGGTCTTGCCTCGGACTCGATCTTCGTCGAGCTAAAACGTCCACCCTCTTCCCGTCCTCGTCGCGTCGCGCATCCCCTCGTCGGCGCATGCGCACCAGCCCTATGCGTAACCGACACCCTGAAGAGGCTCTCGCCCGCTTCGACACCTCAGCCGGCTCGATCAGTTCTACAGTTCTGCACCGAGGATGCAGCTCGTGTTTACACGGAGAGAATTTTCTCTTAGAATTCACCCTGAAAATTATGGGACAATATATGGTATTGGGAGAATTTTACAAGAGCTTCTCTGATTATTTAAAGTTTATTTAATTCGAATAAATATTTATTATATTTTAGTACTGCCTCTAATCAATTATTTAATTGAAACTAATAATATTGATTTTTGATGTGAAAAATATTTATTTGTTTCAAATAAATAATTTTTGTTATAGGCAGTATAGAAAATAAATATTTATTAATTTAATAATTTGTTTTCAGTGTGTATAATAAAAAATATTAATTTTTTTATGGTAAATATTTTTAATCAGAGAAATTCTTATAAAATTCTTTCAATACCATATATTGTCCCATAATTACAATAATTTTTAAGGTAAATTCCGAGAGAAAATTTCCTCTGTTTAATTATGATGATTCTTACGACTATTGTACTCTGATAAGCGATGATTGACCACGTGATCATTAATCAAGTATTTCGGGAATAGTCATCGATCATTATCGTATCGTTTGTAAGCTATTTTTTTTTCTTTTTTCATCAAGATGAAAGTATATTGTCTTTACCACTTTATTCTTGATTTGATATCTTTTGTAATAATTTTTTTTTTAGTTTAGAGACTATTTTTATTTTCTGAGAAATTTATTAAATTAATATGAAATAATCTTACATGATAGAAAATTGGGGGTGCGATTATGAAACCGCAATTAATGATTAATATAACTGTATCATAATAATTTACATATATATATATATATATCGTCTTTTTAATTCGAATTTTTTAATTTTTAAATATTCTTTATCGCAAGAAGTTTATCGCGTAATATAAACATGAGGTATACAGGCGAGAAAGAGAAGGATCTCTCTGCGGTTCGGCTACTTTTGCGGGGACGCGACATGCGTTTAATCCTGCAGTGCAATTTTCTCTGGGAAAGGGGAAGATATAGAACGTTTGGAGCGAAAAATTTTACCGCTGTCATGGAAAAGAACGGAGCTCGCGAGAATACATACAAGATGCGAGCTTTAAACGGCTGCAACATCGCTCTTGTGCTCCACTTGTTTCCTCGGTTTTTACTATTATTCGCTATATATATATATATATATATATATATATGGTAATTAAAATCGGAAAATTTCAAGCGCTTTGTAAGCATGAAATTTTAATAATTTTTTAAAAACGTCAAAAAACATGATATTAAATTGTTGTTGTCGGTTTTATAATAACAATTATTTTTTAGACGACTTTTGATAATAATCTAAAGAGAGAACAAAGTATGAAGATTTTTACATAAATATAAATTCATATATAGAATTATTAATATAAACGCAATTATGAAATTAAATAAAAGAACATTGCAAAAAAAAACAAATAAAATAAACTAATCTATATTATATTAATATAATGACGCGCGTATAAAAGAACATTTTATGATGTAAAAAAGTTTATTAAAGAGCATTAATCTAAAAATAATGCGTACATGAAATGATTATACGTGTAATAAAGCATTAGCAAAGTACTTATATTTGTTTATAATAAACTGGAATATTCACTGTACTTTGTCATAATTTCTTAAGCATTTAAGCGCTACGAAGCTTAATCTAAATTAAACAATTATCATGATATTGAAAACTTTAACTAATTATTTATATTCTAAAATTATTTACGAACACAAATATATAAATTCTATATATAATGATGCTTAATTAAAATTAAGTATAATGAAAGGCGATTTTCAAAGTACATCTTAATAAGATTAAAACGATAGAATTATAACATTGGTTCTTATTTAGCATATTTTCAATTAAATACTGTTAGGTTCTTTTAATAAAACATATATCTTTAAAAAATATGTTATGTAGATATCCAATTGCGGTTTCAACCAATAAAAATATTTTCTTGGCTTGTCACCAATATTTTTAAATTTAATTTAAATTAAAATAATAAATTTGAATTTTATTTTTTAATTTTATATAGAATGTTCTCAAAAACAGTATTTAAATTGAACAGTCAAAAATCGAAGAATCGATATTTTGCAAGAAAATGCTTTCATTATTACATTAATAAAAAAGAATCATCATTATTCTTTAGCCTTTCTCTTTTAAAACAATTAAAAACTAATGATGTATATGAAGGCAGCATATTCTGTTTTAAATTATCGAAAAAAATTCTCGAAACAACTCATATTTTTTTGTATGTTACTTATGATTAATTCTCCATCAGGAATTTGAATCTTTTAAGGTACAAGCAATTTTTTATTTTTTCCAAATTGTTTAAATTTCGCTTTGGATAAACTATTAATTAAGTTTAATATTTGTCTTTAAAATCTATTGTGGATATATATAGAGATATTAACATCCCAGGTAGCAGACTGACATCAAATGTCAAAATGACGTCATTTTGACGTTTAATGACGTTAGTCTGCTACATGGGATAATAAATAATTTTTTTAATTTTTCAAAAGTCTAGAACAAAAATAATGATAATAATAATAATAATAATAATAATAATAATAAAATAATAAAGAATGAACTTAAAAGATCCAGTTTGCTGATTAGTAAAAAGAAATGACTGCTGACGGAGGGTTAATTAATTTTAATAGTCATCATCTTCATTATCTTCATCATCATTGTCCTGTTCATCATCATCCTTGCATTGGCACTGTGCGCACTCGACTCGCACGTTCTTCAAGTGTAATGTCAACTGTCCCGGAAGCAGCTCGAACGCTTCCGCCCTCAACTTCAGCATGGGATTTTTGTCAACGTAAACGTTCCTCAAAGAGTTGATGTTCCTCAACGACATGTCGTCCAGGTCGGTGAAGTTATTTCGCTCGAGATTCAATTCCAGGATGGATATACGCGTCTGCCACGCGTATATCCATTGTGCCGGAAGTTGCTTGAGTCGGTTTCCGGAAAGGTCCAGATGCGTCAGTCTTTCAAGGTGGAAGGCCCGAGGTTCGATCGTCGTTAAGGTGTTGTCCGACAGATATAGAAATTCGAGTCTCTTCAGGCGGCAAAAGGTGTCGAGAAAGATGGCGCTGATGCGATTTCCGGTCAGATTCAGGCTCTTCAGGTGCTGCATCGGACAGACATCCGGTACCGCGGCGAGGAAGTTGTGAGCCAGGGAGAGTTCGTTTATGAAGAGGGTCTTGTTGAAAGTGCCCTTGGCTAGATCGGCGATCCTGTTGCCGGACAGGTCCAGCTTCAGCAGGTACCTCATATCGTAGAAGGCGTCGAGGGTCACCTCCGCGATCTGGTTCCTCGATAGAGACAGATTTTGCATTCTGTCGGCGCCTTTCAGAGATATGGACTCTTCTCCACAATCCTCGAAGCACACTTGGATGATTTTGTTGTCGTCCATAGAAAGATCCTGCAGATACCTGCAATTATTTGTTCGAATTACGAAGAAGAAATAATAAGCAATAATAATAATTAATAGAAGCAGGAAAAATAATAATAGATAATAATCACAGTTGTGCCAACAAAAGTAAGAAAACAGTAGAAATAGCAATAATAATGATTAATTTATTAATATTATTATTAGTTATATCATCATCATTATCATCGTCATCAACATCATCATCATCATCAACATTATTATTCCTGATGGAGGTTAATCATGAGTAATATACAAAAAATACGAATAAATTCAAACCTTTTTCTTTTATTTTAATAATTTAATTTTATATTATTACTTTTTAATTGTTTTATAAGAGAAAGGCTAAAGAAGAATGATTTTTTTTGCTACTGTAATAATAAAAGCATTTTCTTGCATAATATCGATTTTTCGATTTTTACTGTTGACTTTATATACTGTTTTTGAGAATATATTCTACACAAAATTAGAAAATTAAAATTTGTGATTTTGATTCAAATTAAATTGAAAAATATTGACAAGAAATCAAGAAAATAAAATATTTTTGTTAAAAACACAACTCGATAATCACAATATCTTTGTTTAGAGATATATGTTTTATTAAAAGAAACTTCAATTTTTCGAACAGATGCTCTTTTAGAAATGGGAAAAAAAATATAATAAAATGTTAATACCTGAGTTTCTCCCGCTCGACCCGATCGATTAGATTTTTATTCAGATTAAGATGGGTCAACGTCGCCGGAATATTGTCGAAGACAGCACTGGTGGAACTGATGCTGTTGTTGCACAGATGCAAATGATTGAGGGTGGGCGTTGCTATATAAAAAGGCATCTTAAAATTCTGCAGTCGATTGTTACACAAATGCAGATGCTTCAGATTTGTGAAGGTCTCATGTTCTATCACAAATTCTGAATTGGAACTATCATCGTAACTGCCGTCGTTATCGTTGATGATTAGCGTCTGCAACTTGTCGTTTCCGTGCAACACCAGCAACTTCTGTATCGGAATCCTGTTTTTGGATAAGTTCAAGTGCCGTAGATTCCGCATGCTGCGAAAGGCGAATGGCGAAATGTCGCTTATGTTATTGCTGTCAAGACTCAGGCTGATGATGCTGTCACTGGTGATAAAATCCCGACCGATTCTTTGAAGGCCGACGTTAGTAAATCTGAATGACAGGTCGGTCGAATAGAAAGTTGCTGGTGGCGGTTGTGAATGTATATATATGAAGTCTTGTTCCTCTGAAGATTGTTGATTATTTGGTTGATGATTTTTGATAGGATAATGCGTCGGTGGTGACGTTGTATTTTGGTGAGATGGCGGATACACGGTAAATCCTGACCTATTCGGTGTATATGAGTTTTCTTCATTCTTGTGACGATCTTTGAAAAAATCAAGGTCCGTTTTTGCTAACGATAAGTATACATCAAAGACGAAGAAAAGGATGATTTTTGGGCCTAACGCCATCTGAAAAAATTAAGAACGAACGTATCAGATTATATAATGTGTAAATTAAGATATTTGAAATATAAAATATATTAAATATAAAATTAAATATATATATAATTTAAAATAATAAACAAAATTAAGATTTATAAAATAAAGAAAAATTAAAGTAAATTAAAGACATATACTTTAATCACTTGCATACGATAATAATAAATACAAATATAAATTTTGTAATGACATAATGTAAGACACAGAAAGCAAAAAATATCTTTTTTTGAATTTTAATATAGTTACAAATAAAATAAGTAAATTGTGATATTTAATTGCGAAATATAATTTTTTTATTCTCAAAGATTATTAAATATTTATAAATTATTTTACTGTAGCCACATTCGAGCATAAAGGAATATTTAAATATTACAAGATTATTTTTTTACAAATATAAAAATATATGACTAATTAATTTCATCGTATTAAATGAGAATGAATCTCTTCCTCTATTAAATAATTAAGAATTGTGAAAGCAAACTTATGTTGTACGAAAAAAAATTATAAAAAGCTTGCTTAAAAAATACAAAGTTTAATTTAAAATATAATGTAATATTCTTGTCTAATAATAGAGAATAAAATAAAGCAAGTATAAAAATTTATAACACTTACGATTTACTATTTATTTTTTTCTTAAAGTCGAAGGTTTCTTCTGATCAATTCACTCGAGCAGTCCAACACCTTTTGTCGCGAGCAAGCGAATTTATCTTCTTATATACTGACGCTGATCTTTATGGGGTCTCATCTTCGCGCGCATATAACAGTATATGTTTATGTAACGTATCTCACACCAGTTGAAGTATGCATTTGCATCGCATTGTGAGAGAATTTAATTAATTTAAAAAAATTTTTAATTTATTTTTAAAAAAATGTAATGCATTTGGATCAAATGTTAATACATTTGATTATATAATGTAACCCAGATATATTTGCACACTCTTTAGAGTTTAATTTAAAATTAAGTATATTCTAAAAGTAAAAATAATAATTTTTTTTCTGAGGCTGCAAATATTTAATGTGCAATATATTCTAATTGTATTAAATTAATTTTAAAAAAGTATATGCATATCACTTGTAGAGGTATAAAATTAAGTATTTAAATTTTATTATATATAAATTGAAATAAGATATTATTTTACATTACATTACTTATTAATTTTATTTATTAATTTATATTAAAAACATGATTTACTTGATACATTAATTACTAGCGAGATTACATAAATATAATTTTACCTTACTTTTAATACAGTACATTAAATAAAATAACATATTTTGTAATTCTTCTTTATGTTTCTTTTTTATATAATGTATAATAAAAATATATAAATTTATTTCAAGAGATATTTATGCAACAAAGAAAATTACATTTATAATTAATTATTATATAATTATATATAATTAAAAATATTATATGTATATATACATATATAAAATATATATAGAAAAAAAATATATATATACACATATGTAAAAAAACGTAAGAAATGATGAAAATACATATGATGCTTAATTTATTTAATACTTTTATATCAGATCAGAGCAATCATCGTACTCTTCTGAACATATATATATATACAGTTAAAGCCTATCTCCTGCCAGGGGACTTCACCGGACTTCTCATGAACGTAATACATTCTTACGGCTAGTCTTACGCAGTTATCGCAGTATAAACCGTCGACAACTAATGATATAAATAATCTGCAGCATCTAGTGAGAAGCTTGGCGAGATGCGTTCTGAGAAGACTCGATAAGTAGCCTTCAGCATCGCGAATCTCGCGCGATATATAACGAGACCCGAAGCTTGGAATATTCGTAAAAATATTTGGAAATGTTACAACAATCATTTATTTACATATATCTCGAATTCATAAAGCAATTTTAAAAATTATCTCAAAAAAAATTATTATTTAGGTGATCAATATTTTTTTAGTTAGATTCACTTGATTAAATAATTATATAAAAAATGAAAAAAAATTTTTTTTTTTTTTTTAAATATTTTTATATCGATTAAAGTGAAAAATGATTTATATGTGATGAATAAAATTATTACGCAAATATCCGTTTTCTTGATAGTTAAAATAACGTCTGAAAATAAAAATTATTTTTTTTTTAACATTCATCAGCAGCATATTCAGCAGATAGCAGAAATATGACGCGATATATCAACTAGCGACAGAGGTTTCGAATATCTTTTTCCTGGTGCACTAAGATATATAAAAAATTAAATTACATAATTATATAACATATAAAAAAGTAAAATTATTATTTATATTATTATATATATTGATATAAAATTACTGTTCGAATAAAAATAAATCGATCACATACATACAAAAAATACAATTTTTATTTTTAATTACAAGAATGACATACAAATATTATAAGTTTGCGATGTACTTACAAAGATAATCAGAGTCGCAATTAAGAATACTTATACGGCGTACCCCATATAGCACAAAATATTATGAATGTTTTCAAAAAATATTTCTATAAAATATTGCATAAAAACATTTTAAAACTGTTTTAGGAATATTTTAAAATGATTTAAAAATTTTTTTGTGATAACATTTTTTAGAATATTTTAAAAAACTTTTAAAAATATTTTTAAAAATGTTTTTTATCGCTGAGATAATATTTTCTTAAGTATTTGATACATATTTTTGAAATATTAGTTTAAATCTATATTCAAAAATATTTTTTAAACATGAAAAAGCGGACATAGAAACATTTTAAAAATATTTTCGAGAATTATTTTATCTTTTAAGAAATACTTTTCAAAGATTTTTAAAATATTTTGTGCTGCGTGGGACAATATATATGCAAATTATTTTCACTAATCTAGAACGCATTAATATATTCTTAAATATTCTTAAGTTCTCCTGCGCAGAAATATACATATATATAAATGAGAGAGATTATACATATATATGCAATATTAGATATTAATACTGAAAATATATTTATATTATTTATCGTTTTTATTAATTTCATGCCATGTAAACGGTAATTGATTCCGGCAAATGTAATAATTCAAGGGAACTTATTTTTGTAAATGTGTTATTTACCACAGATAAATGTTTCAACGAGGCTATCGAATTTATAGCCACATCTACAACATTTACAAATAGATTCGAATTTACATTCAAATATTGTAAATTAATTAATCGCGTTGCCCAATTGTGAGGCAAAGTTTTCAATTGATTATTCGAAAGGTCTAAATATTCTAAATTGTTCAAATCTGAAAAGCCTTGTCCAATATCTTGTATCTTGTTGCCTCTCAACGACAATTTTTTTAATGACGTGAAATACATGAAAATATCGGAACGAATGTATCTAATCAAGTTAAAACTCAATGATAACTCACTGAGTTGCTGCAAGTCGTTTAATAAAGGAATATCCGTTAGTTTATTATAATCCAAAAGAAGAATTTTTAGCACTGGAAATACTTTAAAACTAATAGTAGATACAGTTGTAAAATCATTGTTGGACAAATCCAATTGTTCTAAATAGGGTATGTTAAATATTCCGTGGCCTTGAACTAAATTCGTGCAGTTTGACAGCGATAGAATTTTCAATTTTTCCGAAGCGACATTGATTACTCTTAAGTATCTATTTCCGTCCAAATATAAGGCGGACACTTCCGCCATGTTTAACATCGTCAAATTGTGCAGGTGATTGTTTTCCATGTGGATGACCCGCAAAGATTTTGGTATTTTTTCGAAAAACGTTGGTTCTATTTCTTGAGCCTTTATGTTATTTAAATCAAGCTGCACCAATTTTGGGAAAGATGTCTTAAAATCGTTCAGTAAAGCGGATATTTCGTTCCCGCTTAAATCCAAATACTGCAGATTTGGTAAACTCATGCCGGTGCTGTCAAAAATTATGTATTTATAAATTTCATTGGTTTCTGCTTCGAGATCTTTTGCTTCCGATGAGGTGTAATAATATAGATTTTGCGACGTTTTTTGGTAACTTAAATCCAATGTTTTTAGATTCGGGTGTCGAATGTAATTTCTATTATAGATGTCAAACTTATTTCTGGATAAGTTTAAACACGATAAATTCGGAACTTGATCCAAAATGGTGTGAATATTTTTTAGATCATTGTTTCGAAGTGATATATGTTGAATATTATTGCTTGTAATAATGTCATTTTTTAAAAGCTGTAAATTCATATCGTCCAAATTTAGACGTTCAATATTTCCGCATTTTTTCTTTTCGTTTTTTAGAAAATTAAAATTATAGTTTCTGTCATGTTGACTGAAATCAATTGACACTGTTCTGATAGTATTCTTATAATATATTTCTTGTTGATAACTTTGTACAACAAATGTCATCAATAATAGAAGTAATATTACAAACTTCATCTGCAAAAAAAATAAATAGATAATTTGATATTATATAACATATAATTATTAAATATATATCATAATGTGGAAAAAAATTAATAAGAATTAAAGAACAAATAAAATTAACATAAAAAAATATATAATATATAAAATGTACAATATATAATAATATATAATAATAATATTATATATATATATATATATATATATATATATAATTTGCTAGTCAAATCAATTTTTTTCACACGTTTAACATTTGAACCAGCATTTGCTAAAATCCCTTTTCACTGTTTGAAAGTTAAACTGCATTTAAAATTACCACAAAAATATGATGTAGCCTTAGATAAATAATTACAACAATCAAAAAATTTCTATAGTAACTGATCAAGAATTTTCACATTTTAAATTTGTTCACTCCTTATGAATAAAAAAAATTTTATTATAAACATTTTCTATAAAAAAAGAAAATGTTAAAATAATGCTACAATTAGCATCAATAATTCTGAGTAATTATAATTATGATAAAAATTATTGTAATAATAAAAAGTATAGCGAAAATTGTTACGTTACAGAAAAATCTTAAATATATTGATTTAATATTTTCTCGATTTAATTATAGTATAATAATAAAAACCATAAAATAATCAGCATAATGGAGAAAGTAAATAGAAATATTATATTCTTATATATTCTCTTATAATGTTGAAACATGTAAAATACATATAAAATATATTGCATAAATTTTTACAAGAAAAATAATGGAAATGTAACTTACCTTGGATTTAAATTTTTCCAAAAACTCGCTCAATTTTCAATTTTCAATTTGGATTTGTTTAGAAAATACTATTGTTTCAAATCTACTTGAGTTGTCTTTTCACTAAAGACTGTTCTACGGAATTGCAGCTTGTATTTATACTGTTCCATGGTATTAGAAATCAGCATTGCTTATCTCATATTTCTAGAACATCCGGTTGTGTGGCAATATCAATGTTAAAGCCGATATATAAATAACAAATTTATATAAATAACAAGTGAACTAATAATCAAAGATGAGCAAAAAGAAATAGATATATGTACATATATTTAAAACAAAGAGAAATGAAAATATTTACACGAGATATTTATCCTACTGGATCATGAATAATTAACACAAATTAATAATTGAATTATTATATTAAAGTATATTAATTTTTAAAAAATTATAATTAATTAAAATTTTATTTAAACTATTTAATATTTCAAATATTGCTTTTTCCTTTCTGAAAATTATTTTTTTTTATATTGTATGAAAACCACGAAATTTTTGTGCTGTTTTCATGAATTTGTATTAATTCTATTTTCATTTTACATCTTTTATTCCATCTTTCATCCATCTTTCATTAAATTAAGTTATTAATTGTTTTCATGCATTAATGAACAACAATTATTATGTAATAATTAATACAAATATTCGCGCGTTAGTTTCCCATACAGCATAAAATATTATGAATATTTTCAAAAAATATTTTTAAGCATTTTTATAAAAATATTGCATAAAAACATTTTAAAATAGTTGTAGGAATATTTTAAAATTTGAAAATTTTTTGTGATAACATTTTTATAATATTTTTAAAAACTTTTAAAAATATTTTTAAAAATGTTCTTCTTTTTATCGCTCAGATAATATTTTCTTAAATCTTTAATACATATTTTTGAAATATCAACTTAAATCTATACATTTATTATTTCTGAGAATATTTTTTAAACATGAAAAATCGGACATAGAAACATTTTAAAATTATTTTCGAGAATTATTTTATCTTTGAAGAAATATTTTTAAAAGATTTTAAAAATATTTTGTGCTGTATGGGTTATCAGCTAATTTCCTTATTACGAAATTTAAATTGAGCATTTAAATTAAGATAATAAAAAAATAAGTAATATTTGAAATAATGAAAAAGATACTTTAACGTTTCGTGAAATTCAAGTAATCAATTGAATTAACCAAGTTCTCGTCGGGAGGAAAAAGCTAATTAGGAAGTTTGAAAACGCGGTTTACGATGTTCTCGTCACGTTCGTCGAGATTGAGACGAGTAATCAGAGGATTGTTGAGACGAGTCCCTGAAGCCGATGATCGCTTCGTGCCGGAGAAAAGAGATGAAGCTGCGTCGTCTCTCGTGAACCAAATATCCGACTTATCGATCTGTAACGTAATCCTATATTATTAAATTCGAATTTCATTTTAAATATATATGTGAAATTTATTATCGAACATCTTTGAAATATATATATTAAATATATTTAAAATATATATATTGATAAATTTATATTAAAATTCTCGGGGAAGAGAGAAGTGGTAACATCCAAGCTTTGTGAGTTTACATGCGTTCTTAACGATTTTCGTTATTGTTGCTGGAAGCTTGTGGTTTCCGTCATTGAATTTTATTCGTATCGATGCTTTATGTGCTTCCAAAGTCTCTGTAACAAATAAACAAAAATTGATTTCGCATCGATTCTTTAACGCTAATAATTTATAAATATATAAGAAAATAATTTTACAAATTAATAAATAAATTTAATTAATGAATTAAATAAATTTAATAATTAATTTATTTAATTAATTAATTAAATATAAATTTAAAAAATAAATAAATAAAATAAATTTATTAATTTTAATAAATATTTCTGTACTTTCTCTAACACAACATATGTCTACGTACTCCTCTGTTCACGGTTTCGAATATGTATTCACAAGCTTCATCGTAGGCTCTTTCGAAGAACACCGCACTAATTACAATACCAAGCGTGAATGTAGAGCTCCGCTTACATATGTAACGATAAAATAAACAAGCCGCCCTATCGAGCATTCCGGCGATCAGAAAAATGATCGAGGATAATTGCAGAGAGTAAAGAGACGTAAAATGAAATATATAAGTTGTCAAATCACATTCATTTGTTTCTTCAGTGAGATGACATATATTAATTGTAATTACATGGTGATCAGAAAAATAATTAATCGGGAATTATCATAGAGAAATATATTCAGTTGTCGAATATTATTAAATAAATACTTATTTGATATAATAAATATTATAATGAAATTATCAAATATAAACTATATAATTATACATTATTTAATAATTATATTTAATATTTAATTATTTATATTTAATAATTTTATTATATAATTTTATTATATAATCACATTATATTTATTAAATCTCTTCAAAGAAATGGCATATTACGTCATTACGTATCGAATATAATCTGCAATCTCAACATTTTTTAACGTGATATCTTTCAAGATTGGTAATAAATCCTTCTTTTTAGAATTTTTTTAATTTAAAGTCTATATAGAGAAGTCTACGATGTGCGAGAAATTTCAATGTGATAATTTACGAAATTCTATACACTTTAAATAAATTTAAAAAACTTGCCACTTTTCAAAAAATGATAAATATATTAAAAAATACTATAATTATTTTATTATTATTTCATATTTATATTATAATTTGTTATTCAGTTTTACTTAATTTCAATTTAAAGTTTCTTCTCTTTCCCTCTCTTTTTCTATTTATAAAATAGATTTTTTCAATTTTTCTGATTCCATTTTTATGAAATTATTGTTATCAATGGCTTAATTATAACTTATCATCCTAAAACTTATCTATTCTCGTTATACACTTCATTTCCGCTTTGCTATTTAGGAGGAAAAGATAGCAAATAATGAAACAAGTTATCCCCCATTTTTAATGCACTACGCGATTTCCGAATATGATATGTCTTTTATCTAATAATGTATATACAAAACATTTATTATTCTTTTTCATTCTAATTTTAAAAAATTTTGTTCATTTATCAATATTAGTATAATGCTATAATTATATATCTTGTAAATTGCGATACAAACGCAATAATTTTATTTGAAAAAAAATAAAATCTTCTCATACAAAATGTTTCCCGAAAAAATGTTCAAAAATAACTTTTCAATTGAGAAATACTTCTCTTTTCTTTTTATCTTTCTTTTTTCCCGCTTCAATTTACAGAGTACATTTCGCGCGTATATTATTAATAAAAAATATAATATATATATTATTAATAAAAAAACTTCTCATATTCATATTTGACCAAATCTACACTTCTAAATCCTACGAAAGTATGTTAAATAAATTGCATCGATAACGATAAAGAATTAGGGTAAATAGAAAACCAATCTCGATTGTATTTAATAATCGCAAATGTCTCTATTCTTAACAACGACGCCATACAAAAATGTATTCAACAAATATATACATCTATATGTATATATACAGTTGGAATCTGCAAAAAACATGCACCTTTTAACCGGGAAAATATGCAGAGCATCTCGCAATGTCTCAATTTGAAACTTGATCATTTATACAACACACGTCTCACATATTCTATCATATTTTATTATCGATGAAGAGTTTTCGAGATAGTGATCGGTTCCTGGAGCACTTTGCGCGATATCCTAATTTGTCCGGACACCGGGTCTCGTCCAAAGTACTTGACTTGTATCTCTTGGCCAACTTCGAGTGCCAGAACACTGGGATGATGGATCTTGCGTTGGTCCAATTGGGAATTGGGCAACAATACTGGCACCATGTTGTTGTACAGCGTCACCATGACTCCAATTTCCCGTATCTCTACTATTTTCGCAGTATAAATGGAACCGAATTCCAAGGTCGGCTCGCGATCCTTCTGCAGAATATTTTCTATCATTTCCTTAGCTTCATTCATGGCGTCTTCGTTTGGCGCAAATATAGAGTACGTGTTTTCGTCGTGCGGAAATATCTGAAAAGCAGTATTGAAAGTATCAGTATATTTCAAAGCTAAATAAAAACGGCGACAAACAATTTAGTTTAGATTTCATAATATTAGGAAAGTTTTGGTGCTTCTTTTCAAGAATTTCATAAAAAATGATCTTACTTGCACTCCGGTTTCCAAGAATATCTTCTTTAAATTCATCCCGCCGATTCCGAGAAACTTTCCTCTTTGATGAATAGGAACCTCCAAGCTGTCGACCACAGGCATTTTGTCCTTTTTATGTTGTTGCGGTGCTCGTATCACCTCGTTCATGATTTTAATGATATCCCATTTAGCGACTGTCGCTTGTTGGATACACTCCATTATGATTTTTAAAGGAACTCCTGGTATCTTTACATCGGCCTGCAACGCGGTGAACCCTCGCTTGGTGCCTGCTATTTTAAAATCCATATCTCCGAAATAATCTTCGATTCCCTAGCAAATAGAAAATTGATTATCAACCGTGTTTGCTGTTATCTAAAATTATATAGATGATCATCTAGATGAAATTTTGACGTCATCTTATCTTTATATAGATAATAAAAATATATATTATCTATATCTGCATATCTTAGATGAAAAAAAGCATTATCTTTACTCAATTATCTAGAATAATTTTCAGATAATTTTGGTTTAGAATCATAGCACATAAAAATATTTAAATAGTAGAACTTAAGCGATCCAAATTTATAAATAAAAATATGAATACATATATGTTTTATATCCTTTTTGCAATTTACATTTTTATAATTGTGTTTACATAAGCAGTCTTAAAAATTATTATCTAGATGAATCGCCATATAATTTATCTTTTATCTAGATATATTTAAAACAAAATCATCTTTATCTTATCTAAGATGAATTTACATATTTTTATTTCACCTTTATCTAGCTAATTTTTTAAAATCATCTAAGCACAACACTGATTATCAATCAAAATTCATCAAATTACTAATCTGATTTGAAACGTAAATATAAAATGTACATCAATAACTTCCAATCTATTTAACTAAAATGATCCGATGTTCCAAACACTTACCAATATATCCGTCAGTATCTTATATTGGTCGATATCCGTGTTGGTTTCATTGGGCTTAGTCACAAGGCCAATGGCCACACCTGCTGCTGACGAAGAGATAGGAACGCCTGCATCGAGCAGTGCTAAACTTCCGCCGCAAACGGTAGCCATTGAAGAAGAACCTGTTTTTACAAGACAATACGGATTAATTTCGGGGAAATTTTCGTCGTCCTTATTGCGTTATATAAAAGCAAACTTGAATTAGCTTTAATGTCTCCTCACCGTTTGATTCCAAAACCTCGCTAGTCAGTCTTATGGTGAAGGGATAATCCTTTGGAAGAATCGGCCGCAGAGCTTTCTCCGCCAAAGCGCCATGACCCAATTCCCGGCGATTTACCCGACCTACGTGTCCCGTTTCATTAGTCGCATAGGGCGGAAATTCGTAATGGAGAAAGAAATTCTTTTCCTTCACGCCACTGCCGAGAAATAAATTCAATTTCAAACATTTGCTTTTCTTCCTCAAGTTAAGGCCTTTTTTATACATTGTAAAAAAAAATTTGTTAACTTGGCTAAACCTTTCAACTAAATTACTATTTTGTTAATTGAACATATATCAGTATTTAAGTTAAATATACGTTTTGTTAGATTTAATGTGTTACATTTAATTTAAATATATTTATATGATGAATTAACAAAATAATATTTAGTTGAAAGGTTTACTCAAGTTAATCAATTTTTTTTAAAGTGTATCTTTAGATTGACTCGATCAATTTTCGTCGGTATTTTTGTCATCGAAAGAACTGGTAGAAAAAAACCACTATATACCTAATTAACATTGACATGGCGTCCATCTTGAGCGCACTTTCCAAAGAATCCAGAGTCACAGTACACATGACCTGGGTCTGTCCCCGTTGAAACACAGCCGAGCCATGAAGAGGGTTAAAAAGGTCTACCTGACAGGATATGTCGCGTATACCTGCCATTAGGCGACCGTCACATCTGCAAATTGTTGAATATTTTGAACATTTGAATGATTTAAGGCTCAAGATAGAGGCAATATTTCATATTTAATCAATATTTTGCACGATATTTTATAATGAAGATTACCTGACATCCGTCTCTAAGATCAGTGTCCTGAAAATGTCTTTGGTAATCTTGGCAAAAATTCTTTCCGCTACTTGAACCTCATAATCTGCATTACCAGATTCCTTCACCGCTTCAAGAACATTATTTCTTAAATCGTTAATCGCATTGTCCCTAGAAATCTTATCATGCGTGTGATCTGAAAATATATCTCGCAATTTAGTCTCTGCAAATTGCTTCACAAAACTACTCAGATCCTCATCGGTTTGCGATTGCTCGTTAGTTTCGAGCTTCCTTTTCGTTTTGCCGTATAACTTCTGCAAGTTCGCTATCGCGTTTACAATATTCTGGCATTCTTTCACGCCGAACTTTATCGCCTTCTTCAGATCCTGCTCCAGTATCTCATTGGCCGAACCCTCTAACATGACAATCGAATTATGCTTGGTTGCGGTGATAATCAGATTTAATATACTATCTTGAATTTGACGTCTCGTGGGGTTGATTATAAAATCATTGTCGATCAATCCGATTCTGATCGCACCCACAGGACCGTTCCAAGGAATATCGGAGACGCTGAGAGCCGCAGAGGCTCCATTAATGGCAATCACGTCAGGATCGTTTATGCCGTCGACGGCCAGCATGTTGCACATAATCTGGGTGTCGAAGTGGAATCCCTCTGGAAACAACGGCCTTATTGAGCGATCGATGACTCTGCTCGTGAGAATCTCGCTCTCGGTGGGCCCAAGTTCTCTCCGTAAAAAATTCGTAGGTATGCGACCGGCTGCCGCTGCCTTCTGTCTGTAGTCCACGACGAGTGGGAGGAACGAGGAGTTGGATGAATGATGCTTGCAAACCGCTGTGACCATAACGGAGGTGTCACCCAATGACACGATTGCGCTGCCGTCTGCGAAACGTGCATATTTGCCTGTAGACAGGCTGAGCTGTTTGCTGGAAATAGAAAAAATTATTAATTCCTTCGAAGATACATATAATATGTGTTTTTCTATTGTATTGTTCTTGGGATAACTTGTAATTAATTTCTTTTCTAATAAGTTATATTACAAGTTATTATTAGAAGCATAATTAATTCTAATATATAACTTTCTTGAATTAGAAGAATTTTAAGAATGCTCTTCAAATTTTTAAGAAAAAATCAAGTTGATCAAACATTTTATTTTAATGTTAAAATTTTATTTTATTATTAAAAATATAGTAAGAATGGAACGCCTTATATAAGATACGTGTACAAGTAATATAAAGCTTTCTTCAATTAGATCGAAATGTTGACAACTCAAGAATTTTAAGAAATACTCTCCAAAATTTTCAAGAAAAAAATAAGATTGATCAAACATTTTATTTTAATATTAAGATTTTATTTTATTATTAGGAATATAGTAAGAATGGAACGCCTTATATAAAACACTTGTACAAGTAATATAAAGCTTCCTTAAATTAGATCGCAACTCAGGAGAATTTTAAGAAACATTCTTTGACATTTTCAAGAAAAAAAATAAGATTGATCAAACATAGTACTTTATCTTTAAAAATATATATAATACAGTAAGAACACTATAAGATACTTGTACAAGTAAAAATGATGAAAATATATTGGATTTTTCATAATCACATTTCCATGCAAATTTACATTTTGTTTTAAACAGATATGAATTTTATAAATTAAAAATATGAAAAATATATATAATTCTTAAAAAGAAACCACAATAAGATTCAGGTTAGGATAGAAGATGCACATGTGATTATATTCTCACCCATCAGACAACGTGATGACTTCGGTGCCGGCATTCGTGTGACTCGCCCTCCTGGCGTTAATAAACTTAACGTAGGACGTGTTTCCATTTTTGCAGAAATTTTTGCCAGCCAAAAGCACTGGCTTGTGATATCTGAGTAACCTAAAAATTCTCGTTGACACCATCATTTTTGGCGGTACACTGAGGGAATAGCGGACGATCGCTTATTCAAGAACACTCGCAGGATAAGAGACTGTAATTTTGGTTCTAGTCTACACTAAAAAAAGTGTCGGTAAACTTAGCAGAGACTCGAACTCAAGTGCGCCTAAATCGGGGACGATTCTCCTCTGCTTTCACTAAGTGATGCACATAGTTTGTTCATCATCATGACTTTGCTTCTACGTGTTATTTATAAGAAATTCAAATCTCTTCTTCTCTTTTTAGAAATCTCGCATCTTCTCTTCTTTCGTTCTTTTCTCTTTCTTTCACATTTCTTCCCTCATCTCGATCGCTTCCCGAAAATTTCTGAAGAAGATGATGATGTTGATAATGATGATGATGATGAAGATGATGGTGATGATGATGATGATGATGATGATGAAGAAGAAGAAGATGAAGATGTTGATGTTGATGTTGATGATGATGATGATGTTGACGAAGATGATAATGAGATTCAAACGAGATTACGAAGGGGAAGGGATGAGTCTTCTCTCGGCTCCGAAGAAGGAAAGAATCTCGTGATTTTTCACTCACGCAGGCAAATAGCAGGCAACGGAAACGACTCTTCCTCTCCTTCTACGACGGTAAATGCAGTTTCACTTTCTCATTCCGCACAAGGTGAGATGCACGACGTGAATCTCTTCTCGTTTGTAACAGCGTGTGATACTTGAAGATCCACGTAATAAAACAAGATTCTGCAAACATATTTCATATATATATTAATAATTGCGAATACATAATTTATAATTTTCTGTTCATTAAATAAATTCAAAACTGATCATTCTTATATTCCTAGACAAATCATCAAGATGTATCTTCTATTAATTATTATAATTTCTTTCATTATAACATAATATAATTATTTTCTATGTTTCAGATAATCGAAAAATCTAACGATAAATACCGTCTGTCCATCCATGAAGATATATACAGGATGTTTCTAAAACTATGTCAGAGATTTTAAGGGAGACTTTTTCTTCCAACTTTAAGGGGCTATCACTCGGAAAGAAAGTATGTTTATAGGACCTTTTCTTTTTATTCTGACCCCTAGAATACGCCCTTAAAATATCCGACACAGTTTTCGAAACACCCTGTATAATTACGAATCGGATGTCCTTGAAATCTCATTAGAACACGTTTAGAAATTTTCAATTAACACGTTTATGAGTCCTTCATAGGCGCGAAATACCTTGGCGATCCGACAAACGTGAATCGGAACAGAGGATTATCGTCGGTGGCGATTATATCATTATATCGACCGCGTTTCTCTCGCGCGAGTAGAGGTGATTCGCTCTCGAAAGTCGTCACCTCGTTCGAGTATATAGTAAACGAGCGAAGGAGAAAGAGAGATACGGAGACTCGCATTGCCCTCGGTTTCTTTCCACGATCAATCTCTGATCGTTAATTACAATCGCGCCCGACTTCTCGCTGACTGACGGACATTCCTCGACCAAGGAAGAAAGTCCCCCCGAATTCGGAGTAATCCCGCGAAAACTTTGTCCGAAGCGAGAGAAAGCTCCTCTTCGTCTTCTCCCTTTTTATTCGATTCGCTCCGTCAATTTTTTGCCGCCGAGAGACACACGTTGCAGGGACTCGCTTCGATCGATTTCCACTTCAGCATCCACGAGAGGGAAATCTCGCCTCATCTCGCCTGATCGATCCGATAGGAGATTCAAAGGAAGCTTCAAAGAGCCCTTGGAGAACCCAATTTCAGAGAATACAAAAAAAAAAAAAATAATTAAATTGCATCTCGAAGAATAGAAAGTCCCATATCTTCTTTTCATCAGCATATCTTCTCTTCAGCATCGTCTTCTTCTTCTCTTCCAGGGGACGCGTCTCTTTCTTTAGACCGGATTGGATCTTCCTTTCTGTAAACGATGACGATCGATTTTGGGATCACCTCGTCACGTTCCTCAGCATCTGCTGGACTACATGATCGCTCGCTTTCCCCCCTCTCGCGTCGCTCGACGATCACTTTCTTCGAGATCGCTTCGCGCCGAAGGATCTCCGCTCGCGCTAATCCTACTCGAGGATCGATCGGCGTCGCCGAAGCCAGTCGGGCTATGCGGATCCATAAATCGTAAGCTATCCGGCTCTGGATGTTCTCGATTTCCCTGGCGATGTGCCATCTTCGCGGCGATCTGCTTGTCCTGCTGGTGCTCGTCCTGGCGGAGGCCCAGTGCGTCATGATGAGGATCGTCGGAGAGAATCACTCGAGTGAGTACCTCTCGTTACAAACTTTTTATCGCGTTTTTTTTATCTTCATTTTTTCAGTCCAGATCTCGCTTAATCCTCGATTTTCGAGTTTACGAGTCGGTATTAGACTTTTAAACACGCACAAGTAGCAACTGACGTCATTGAACGTCAAAATACGTATCTACGGACATCAGCTGTATAGATTATAAAGATTCGTGAAGATGATAAAAAATACAAGGATGACTTTGGATAATAGAATGCGGATGCCCGGCAGCGTCGCAGAGGCAGCCTCGCTCGATCATCTCGTCGAAGATCCAAGGATTGTTATTGAAGGACGACGTCTCGCCCTCGTCGACGATCACCGCCACCGCCACTACGACGACCACCGGTCGCATCTTCAACGGCAAACCCAGCAGGAAGGGCGCGTGGCCCTGGCAGGTGTCCCTTCAGCTGTTGCATCCGAAACTAGGCTTCATCGGCCACTGGTGCGGGGTGTCCTGATCGATCCCAAATGGGTGATCACCGCCGCCCACTGCGTTCACAAGTGAGTCCTGCTTCCTCGCGGAAAAGCTTTAGAATCGTGTGGTTGCTTCAATTCGTGTGATTTTTTCCCTAAAATTTAGATAATTCTCTTACTCGAGAGAAGTATTTTTTTTTTTAATCTTCATCAAACTCCTCGATGTTATCCTTAAGTAACTCTCAAGTGGACGCTTATTCCAGTTATTAACCTCATGCTTCGTATACTCAAATGGGTGTTTACTTCAGCGAGCTGTTTAATTTGCCCATCGGCGCGCTATGGACGGCTGTGGTCGGCGAATGGGAACTAGACTCCGGGGGACGCGGATCCGCCCGTTTGCCCGTCGAGAAGGTGATCCTTCACGAGCGGTTCAATAATTACGTGCACGACATAGGTGAGTGCTCGGCATTTCTTCAAATTCAATACCTTCAATAAGCTTCCCTAAAATCCCGAATCTCGTCGTTGTAGCTCTAATGAAGCTCGCCAGGCCGGCACCTCTGTCCAAGTTCGTTCGCACCATCTGTCTTCCTGGTCCCGGTCAGTTCATCGGCAAAGGTCACTGCGTGACCTCCGGCTGGGGCCGATACGGACCCTCGCCCTCGCTCTCCACCGCCCTTCTGGAAGCCAGCGTACCTCTTCTGAATCTCAAAGAGTGTCTCCAAGCCTACGCCACCACGGTGCCCATCAGGAAGGGTCATCTATGCGCCGGTCACACCGATGGTTCCTCCGGAAGCTGCGTGGTGAGCACCTTTTCTGAAAGTTAATTCGCAAATAAGAAGATTCCCCTTATTTCTAAATACTACAATATATAAATATTTAATATTATATTAATATTTAATATTATTAATATTGAATATTATATATATAATATTATATTAATATTAATATTTAATATTAAATATCAATATTATCTAGTGTGTAAATTTATTTAGTTAATCATTATTAATTATATATAAATTGTATTATATATAAAATTAACTAATAATGAATTTAAAAATTTATATAATACATATAAATATATATTATTATGTATAATATTGTAATTATGTACAATATATTACTTGTAATTTCTCTGTCTATTCTAATCTTCAGGGTGATTCCGGAGGACCTTTGCAGTGTCGTCGCTCCGATGGCGCCTGGCAACTGGTTGGTGTCACGTCCTTCGGCTCCGGATGTGCCAGACCGGGTTATCCGGATGTATATACCGAGATACAGCATTACTTGAACTGGATTAACAAGACTATCAGTGCGAACAATGACGACGATATATAATACGCGGTGGCAAATACATTTGTAAATATCAAAACACATTGTAAATATGTTAGTGTACAGTTATACATACAATTCTTATTTGTATATAATGCATATAATCCGCGTGTGTTCATGCGTTGTTGTATATTGTACAGTAAGCTGATTTGAAATTTTAACGCTCTGGAGAATATATCAGTTATATATATATATATATATATATATATATATTATATCTAATTTACGTTTAACATCTGTTCTATTGTACCGTAGCTTAATTCTTTGCGTTCCAAATATGCCAATCTAATTGACCTTCGAATTTGATGTCCCACTTCACGTCATAAAGGTGAAGTACAAGTATAATTCTACTTTATTTTCGAAGTGGAACATCCAAACTGAGTTTGTACACACATGGAATAGAATTTTGTTTCAAACAAAAAGTACCGATATTTTTCTATTCGGCTCTCATAGTTAAAATATTTTTTCTTTTTATGTAAATACAATACTTTGTTAAGATATATTATAGTGATTTAATTTTTATTTTGGTGCGTCATATTTTATGTTGTACAGTTTTTTTTGTTTATTATAATTTTATTATATATATATATATATGTATGTATGTTTAATAAAATAATAAATTTTAATTAACGATGTGAGAGAAAAGGGAAAAAATAAATAAATATTAACTAAAAAATGCATGACGGAGGACAGATGGAAGAAAGAGAGAAATAAGAATAAGGATGAAAACTATTATAATTAAATTCATGTAGGTCATATTCCCCTCCCTCGTCCACATGAATCTGACATTGTAGATAATAAACACAGATAGAAAGCCGAAGATATTGGTACTGATACCGACGTATACACGCTCCTCATACATATAGTTACTCGCAATAATCGTTTTGTTCATATAATATTTTCTGCAAATATGACCAGACAATAATTACGGCCGTTTTGTAAATGATCCGGTTGAGTAAACGTCGGAATCAAAATAAACAGGATGATAGGTCCCGGGGCTTGTAAAGATGTTCCTTTTCCGGGACGTTGGTCGCGGTCAGTTAAAACTTTCACGGTTGTTTATTCAGCCGGAAAAGACGCGAGACGCTTTAAATCCTTGATAAATTACATCGAAGGAGAAGACATTCCTATATATATATATTCAAAACACATCACGTTTAAAAATGCAATAAAATTCCTGCGAATTATAAAGATACGTATCTACTTGCTGTGATATCCACTTAATTCTTATAAAAATTCTATTCCGTTATGGATCGGGTCGGTTTTATCGGAAGAAAAGAAATGATGAGTCACAATACGACCATGTTCCATTAGATGGAACGCAATGTTGTTTAATAATAATGCGAAGCGTTTCTGCCATAAATGATGACGCTAGAGATATCGATTCGTACACGAAGGGCGCACGCGACATACTGTGTCATCGGGCGAAGCCTTAATTAGCCTTAATTATTAATTACAGGTACATATATAATTCGTGCAAGCGGCATTTCGCGAATACAATTGCGTACGTAGGTGTTCCGATGCTCACAAAGCAAATATACATCTTCCACAGCGCGCTAAAGTTGGATTCCGAAGACCTCCGCGAGAGAGCGTCATCTCCAATGATTCCCGAAATTAATCCTTTTATATCATGCACCTGTCGTAAAAACGTAACAATATTTTGTAATTATTCATCCACATCTTTAATTTAATAGTACATTAAAATTAATGATAGATTTTTAAAGATATTTCTTCAGAAAATATATATTCACTTTAGTTTTACGTGATTATTATTGTAATGAAATATCTTTGATGGATCCTCGAAATATCCTTTATTTATTCCGTGTTATTTTTAAAAATGTATCTTTAGCTATGCAAATCGCTCGAAATTAAAATACAAGGTGTAAAATGTATATTATATTGACCAGGTAGCAAGCTGACATCATTCGACGTCAAAATGACGTCATTTAATGACGTTTAATGACGTCAACTTGTAAAGTAAAATAGGTGGCAAGTAAAATAGGTAATCTTACACTTCGAAATTGTTATTTCGAACGAATGCTTCCAATTTGAAAAACAATATGACAGTTCGATGGATATATTTTGTATACACACACGTGTTGCACTTCGTTCGATGCAGTTATGTAACGATAGAAGTAGCTTCTCAGCATCGAAATCCTTATATAAATGCAGATGTTCCCTCGTGCAGATATATTCTCTTCTTGTGGAGAAATGGCTTTTCTTTCTAACTTTCAACACATCTCTATATTTCTATTCGTTTCGATAACGTAATGACGCGAAGAAAACTGTCAGATAAGAAATATAAATAAGAAATGTCACTTGATGCTCACATTCATGCACGTTTTTAGAACACAATTATATGTATAATTAAAATTATCAAAGATAATATATTAAAAAATTGATAAAATGCATTGTCTTTAATTTAATAGTATATTAAATTGATGATGAACTTTTTTAAGGAATGTTTCTTCAGAAAAATTTTTCTTATTTTTTAATATATTAACATATATATTAATATAATTTAATATATTTTAATATATTTATCTGAAAAAATGTAATCTTACGTTAGTAAATATTATCATATTATAAGATTCTGCAAAAAGTTTTAAGATTAGAAATGAAACATGGACGCAATACTTAAATTTAAATAAAAAATTTTCTTCTTAAAAGAACTTAACAAGTAGAAATAAAAATATTAACTAAATCTAAAATGTCTCCTTAAAATTTACGCTAAAACAATATTGCTAAAGTTTGATACCAAACCTTAAGAAACACCGTGTATATACATACATTCATGACAATATCCTATTTTGTGCCTCTAATGTAATTACCTACTAATTAGTAATACATAAAGCACACATATACACACGCATGGCAATTTGCTAAGTATGTTATTTGATTCACTTTCATATCTCTATGCATCATAAATATCAAATATGACTATATTTGAAAAAAGTCTTAATATTCAAAAACCAGTTTCATTCTTTTCAGCATATTTTTTAAATTATTTGTTAACGTGTAATTAAAAATAAACAAATCTTGAAGCAATATATACTTCTTTAGTATATCATTAATATAAAAGAATACTACATCTACAGACAGGAAATTCCATAAATATATATGATAAATAAAATATAAATATAATGAATATATGTATATAAATAAATAAATCATAATATATATTTTTTAATCGAGACTTTTCGTCGCGAATATTTAAAATTTAAATCCTTGTAATTGAATAATCATCGCCTGCGCGCGCGCATTTCTTTATACTCCCGCCCATCTGGTCCCTTCGTGTCACCCACCTGAGTGACTTTTCCATCATTGTATTCGAATCGTTCGATCAGTAGCATACTTTCATCGCGTCGAGGAAAGTGAGCGAGAAATCCGGCCGGGCGAGAGAAGAAGATTAAAAAAAAAGAGGAAAGAGAAAGAAAATAGCGGCGCCTGGAAAGATGGCGCCATTTAGAGCTGAAGGCTTTCATGATACGCGATTCTCTGATTCTTTTCGCTGAAACCGCGAAATTCCGAAGTGGAGAGTCTCGCGTGCTATCGATGTCAAATACCGTGAACAGGCAAAAGTATTAATACCTTTTAATTCTATTTTTATACGAAGAGAGAAAAAGATAGAATTTTTTTTTAGAAATTATGTATTTATTGTTAATGATAAATTATTTAGTTAGTTATTTATTTTATTTATATAAGGATATAAATTGATTATTTTATTTAAATTTAAATATTGGTGGCAGTCGGTGTTTTCTTTTCAATCTGTTTTTCATAATAAAAAACTTTTTGCAAATAATAATATGATAGTTTTTAATATGTTAACATTTATTTAAATTAAATTTTTGCAGATAAAAATATAACAGAAAATAAATAGGAGAAATTTTCATCTTTAAAAAAATCTATTAATTTTTCAATTTTCGAACATTTTTCTTCATAAAAGGATATTTGCATTTTTATTTACGCGAAAATTTTAATTAATTTGTAAACTTTTCCTTTTAATTATACTCTTGCATATTTTTCTCATTTATATATATATATATATATATATATATATATATATATATATAATGAATAAATATTGAGAGAAATTATTGAATTATCGAATTGTCATCTAAACTTTAACATGACAGAGATTCCTCAATCTAGAGAATCGATGTTTCCTCAGCAAAAATGTATTTTTCCAATAAAATTCTTCGCACCTTTTTATATCTATATAAATAAAAACCTCAAATATAAGAATTCTATTAAAGCAAACTTTACATGAAAAATTCACAAAAGAATTAAATAATAAAATATACTGTCGATTACCAGGTTCCTCTTAATTTCCAATTATTTATACTTAAAAAACGAACCAGTTTCGCCAAGGAAAGATCGACTGATTGAAAGACCTCGTCATCGAGAAGCCTCGTCGCGGAAAGAGAGGGGAGAAAGAATTCGAGGAGAGAAAAAATCTACTTAGCAGCGAAAAAAAAACAGAAAAAGAGAACAGCTGATCCGCTGTCAGAGGATGATCATTTTTCAAACGAGGCACTCGTGACATGCGCACGAGCGTTTCCAGGCTTGAGGCGCATCGCCAGGGTGGGGAAGAGGAAACGAGAGGCTCGCTTTAAGATGGCCGCACCCCACACCTGGTGTCGCGCGTGCACCCCGTAGAAGCGTCGCGTCGTCGCGCGAAGCGCTCCGATCTCGCGAGAGCGAGCTGTCACGCGAGTGAGGTCCCGGTGAAGGTGTGAGGTACCCTCGTGAAGCATCTCCGAGGAGAAAGGACGTTCAAGAGTATCCTCGGCGTCGGTGACGCTTCGCTGAGCTCCGAAATATCCCTGAATGTAGGATCCTCCCTCTCGATATCTATCGCTCCCTCTGTCTCTCCCTATCTAGATCTTGTAAACGCGCTTCTTTCTTAGAGTTGTGATCCGTAGAAGGGAAGCTTCGATTCACGACGTTCAATGTCACCTTAATACCTCGGTGCGTCCGCTACGTCGTCGGGTTGTGTCTCCCGGATGTGAAGATGAAGACAGCTCGGTGTTGATAAACTTATCGACGACTGTTTCTCTCTCTCTTTCCATCGTCTCTTCGCGATAACGTGCTGATAACGCCGTCTCCGTTAACAGATCCAAGTCTCTGAAAATACCAGCATCGGTGAGTTCAAAGTTCCCGATCAAGATAGACGCGTCTTAGGTCACTTTATTAGAGAATACATAAAATCCAGAGAAGATTTCCGCGAGTTTCTCCGGAATTTTATTGACTTGCAAGATTCTCGATTATTTTCCTCTTTTCGTTTTATTTCATTTCATTTTATTTTATTTTAATTTCTCGAAAGTGATGTGCATTGGTACGCGTGAATAGACGACCTTCCATCGATCGCGGTTTGCGTTAGCCCTTCCGAAAGTCGCGGAATATATAGGGTGTCTCGCAAACACACATCCATCAATTTTCGTGGAATCGTTACAAAATCACAATTATAATTCATTTATGTAATTAATGATTACTAATTAGTCTTAAGAGAATCTTGAAGTCATATATCCAAAAATTAAATGAGCTGTAAACTAATGTTATTATTCATACTTGTGTGTTCAAATTAATAATATATAAAATAATTCACAGTAATAAGTATTAAATAAAATAAAAAACTGTAATTATTAATATTAAAATAGAATAGCTTTCTATAATCAATAACAAGTAATAGATGTCATATTATCTCACAGGTTGTACGATAAGAAAATACTACCTAAGGAATCCCTGGCAAGATCAACATGAGCAGGAACAGCGAAAGTGGAATTTCCCTGGCGACGCCGCCAGCCATCCACGTCGGACCCATCGTCACTCCTGGGTCCAACGAGACCATCTCCATCGTGATACCGTTATCGACTCAACTCACCACAATGGCATGTCAGAAGGTCTACAAGGACTGCAAGGATTGCAGTAAGGATGCGAAACAGTCAACCGCTCCGCCTAATCCCACTCGAAGGTACCAGAAGAGCTGGAATGTCCTTAAATTCCTGAGACAATCATAGTTTCCTAAAATCTAATTGTACATATATATATAATTATTATTGGAATATAATATATTAAATTTATTATATATATATATATATTAAATATAATAATATATTAAATATATATTATAGAACTTAAATATCCTAGTGGTTTTACAATTCTTTTTTTATTTTATTTAATTCTAATAATTTTTCTTATAAGACTAATTATTAATTTTTACCTTCAATTCTAAATTAAAGTTACAAATCCTCTCTTTTTCCTCCAGTCCGAGAAACGACAGGACAAAGGGCTGTCCCTTTCCCACGTGCTCGCGATACGGTCGAGCGTTCTCGAGGGCGCACGATCTGAAGCGACACATAGCTCGGCACGCAATGCGAAAGGAGAAGCTGCAGCTGACCGATCAACACAAAATCGTTGTGGAGAACGTAGGGAACGACGCGACTCTACGAAGCGTCGTGCTACGCTGCGCCGAGGACAAAGCCGGCTATCCCTGCCCGCGTTGCAAGAAGAGATTCAGCGACGGGGATAAGCTCAAGGTCCACCTGGCCTCGCACGACAAGGTACTGTCTCATCATTTTTATGTAGATTGATTGAAGTCTCCAGTTTATTAGTTACCTGTGAATATACAACAAATGTTTCTGTAAATCAGGCAGTCTTTTTCATTTCTTTTCCTGTATCTTGGCAGACTTATTTTTTATATATATGTATATAAATTTATATACATATTTTAATATTTTTGTTTTTTATATATATTTTTATATATTTTAATATATATATATATATCAAATATATATATACATATATTTTGTATAAAATAAAATAAAAAAAAAATATATATATATATATATATATATACATATATGAAATATATATATTTATATTATATATTTTTTTCAGACAACACCAAAGAACCATTCAAAGCCAGAGGAACATACCAAAAGCCTACTGCACGGTCAAGCAACAGTGAATAAGTCGTCGAAGGATGGGGAAGACGAGTTCTTCCTGGAGGAGATGTTACTGCTGAAGAAGGTCCCGCGAAGGGCGGACAAGGACTCGAAGATCCGCTGCGACTACTGCTCCAAGACGTTCAAGACCAAGTGGACCCTGAGCTCGCACGTGGCCGCTCACGAGGGCCGCTTCCAGTTCGATTGCGGCCAGTGCGGCAAGAAGTTCGTGCGGAAGAGCCACTACGAGGGTCACGTGCGCTCCCACGAGGCCGCCAGGCCCTACAGCTGCGAGCAGTGCGGCAAGACGTTCAAGGAGCTCAAGCATCGTCGCGAGCACACCAAGCGGAAACACCCGAGCAACCAGAGCGCGATACAGAGCTTGCTGGACAGCATCGGACCCTGCGCGAGCGAGGAGGCGAGCATCGACCAGGCCAAGTTCACCCTGCTGATGCCGGTGAACTTTGGCGGGTAAGAAGGAGATTCTCTCGCCACCTTTGAAAGCTTCCTGTGGATCCCTCGAGCTTGAATTAGAAATGAGGAGGCATCTTCGGATCCGCGAGACCTGAGATTTCTTGGAACACTGTTCCCTGGAACCATGGGGCCTTCGGTACTTTAACTTCTTGGAACTCTCTCCTGCTCGGAAGAATGAATTCTTGGATCTTCTAGCTACTCTTGGGGGATGAAAATCTTCCTACTTATTGCTTAGAGTACTGAATCCTCGCAGAAAGTTACATTTCTTGAAACTTCATTGTTTGAGCTTCGACCCTCAACTAGATCTTGTATACTTGAGAATTTTAACGATCTTCGAAATATACCTTTTTGAAAGCGCGGAACTCTGAAAAAATCATATATTTCAATGACAATTTTAAATACAGGGACATTTATTGATTGACAAATTAAAATCATGCGAACTCTTTACTGATTATATTCTATCTGTTATTGCATACTTCACGAGAAAAATAAATCTTGAACAAGTGAAGCCATTATCTTGTATTCTGTTATTCGCGCGTTTTCTTAGAATTCCTATATAAAAAAGCTATATGTTTATATAATAAAATTGTTCACGATTTGAAGATAATTTTAACGAAATATCAAGAGGAAATTTAAAGCTAATTTGCGGTTCCTGTTTCCTCATCGCAATCATATCAGAGAGGAAAAGTTATTTTTGCGAAAGAAATCGATATAAATATTTTTTTCGTATGTCTTCGCGTCTTATATTTATATATGATAGTATAAATTGATACAAAATATACAGAAAACTTCCTTTTTTCATTATTTTGCAATAAATAAAAATGCATTCAATATATCTATAATTAACTTAATCTATATCTGTTCTTATAATAATTGCCATTAAAATTATTTAAAATAAAAACAATAAAATAAATTATTACAAATATTTAAGATAATTCACGCACTGAAAAAAAGAAGTTTTCATATCCTGAAGCTGTCGTTGCAGTGGAAAGATCGCGATTGCGAGATCAGGCGGCTCCTTTGTTTCGCGCACAAATTTCGGGAGTTCTCACTCTGTCCAAGGAACTCTCGCAAAATTTCGGAAATTCCTATCCTTTCCGCAAACGGAAATCCGTAGCGATTCACGAACCAAAGCTATGCAAGAACGCACGTGATCTTCGTGATTGATCGCGATCGGTTGCGTGATTGGTCGCGATCGCCAATTCCTACGAAAAAGGAAGAGGAGAGTTTTTACATGGATCCGAAACGACAGAAAGTGTCTTCGCGAAACGCGCGAGGATGCAAACCAAATGTGCGATACACGTTGGATACGATGCCGCCGGAAGTTCTCGGCATCATCCTGAGGATGCTGTCATTGCACGACGTCGCTTGCACGGTTCGTCTGATCTCCAGGTAGACGATCTCCGTCGATTCGGCGTAAATAAATGTTCAAAGTTTGGAAAATTGCGGAGAAACTTCGCTGGAAACTAACTCTCGAAATACATATAGTTTTGCAGTAAAAAATATCAATTTAATTATATATATAATATTTATTTATTTATATTATTATTAATTATGTGTATAGAATATTTAATTATATAATTATTAATTAATATTTATTATATATTAATTTTTTAGAATCTCTATAGACTATATAGTTGTCTCTATTCATCTCTTCATAGATATTATATTATTAATTCGTAGATTTAATATTGAAAAAGCTAATTTATATTATATATATATATATATATATATATATATATTTATATTTATTATATATTATATATAGAGGAAATCCCAAAACACAATCGTCATAACTATTCTTATTTAATATTCCTTATTTTAATTCTACTTTAAAAAGTCTCGAAAGGGAGAAATTGATCTTGCTTATTAGAAAGCGAATTTGTCACAACTTCAAAGTTCGATAATTTAAAATTTTCAGATTTAAACATGACGTTGTTCGAATCTTTTTATTTTCTCAAAATCCAGCTTCTCCTAAGGCCTCTACATTAAGGAAATATATTGAGACAAAGTCTCCATTAATCTAATCTCACCTTTGATCCTTCCTCGAACAGACGTTACTTCGATGTCGCCGCAACTATATTAAACAGCGAGTTTTTGATAGCCGGCACGAGGCTGGAGATCGCGATGAAACGTACAGAGAGCCTCATGAACGGCGTGAAGACCGATGTTGAGTTGCTCGAGTACAGCAGCATCTTCAACGCGCTGGAACTCATTCGCTCCCAGTATCAGATGCTGAGAGCGGTCACTTGGCGATATACGCATCCAAGGTTTCCTCTATGTTCTCGTGTCTTCTCCGAGATTTAGAAATTTTGTAAAATTCCCTAGAATTAAGAAATTAAAGATATAAAAATATATATCCGGGTATTTAAAAAGAAAAAAATCGATATTATAATACACACATGTACAAATATTTATATTTTTAAGAAACATTTATCTTCTTGTAACAAAAAGTTTTAATATATATTCCTCAATTTTATTTAATTATTTATAAGAGATAGAATCTCTTCAGAAAATTTATATTTCTTTAAATATTTATCTTCTATAAAAAATATTCTTCCACAATTTTCTCTATAATTTAAGAAATAATATATCTCTTCAGAAAATTTTTATTTTTAAAGAATATTTATTTTCTACAAAAAAAATATATTTCTTAATTTTCTTTAAGAAATTAGCGTCTCCTCAGAAAATAATTATATTAATTATAGTTGTATAATTATATAGTAACTAATGTATTTGTTATTAAGAATAAAGAGAAAGAACCTAAATACATACTTTCTTGTTCATTTAATTTCGTTGAAGATTGCGCGATTCACCTACCACGTGCTTCTACGGCGGAAAGGTCCTCGACAATCTCAACTGCTTGCTGCAGACAATTCTTGATCCCGGTCAAGTGCCCACGAACGCCTTCAACTACGTCGATCTGCAGATCTTTACGCGCAGCTGCGAAAACTTCATGGATCATTTCGAGAAGATCACCGAGCGTAGGATAAACAGGTAATACTTGCCTTCATCACTTTACAATTTTGTGTGGCTACTTCAAACTGTTTAACAAATTAATTGCAATCATCAAGAATCAGTAAAAAAACATTCATTGATAGATCCGCTCTAATCTCGGGTTGCAAGATCGTCGACGTCCTAGACTGTCTTGGAGAAGGTCGACAACTGTTGAGCTTGAGGACTTCGTCAAGGACAGGAAACCCCATGGTGAGGGAGGTTTCGATACAATTCTTGAGTCCGGAAATAACATTGACAAATTTCTTGAGCTTACAAAATATCCTCGAAGTATGTACGTTTTTCATTAAGACTCCTCATGTCAGATTGTGACGTCAGAGGCGAGAAAATACACGCTGAAGATTCTTGCGTGCCATTTTTATAACTTCAGATGGCTTCAGCACACTTTTAAAACAGTCCGGAAGCTATATCTAACATAATCGAATTCATCGAGATATCTTTTTATTTAAAAATGGCACGCAAGAATTTTTAGCACGCGCCTTCTCGCTTCTGACGTCATAATCCAACATGATCGGCGAGGATTCAGGAGCCTTAATACTCGAAGAACATTTCGTAGACGATTCTCGAGGGAAAATCTGGTAGCAAGGATCATTCGAATCGCAGACTCGACGTGAGTCCGCGTAATTCCTAATTTTCAGGTCAGCATGCAGCTCAAGTACGTCCTGAGACACGCGTGGTTCACGTGTCTTCGGGTGCCCAACACGAATAATGAATACTGCTGGCGAGACAGGCAGCGTTACATGTACTTTAGACTACGTCGACTGGTCAGCAGCTTCAACAAGCATCTGTTCCACAAGCTGCATTACGAGCGCAAGCTCGTTCTCCGAACGGTAACAATTGATTAAATAATGAGACTAATTTTATCTAAAAAAAAAAGAAACAATGATTACGTAATACATTATTGAAACAATTTATGCAATAATTATGTCATATATTATTATGTAATATATTACACAATTTTTAATTTTAATAATATATTATAATATATATATTATTAAAATAATTATAATAATAATTAGAATAAAATAGATTTTGTAATACATATTAATATACTTTGTATTAATATATAATAATGATTTTTAGAGCAATAAATTTTTCCAGAAGAAAAGAATAATTTTTGAAATTAATAAGACGCATTTTTCCAGGCATCATCGGTGACGTCCCGGAAACCGCCACCGGCTTCTACGTACTCGGGATATGGCGAATACGGCGGCCAGTTCTTCTATTACGGTAACATGAGCAAGTATGCCTACGAGAATAAATTCAAGTACGCGAGATCCGGTAACGCGCAGAACACCGGCGGAGAGCTCCAGGAAGGGACTAACAAGCCGCATCGCTTCGACCTGGTCATCGGAGTTCAATTGAGGTCTGACCCGATGAGAGAAATAGAAATAAAAAATTGCAAACTCAATTTTGTAAACCATTTTTCCTCCAAACCCTTTACTCCCCTTACTACCATAATAATTAAAAAAAAACACCTTGCACAAAATAAATATCTCTGTATAAACAGAATTTCATGCATATCCAGCTAAAATAATTCAAATATAATTTCAATAATTATAATTTTTCTAACAAATAACTACTGAGTGACTAAGTAATATTTGCGTCAGTGTTTTTTTTCTCTCTTATATATATAATATATGTATATATATATATATATATATATATATATATATATATATATATTAAGAAACAAGATAAAAAAACAATTTGTGTTTAATCGTTTAGATGTTCGCCAGAATTGGCTCCGCTATCAATAAGGACGAGTCTAAAGATCGACGATCTGGAGGACCGCCGTCAGAACTCGCGTCAGGAATTCTATCTGAAGCTAAGCACGAGGTGCATAGCTTCCAAAGCTAACAGATTGCCGAGCGTCTTTACCTGGGAGGTGCGCGGTCCTCGAATAAAGAACTCGCAGTGTTGTTGAATCGCGCGTATATATGCACTCTTATATACAGGATATCTCACAAGAAATTGCTGAAACTAATCAGCTGTCATTTTTATAATGCATGCAGTTATTGAGAAAACAAAAATTGTGTTGAAAAGAGGAAAGTATCAGTCTACAGTTTTTAATGGATATAAATCGAATGTTTGTATACCAATTTATTTTATTGAAAAAACTACAAGCTTTCCTTTTTCCAACACAATTTTGGTTTTCTCAACAACTGCATGCATTAAAAAATGACAGCTGAGTAATTTCAGCAATTTTTTACGGGGCACCCTGTACATGTCCTGTAAAATGATTATATCTAGCATCCGATTTTTTATACCTCCAAAGATGAAAAATGAATTAATTTTATCCTGCGACTTATCGATGAAAAAAGTAGTTTAAAAAAAAAAGCCTTAAAAGATTCTTCCTTGACAAAAAGAGATACTTAATGTATACAGATACTTAATGTAAACTATACCGACGAAATTGACGTGAAAAGAAATCGTATGCATACGTCGAAATAAATATAATTCTTAATATTATCTAGAATTTCAACTTACGATCTATCTTTGCAAATATCGAATAAACAACGACGCAGTTAAAATAAATGAGATGCATTTATTTACACGAGGATCTTCTTCAATCACGAAGCGGAGTTCATCACTTAGTTCACTGACGCAGTCATGTTGATCATCTCGTCCTCAGATGCGTGATGAGGCTGCCACGTAGCGGTGTTCAGTTTCTTGGCGCGTTTCTCCAGGATAGAATAGGCGAAATGATTGAGCATAATGCCCTTGGGCAGGGCGATGCCCTGAAAGCGGTACAGGCCGTTCACAGGTCCATCCTCGAGTTTGTGCACGGCTGTCACGGTGACGCGTCCTATCAGGCCGCTGTTACAAACCATAGGACCCTTGCTGATGTCCACGTGATCCCCCAGACGGTACACCGTCACTTTATCATTATCACTGTCCTTGGCGATGCTAGGTATTTGCTCAGACTTGAAGGGATTATCCTGCAAAGATGCAAAAATGATATCAGACAGTTTTATGAAACATACAGAAGTAAATCTCTCTGTTTCATACCTGAAACATGTCCAACGCAACACCACGTGGCACTTCCAACCTCTCCAGCAGTAATTCCCGGTTTGTCAGCTTGACAAAGAGCGCAGACATAGCTCGCAGCTCGGAATCTGTCGGTCTCCAGTCTTGCAGGTCGACAAATACATCATAAATAAAGCTTCCGGAGCGGATCGATGGCGCAGGGAAGCTGTGCAGGTGCACACCCACGTGATCCTTGAACGCGCTGTCCGCAACAGCGCCCAGGATCAGCGAACACGTTCGCCAGAAGATGTGGTTGACCGCGCCGGTCCGCGGACTCTGCATAGTCACCAGCTGCAACTCGCATCTGTCCTGCGTGAAAGGTCTGTGCATGTCCCAGATGCGACCGTCCACCAGAGCGATCGCGGACGCCTTGGAGACGTTCTCGGAGATGTGCCTCGCGCAGTCGTACGGCGTCGAGATGTTGCGGTTCATCGCCATCACCACTTCATCCTCCACCGACCTGTACGTCACCTCTATCTTCTCGATCCTACCCAGCTCAGATCGCTGCCTACGCTTCTCCTCCTCGAACAGCTGATTCCTCCGCTTCCTCGCGTCCACCTTGGACAATGTACCGGCGCATCTCGTCGACAGGAGATGCTGCGCTGGCAGCACACAGAGCCTCCTGCACCTGCAAAACAATCTTCAATCAGTGCTGAAGCTCGAAGCTAATATAATCTTAATACAGAGATATATCTTCAAAATTTCTACCACTTATTAAATAAATATATATCCCAGGTAGCAGACTGACGTCATTAAACGTCATTTTTACTGGGATATAAATATAAAATAAATATGAAAATAAATTTTTTTAATAAAAAAATATAAAAAACGTGACAAAAGATTGAAGATTAAATTGCGTAGTCTTCATATTTTCGAATAAAAAGAAGTACATACCCTTGAATCATGTTTTCTCTCTTTTAACCAAAGAGCGTGTTCAACAAGGAAGTTATCTAGCACATGTATCTCCGCATGTTCGATTTGACAATGTTTACCTATATTACTCTTCTGATCTTAGCAATAAAATTGTATATAATTCGGTGTGTTCTTGATGTCTTTTTCCTCGATTAACTTAAAAAACGGTCAAGATTCACTCCGGATTATATTCGGTTAATCGTCAAGGCACATTTAACCTTAACCTCGTCAGAATGGAGCTGCGCATTGCGCATGTTTTAAAATACATTTAGCGCGAGAAAAAGGCGGGAAATTCAAAATTAAACATCTAATTGATTACACTTCAATGACAATTGCAATTTAAAATGTACAACAGTTAAATAAAATTAACTAAAATTGAAATGGATTAGTACATATATAACAAAACTTGTAATATTAAAGTTTCTCATTTCTTCTCATTATTTCAATAAATGTATGTTGTATTTAATAATGTATTTTCAATAATTGTTTCCCTTATTAACTTTCTCATAAAAGACAGAAGTAAAAGAAAAATAAATTTATTTTAATAGATTCTTAAAATTCTTTTATTATTTTGATGTGTATATATGTTGAATTAAATAATATATTTGAATACAATTGTTTCTTCTTTTTATTGTTTTCACATAAAGAAACTTTTCACATAAGGACACTTTTGACATAAGAAAAGAAAAAAATGTTCTATAAATTGCATCAAATTTTTACTATTAAAAAAATTTAATGAATTTGCGAATATCTCGAATAAGAACAAAATTAGCTATAAGATCAATTACGTGTACACTAATCATAAAACATATTAAAATTATGATATAATAAAAAGCGATAATTGAAACAGGATTTGCTTCATTTCTTATTCATTATTACATTTTCTTTGGTTGCCTTTCGAATAATTTTATTTTTTATATATATCTCCAATTTATGAAATTCATCTGACTGTAATACTTCTATCGCGTTATGCAGAATAAATTCCAAACAAAGATCCTGAAGTTCCTAAAATTTATATTAAATTCCCAGTAAGCAAGAAATATTTAATCAACATTATATAATGTTGATTTTATATAAATTGTCCAAACGTTATAATGTTGTATAAATATGTTGAAAATTTTATTGATATTCTAAAAAATGTTTTAATTGATGTTTTATAAATGTTTTAAAAATATTATTTAATAACAATGCTCTCAAAATATTAATAAAATATTTTAAAAACATTAATTTCAACATTACTGAAACCTCTAGATCAATGTCAAAGTTTGTTCACAATGATGTTGCATATAATGTTAAAAACTACATACTTGACAGCAATAATAACGTTGTAGTAAGATTTTTTGCTTACTGGGTTTATACTAATTTATATTTGATGATATATTGTATACCAATCCTTAATTAATAAATTTCAACTGTAAAAATCATTAACCACAAATCTCTGATACTACTTACCCTAACGTTGTACTTGATCACCTTATTGTAGTATAAAGCTACATTGGATATAACCATTGTTTCCTCTATTATCTTACGACACTTATCCTTAAGATCAGTGTCAGCATACACATCAGCCAATTTCATAAGTTCTATAACAGTGTCGTTTTAGTTTGCGAGTTTTAAATATGTAATAATTTAAGCATACAATCAATTAAAAATCACCTATTGTATACTCCGAACTTAAATCGATTTTCCTAGTATATAAATATTCGAAGAAGGCTTTGTATTCATTCTTTCATTATTTCAGTGTGTATATATATATTGTATTTTATAATATATTTTCAACTGTTGCATCCTTTTATTATGTTTTCGCTTCTGACAAAAGAAACAAAAAATTTTCTATTCAGTTCTCAAATTATCATCATTGTTGTATTCTAAAGTGTACACTTTCTTGTCCTTCATCACAATTAGAGCTCTATTTCCAGAGTCTGTTTTAAAACAATATAGCATAAGTAACAAAATTTTACGTATAAACAATAATAAAATAATATAAAGATGAATCTTACTATATACCATGACCATGTCAATTTTATTGATAAAATCCCATTTTAGAAAGTTCAAAATCGGCCAGTATCTAAAAAAAACGATGTTTTCCTTAAGAATCTGTATAGGATATTTCTCTCTTCCCGTCTCGCTCCATCTTTTTATTAACAGATGATAATTTTCTGTAACATCGTTGGAAGAAACGCTTTATTTCCAAATACGCAAATGAAAAAAAGTCAGAGACAAGGAATAAACGAGAAAGAGTAAATTTGATGTCTTCTTACTGTTTTCTGCAAGAGCGTAATATAATCTTCTTCATTCTTAGATTGATTGGTACCGGCTGTATATAATTTCCACTCAGATGGCCACACACATATAAATGCCTAATTAAATACTTCACTTCTTCTTTAGATAAATAACTTGAAAACTTGAGATATGATGCGTTGATCAAAGCTAGAATCCAAATAACAGTCTCGAGAATATGCTTAAAACCTTCCTCTTCCATGGATAAAGAGCACCTGATTTTGACCTTCGATGTAACAAATATTTGGCTGACAAGTTTCAATTATTTTTAAAACCTATAACGCAAAATAAAAATACAGGTAATAGGAATAAGGAATAAAAATATATCTACTACACATACATACACTGACATATACATGGACACACACACAGTCGGACGGAAACAAATAGCAAACAATTTTTAATTATATCAAATATACGATATACGATACGTATTAATCACCATTTTATAAAAAAAAAGACGTTGAATAAGCTGTGCAATCGAAATTCTTTCACACTGCTCGTTAGTTTTCTTGATTATTATCCAATTAAGTTAATCACCTCAAATCAGAAATACACGAATCAAGTGATACTGATAAAAATTAAAAATAGACCGTTATATCTATATATTAATACATTAATGTACAATGTAGATTTTAATATAAAAATTAAATATATATTATTTATTTTTCTCACTCTTATATTATCTTGATATATACTTGTTGTATTTGATAATATATTTTTATATAATGTTTGTGCCTTATTATGTTTTCACTTTTGAAGATTATATATTTGACAAAAAAAAGAAAAGACAAAGAAATTTTTGTGAATGACATCAAATTTTTAATATTTAAGAGCAATTTAATGATTTTTTCAAATATTTCGAATAACAATAAAATTAGCTAAGATCAATTATATGTACATTAAGCATATCGTATTACAGTAATATATATAATTGGAACAAGATTTACTTCACTATATTATAAATCCGCATATATCGCTAGTGATGTACATGAATATAAAAATATATCGTCAATTTCGTCCGAAACTTTTGTCAGAATTTTTTTGTAAAAGTTACATTTAAAAAATATCTAAAGTAAAATATCTAAGCATGAAATACTCTTCGAAGAAATTTTTTCATTATAATTCTGTCTAATTTAAAATATTCTTCCGACATTAATATGCTTATGATGTGACGCCGAGCAAATTTGAAACTAAGCTCCTCGAGTTCCTAAAATTTATATGATAAACAAATAAATACATCGTAATTAAGGAATTTCAAGTCATTAAGTGCAAACGGTGATACTTATACGTTAAAATTGTACTCGATAGATTCTTTGTAAAAAAAAAGTACATTTGACTCGGTCATTGTTTCATATATCATCTCATAACACTTTGTTTTAAGACTAATCTCATCGTACTCAATAGCCAATTTTATAAGTTCTGTAACAGTGTCGTTTTAGCTTGCGAGTTTAAAGTGTGTAATAATTTAAATTTATTATTAATTCAAATTCACCTATTATATTCTCCGAAGATAAATCGATTTTTCTAGTATATAAGTATTTCAAGAAGGCATTGTACGTGATGTAGGAAAAATCCGATATAAAATATATTGGCACACCATCTGAACTGTAAAACAAATATGTTGGTATTACAAAATAATCACGATTGAAAAATTTTCAATAAGAATAGTTTATATCTACTTACTTTGTATCATTTTTAGTCCAGTCAAAATAAAATATGAAATAATTACAACGATTTTGAAGAATAGCTTTGCGAACGAAAATAGAATGTTCCTCAACTTTAAAAATTGCATCGTATGTCACCTATATTGGAAAAAGACAAAAATAATTAAAAACAATTAAATAATATTAAAGATAATAATAAATGCAAAACGATATTCACATTCCAACAAGATTACATGATTTTTCGTTAATTCATATAAGTATATCCGAAGGTGATACTAGGAATATTAATTTTAATTAAAATTATCATTATGATTATAATTTATTTCCTCTATATAGAAAAAATGTTTCAATACTTTTTTTGAAAAAAAATCTATAAATTTATATTGTACTTAAAAAAATGTAAAATAAAAAAAAATCTTTTTAAGTATTTATAATCTTTTACATTAATCTATCTGGTTTTATTGATGCTACATAATAGAAAAAAATGCAGACAAATGACAGAAAACTTACTGAATCATTAAAAGATGTTCCCAAATTGTCGAATAATACAGGTTCATATATATTTTGTGTATCATAAAAATCATTTGTAATGACTTTAAAAGGTGTCACCATAGTTCTCAATGAACTAAATGCAAATGCGTCGTGAATTGTTGCTAATTGCGTGGGTAACGGTCGGCTAATGTCTTTACCAAAACATTCTCCCCATACATAGATAATCCCAACATTGGTGAGAGCAACGCTTAAGTTACCGTGGGCACTGATATCCTCAGCCGGCTCGGGAATGTCCACCTGTCGATCGAATCATTCTTTATTATGTTACTCTTTTCATTTACATTATTATTAAAACATTTTTTAACTTTCGTGTCAAACAAAGCATATATTACCATGCCTGCAGGAGAGGATTCTTGATTGTTATTAATTATGCCCAGTTGTGAGACATTGTTGAAGCCCCAAGCATAAATGTATCCTTCATTTGTAAGCGCTAATGTGTGTTCAGATCCACAGGCCACCTTAACTATACATCAATATCGATCATAAAAATATTCGATACTGCAACATACCTAGAGATGAATCTCAAATATAAATTAATAAAATTTACTTATTCTTTTGTCCGACATTTCAGTTATTTCGTATGGGGATTTGTACATCTCAGGATAAGAAACATAAAAATCATGATTGATATTTTTAAATGAAATCTGATCGCAATCGTTGTTGCCCCAACCGTATACTTTGCCCGTGTCAGTAACAACCATGCTAAAGTTTGCGCCACAGGAAATATGGGCAATCTTCTGTTCTTCGAAATCAACCAGTGATGGCATAGTGACATCAACTTTTGATGCGATTCCATTGCCAATTTGTCCAAAAGTATTTTTTCCCCAAGCATACACCTAAATTGCAAACAATAAATATTTCTGACAAATAAAAAAAGCAAAGATTATGGAACACATCACTTTTAATTCTTTATACATTTCTCTTCATCTCTTTATGCAACTCTATTTTAAAAAGAAAATTTTATACTTGAAACTTTAACATAAAAGATAGAGGAGGAAAAGTGGCATAGATATAAAAAATTGAAAGTGGCGTACATGTATGTTACATAGCAAACCTACATGATCAATTGATTTAAACGACAAATATATCATGGAGAATACATGCAGTGATGATCACTCTGACCAGTGATGGACAGGTAAGCAAAATTTAAACTACAGTAATTAATCATCATTCAATTAATTGTTCAGCTTAAAAGAATGATTATTATTATCACTGTAGTTCAACCTTTGCTTAACTAGCCATCACTAATTAGAGCAAAGTAATGATCATTGATGTATGCGTTAATCAAGATATATTTGTTGTTTAAATCATTCAATCATGTAGATTTACTTTGGAACATAAATATACCCCAATCATCATCTATTAAATCTTTTATATCCTTCATGTTGAAGTTTTAAATCTTTTAAAATAGAGTTGTAATATTATTTAAAATATCTAGCTTTATATGCAGAATGTTATATTTAAGTATAAAAACACTAGTAGAGAAGACTTTACAAAATACTAATTATGTTTAATAATATTCAGTCCTACATATGTTTCTCAATTTAATTACCTTATAAATTTACTGGTTATGTTAATACACATATAAAAAAATTAAATGTTTTCTCACACTCATACGATATTGTGAAGGTATGTATATATACATATATATTGTCTTAATTTTTACAAAAACAGATTAAATGTAAAAGTTAAAAATGTGCTGTATAATCTTTAAATAATTAATTGTTTTTTTTTTTGTAAAAATGAGTATTATTATCACTGTAGTTCAGTTTTTACTTACCTCTCCATCACTAGTTAAAGCGAGATAATGGGAATCGCTACATGCGATTTCGATAATACATTTGTCATTTAAATTATCCAAGCGTGTAGGTTTACTTGGAAACATAGATATACGCCAATCGTTATCATCATCTATGTCTTCTGTTGAAAAGTTCCAACAATAAACCTTTTAAATAAAGTTGTAATAACAATTAGGATATCTCATTTCATACATTTGAGTGTACAAGCATATTGATAAAGACTTGATCAAAAATTAGTAATGAAAAATTATTGTCATAATATTCAGTATTATATATATACATAAAAGTGCTTTCTGTTTATATATTGTTTTCTCACACTTATACAATATTATGGAAGTGTGTGTGTGTGTGTGTGTATATATGTATATATGTATATATATATATATATAGCCATTTATTTTCATCAAACCAAATTATAAATGTATAAAAGTTAAAAATAATGTGCCATATAACTATCTTTGTGTTTTCCCCATTTATCCAAGTTATTTTCAAAAATTTTTTTGCATTCTTCTTGAGAAAATTTACTTCTCAGCAAAGCAATTTATTATATATAATCTTATTTCTTTTTATTTTAATTTTAATAATTTTTTACTTGTATTTTATAATGATTTTACACATGCGCAGAATGAAAATATTGCCCACGTAATCAGTTTAACATAAGAATAGAAAGATAGAACATTTTTTAAATTCTTCATGTCTATATTTACTACAATATCCCTGAAATAATACCAGGATAATGCTATTCATAAATTCCTTTTTTCTTAAAATATCAAAACATAAATTTTCATTTTACCTGCTAAGAAGAATTTAGTAGTAAAACGAATTTAGTATTAAAAAGGCTATAAAACCTCATATCAATCTTATCTTTTATAGTTGAAATTTCTTTCCAAAAACTAAAATGTACCATTCAAGGGATATTAATTATTTAATGTGCTTTACCTTTCCATTTTCGGTAAGTGCCATGGCAAAATGCGTATTGCAAGCAAAGCTCTTTATGTTTCTCTCACACAGTTCTTCTATCTCTTTTGGATGAATACCAATATATCTGTCAGATTGCAAATGATCATCACTGTTGTATTCTAAAGTGTACACTTTCTTGTCCTTCATTACAATTAGAGCTCTATTTCCAGAGTCTGTTTTAAAACAATATAAGTAACAAAATTTTATATATAAACAAAAACAATAAAATAATAAAACAATATATAAAGATGAATCTTACCATATACCATGTACATGTCAATTTTCTTGATAAAATCTAAATTTAAAAAGCTCAAAATCGCCCAGTGTCTAAAAGGCAACAGATATACCTGTTTCGTGACTTCGTATTGCAATTTTTCGTTTTGTCTAACTCCATCTCTTTATTAACAGGTGACAAATTTCTGTAACATTGTTAAAAGAGATGCTTTATTTCCAAAGATGAAAAAAAAATGAAAAAAAAATTAAAGCCAAGAGCGAACGAAAAAGGGTAAATTTGATGTCTCCTTACTGTTTTCTGTGAGAGCAGAAGATGATCTTCTCCCTTCTTAAGTTGATTGGTACTGGCTGTATATAATTTCCACTCGGGTAGTCACACACATAAAAGAGTTGATTAAATACTTCACTTTTTCTTTAAATAAATTACTTGAAAACTTGAGATCTGATGCATTGATCAAAACTAGAATCCCAATAACAGTCTCGAGCGATAATATGCTTAAATCCTTCCTCCTCCACCAATAAACAGCACCTGATTTTGACCTTTGAAGTAACATAAACCTTTAGGACTGACGCGTTCACTTATTTGTACAACCCATAACACAAAACAAACATACAGGCAATAGAAATAGGGAATCAAAATATATCTATTATACATATACATATACATATGCATACACATACATATACATGACACACACACACACACATTTGGACGAAAACAAATAGCAATTTTTAAATTAAATCAAATATACAATAATCAATCATCATTATTTTATGAAAAAGAAAACTCTGAATAAGCTCTGCAATCAAAATTCTTTTATACTGCTAGCTAAGTTTTCTGTTATCATCCAATTAAATCAATCACCTCAAATCAAAAGTACACAAATCAGAAGTATCTTCAACAAGGAAGTCATCTAGAATATATGTTTCTCTGCATGTTCGATTTAACAATATTTATCAATATTACTTTTCTGATCTTGGCAATAAAATTGTATATAATCCGGTGCATTCTTGATTTTCTTCTTCTCAATCTTCAACAACAATTAGGATTCACTCAAGACTGATATCATAAGCTGCTAGCAAATGATACAAACTTTGCACGTCAAAGTGTCGTTCAAACTCGAGCAACCTTCTGTAGCAAAATTGCAACAAGTGTGTGTCCGCATTAAGCTGAGCTTTTGCTGGCAAGGTTTGTCACAACAGCGTGACGCAAAATTCACGTAAATAACAGAGCAAGCTTTGCCGTGCGCGTCATGATAGCAAATTTGTGGCAAGAATAGGGCAAGGTTTGATCTGGCACTATAAGACGCAAAATTCACGCAAATAACAAAGCAAACCTTGCCGTGCACGATGTGATAGCAAATTTGTGGCAAGAACAGGGCAAAGTTTGCTCTGACACAATGAGACGCAAAATTCACGCAAATAACAAAGCAAACCTTGCTGTGCATGACTTTAATAGCAAATTATAGCAAGAACAAAGCAAAGGTTGTCGTAACAGTGCGGATTGTAATTAATATAATAATTTAATGAATTAATGAGCTCATTAAAAAGATTTTAATTAATAGTATATTAAATTTTATATAAATAGATAAAAATAATTAAATTTTCTTTATATTTTATTATTATTATTAATATTAATAAAAAATATATAGAATTTTAATTATTTTTATATTTATTTATTTATATAAAATTTAATTAATGCTATTAAAGTCCTTCTAATGAGCTCATTATTTTATTATTAATTACAATCCGCACTGTTAAAACCTTTGCTCTGTTCTTGCTACAAATTTGCTTATATATTTGATTATATCAAATTTAATTAATACTATATATTAATCTCTCTAAATAGAGGGATAATACTTAAGCAATTTTTTTAAAGTTTCTATTATCAAAAATGTTTTATATTTATTTCCATATATTTATCTTCAAATTTTTATTTTTAAAAAATCGGATATCTATAATTTATAATCATATATATAAAGACATAAGCGTTTTATATGTATATATAGACCGCTATTTAATTAGTATATATATCACTGCTCAATCCTGAAAAACTCGATCAATCGGCGTCACGAAAGGAACTGACCGAAGCTACCTTTTCTTTCGCTATTATAATGATATTACATATATCGTACGACGAGTTTGTCGAACGTAGCAATTGGTTAACGAATAGAGAATTTCTAAAGTTTCTATCTAATATTCAATCGTTACGTCCGACCACCATCATTTTGTAGTATGAATGTAATATCGGCCTTAGACAATTGTGCTTTGCTTCACGCGTATTTAGACGGCGGGAAGATTGACACCATCTATTGCAGAATTATATAATGACCTTAAAGGTGCGTACAGACTTACAACAGAACATCGTAACGTAACACCGTCGCGTAACACCGACGAAATGCATGGACAATACCCCGTAACGCTTAAATGTTTGGTGCGAGGTACTGTCCATACATTGCGTCGATGTCACGCAACGGCGTTACGTTACGATGTTCTGTTGCAAGTCTGTACGCACCTTAATATAATCAACATAGTTAATTTAAAATCTTGAGCCTTAGAATTATTCGTAACATGTTTAGATTTTTAATCTCTTTTCAAATATAATAATTATAGACAAATATAAATATATTATCTATATAAATATAAATATACTGTCTGTAGATATATATTTGTCTATAATTATTATATTTGAAAAGAGATTAAAAATTTAAACATGACAAATGACTGTAGTATCAAGATTTTAAATTAACTATATATGTTAATTATATTAAAGCCATTATAATTCTGCAATAAATAGTATCAATTTTCCCGCCGCCTAAATACGCGTGAAGTAACGCATTATTGTCTAATAGCGAAAAAAAAGATGTTCTGTCAGTTCATCTGCGACATCTGATTGATTGAGTTTTTCAGGCCTTAACGGTGATATATCTAATTATTGAATAACGGAAACGATTTTTATTTCTTGACGATGTTATTGGACGCTGAGCCAAGTTGAACACCATTAATTTCGTCTTGGGAGTTCTCAACTAATAATAACAGCAACACCTGAAATATACAATATATACAATAGTACGAATATATCTAATACTATATTGTCCGTAAAAGAAACTTTATTGTCTGTCCGAAAAGAATCAGCAACGTTAAAGGAAGCAGCATTATCCAACTGTTTGTGCGTAACAGGATCTTGTGAAACATTTGAATGTAAAGTATTTTTAATTTCCAAAGTAATTCGCCTTCGTTGTCTCGCAGACAACCGGTGGAAAGATTTACGCGAAACAGAATATTTAACTGATTTCATACTTGCCTGAAAAATCTTCTAATCCTCTGCGATACCTTGCGGCACTTAGAACTTGGAAGCTCGTCTCAAAAATGTGGGAAGCTTCTAGAATTATAACCTCTGTGATAACCTTGCGGCACGTATGGTAGCACTCACGGTGGTTGAATTTAGAAGAACGCGGGAACAGTGCTGGAGGTTACAGGACAAAAATTCGCGCAAACGTAGTAGCGCGCATTAAAAGCGCGCAAACGTATGTGACACATGACTACGCCATGCACGGCAAGGTTTGCTCTGTTATTTGCGTAATTTTTGCGTCTCATCATGCCAGAACAAATCTTTGCTCTATTTTTGCCACAAATTTGCTATCACGCCATGCACAGCAAGGTTTGCTCTGTTATTTGCATGAATATTGCGTCTTATCGTATCAGAGTTAACTTTGCTCTATTTTTTTCGTAAATTGTTTGTTATACCGTGCATGGCAAGATTTGCTCTGTTTTTGTCACAAATTTGCTTTATATCGTGTATCACAAGATTTGCTATTATTGACGTAAAGTTTGTATTTCACCATGATACCATCATTTGCTCTCTTCTATAAGTAAAATTTACGAACAAACTTTTCTCTGTTAATTGCAGCATCATATAACGAAAAGTTTTTGCCGTTAATTTGTTCGAAATATTTAGACAAGACGAAGCAAGGCAAATGTTTGCCAGAAAATTGTTGTTAAAATTAAAGCAAACTTTGCCGAAAAGCTTTAACGAAACGTGATTTTATCACTCTTGGCTAGCTGGGAAGCTGCGTTCGAAAATTACACTCTGACACGTCAAAGTGTCGTTCTATCTTTGTTCAACTTTCTGCAAGTCACAAAGATAAATGACACTCCAAAGTGTCAGGTGTAATTTCCGAACGCAGTCAATGAAGCTAGCATATGTTTGAAACATTCATTTGGCCGGAACAAAGGGCAGGAATCTAAAATTAAACATCTCACAATTTATCTCACCTTATATTTTATATACTACTTAAAATTGAAATAAACATATATGTGAATACATGATTATATATATATATATATATATATATATATATATATATATATATATATGTTTTCAAATTATAACAAAAAAAAAAATCTACTAATAAGTATAATATAATCTACTAATATGCGATGATTAAAACACTAAGTTCATTTAATTACTGAGCGTTTATGACAAATATTACATGCAAAAATATAAAAATCAATCAGCGATTTCTCTCGAAATTTGATGTCAAAAGGAACTCTGTAAAAAGTTATGTTCGAAAAATATTTTCTTTAGCTACTCTTTGAATAAAATTATTCCTATATTTATATCTAACTTAAGATAATCTTCCGACAGCAATACATCTTTCATGTGACGTAAAGCAAACTGAAAGCAGAACTCCTCAAACTCCTAAAATTCACACAATAAATAACGATTAATTGTTTAGAAATACAAACATTATAATTAATGAATTCCATAATAGTGATTAACCGAGAACTGTGAAATTTACCTTAACCTTATACTCAATCGCCTTGCTGTAGAAGAAAGCTACATTGGATGGGGTGATAGCTTGTTCTACTATCTGATTGCACTTCTTCTTAAGACTAGTCTCATCGTATTTGTCCGCCAATATCATTAGCTCTGTAATAAGTGTGGTTTCAATTTGCGAGTTGTAAATTCATGATAATATAAATTTCCACAAACTCAAAAATTTACCTAATGCATTTTCCGAAGGTAAATCGATTGTACTGGTATAAAAATATTTCAAGAAGGCTTTATACACGATGTAGGAATATTCCTTCAATACAACGTATACTGAATCTAGTTCACTATTAAAATCAACATGTTAATATAAAATAGGTTTAAAGATTTTCAATACAGAATAATTTATTCTTAAATGTTTACCTGTCTTATTTTCAGTCCAATCATGCTGAACCAGGCATTCGAAATACTGCCAACGAATCTGAAGAATAGCTTTATGAACGTGAATACGTTGTCCTTCGACTTCTATAATACAATCACTCGTTGACTGTGTTAAAAACGAACAAAAATCATTAGAACGCTTCAATAATATTAAACATAATAATTAATATATATTTTGCAAAAAATTTACATAATTTATCATTTACACATTAAAATTCCATATCATTAAACTAACACTAGAAATTTTATCAGTCATTATAACTGTAATTTATTTCCTCTATATAGGAAAATTTTTTCCAATCCTTTTTTTGTAAAAAAATCTGTAAATTTCTATTGTAACTTTAAAAATTACAATAGAAATTAGTCTTTCTCTTTAAAACTCCCTATATTCTTTCTATATTAATCAATTCAATATATATACACGATTTTATATATATTTATAATGCAAAAATATATATACAAAAAATAACAGAAAAGTACCGGATCATCGAACGCCATTCCCAGAACATTGAAAGAAAGTCCCAAAGATATATATATATTCAATATTTCTTCGATGTCACTGTACAATACAGGCAACGGCTTGTGCATGACTCTCATCTTACTGTACGCGCATGCATCGTGAATAGTGGACAACCCTGTGAGAAATGGAGTGCTAATATTCTGACCGAAACAGTCGCCCCATACATAGATATTCTTCTTATTATCAATGGCAACGCTGAAGTTCCCATAGGCAACAATGTCCGAAACCAACTCGGGTATGTCCACCTATCGATAAAATCATTCTCATTATTGTTTTCGTTTCACTTATCGTGACGATTTAAATGTTTTTTCAATTTTTATCAATAAATCATGGATTACCATGGTCACACTGGAAAATGACAGATTATTATTAACACCTATTTGTCCTTTATCGTTGTTGCCCCAGGCATAGACTTTTCCTTCATCAGTAAGCACTAACGTGTGCTCAAATCCACAAGCCACCTTAACTGAAACAGCAATGTTAATTAAAAGATATAAATTTTAAATATAAACTAATTAAATTTACCTATCACTTTGTCGTTTACGTTAATTTCGATTGAGTGCACATAACACTTGTATAATTTCGACCCATTCATTACGGATTTGTAGTCAATTTGACCGTTTCTATTGTCGCCCCAACCATACAATTTGCCCTCGTCAGTAACAACCATGTTGAACTTTGAGCCACAAGCGATAGAGACCACATTCTTCTCTTTTAGTCCAGAAATCAGGTTCGGCACATCGACTTTATTGGGAATTTGGTCGTATTCAATTCTATATGAATAATGTGGCATGTGGATACCAACCTGTCCATAACTATTATCTCCCCAGGCATACACCTAAATTACAAACAATTGTTTAGCTTGTAATAATTATTGTTATTGTTATTATTGTAGCTCAACCTTTACTTACTTGACTGTCGCTGGTCAGAGCGAGAGAATGATAACTGCCGCATGCGATGTCTACGATACATACTTTTTTGAACACTACTCGAGTAGGCGTGGGCTGCATAATGGGAATTTGCGATCCGTTGTTCAATTCGAACTCACTGAATTTCCAGGAATAAACCTTTTTCAAAAATACGTATAACAATGTATATTTTTTTCAATTCTAATATAAATATACGCACACTTGTGACACATAAAAGTGTATATATATTGATTAAATTTTTACAAAATCAAATTACATGCACAGAGTCAGAAATGACGTGCTTTTTCTATCTCCATTCATTTGTTACAAATATTTTCCATATCTTTCATTTTCGTTCAGAAAATAAAGTTATAGTGTTTTATCTTCTATGTTTTCAAATCTAAATATAATTTTCATTGAAATAAATTACCAATTATAGCCACATATCTGTAATTTTATCCATCAAACTATTTTACTTATTAAATACTCCTTATCTAGTTGTTCTACTTACACAATGCGTAAAATGAAAATGTTGAACATACATTCAATTGAAAATGAGATAAAAAAACATTGGTTCTTTCAAAATACAAATTTCTATAATTAATTCTAATAATATTTGCAATTACATATTCATCAAATAACACAATCTAGTCTTTCTTAAATTTTATTTTTCGACAAGAATAGAAACTTTCACTATCTTTTGCTCTTTAAGAAGCACTAGCATATCCAGCGGGCAGGAAGGGGGAGAATAAAATCCCTCATTCAAATTAAAAAAAAAATCATCGTTGATCTTTGAGTAAAAGCTAAGCATAAAACAAAAAATATTAATTAAATAATTTTGTAGAAAGTCTCCCCCCCCCTCCCCTGCACAAATCAAAATCCACTAGTACTAAGAACACTTTAAAACTTAGAAAAATTATAAATTCTTCTATTAATTTTATCTTTTAATTTCAGGTTGAAATTAATTTTGAAAAACTTAAACGTGCCAAATGAGAAATATTAATTATTTAATGTACCTCTCCTTCTTCTGTAACTGCCAGAACAAAAGCTGAGTTGCAAGTAAAAGTCTTTATGTTTTTCCCACATAGTTCTTTGACCTTTTTTGGATAAAGACCAATATGTGTATCATTAATCTTCAAATGATCATCTTTGTTATAATCTAAGTTGTAGACGTTCTTGTCCCTCGTCACAATTAGAGCTCTGTTTCCTTCGTTACCTGTTTTAAAATGCCAATTCATAAATAACAATTTCATATAAGCAAAAACAATAAAATAAAATATAATAAAAGAGAAAAAAAGATGAAAATCTTACCATATACCATGACCATACGAATTTGTATGATAAATTCTGGCTTTAACAGGTTCAAGATCGGCCAGTTTCTAAACGATGATGTATAGATTTTCTTCACCAGATCGCATAACAATTTTCTTCTCGCATCAGTCTGCATTTCTCTACGACAGTTGATAAAGTTGCTGTTAATTATTTACTCACTTTGACTTCATTGCATTAAACTGTGTGCAATTATTTCAACACTGCTATCCAGCAAAGATAATGTATTTTTATAGAGAGTCACTAAAAACTTACTCTTTCTTGTTCGTTGTCTCTGATCTTTCCGTCTGCATCTCTTCGTCTTCTATACAAATACAGTGCAAAATGCGAATATTTCGTCGATGATAGCAACTTGGAAAGTTTTAATATGATTCTTCTTTCTTGAATTATATGCCTGAGAGTAAAAACACATACAATATTGAAATATACACTATAAAAAATGATTGTAAATTCTTTCTTGATGAGTATCATTTACCGTTCGACCTCTGAAGACACCTTAAACCAACTGCACGCACAGTATAATCACGTTGGCGGTTGCATGTTTGCAAGTTTTTGTTTCTACGAACGGAAATTGATATATATACTGACTAGCGAGTTCAGTTATATTTCCGCGTAACAATTTGAATTTGATTCAAATAGAAATTTAAATACTGATAACGGAGCTAAATTGATGAATAATACTACACACATGAAAATATTTATGCATATAGAAAAATGAACAAATTGTATTATTGTAATTTGCGAAAATTCGTTATTAAATTTTGTATATATTATTTGATGCCGAACAGTACTTGTGTATGTGTGTATGTATATATATATATATATATCGACACATTTATATATTAATTAATGCGAAATAATGAAGTGAATTTTTAGTCAATCACAGATTTTCGCGAAGAACAATTAAATTGTGGATATGAAAAAGAATCTAATTTCGTATTCTGCAGAATATATAATTACCGTTTTCGATGTGTATATATATATATATATATATATATATATATATATATATATATATATATATATATACATACACACATACACAAGTATATATATATACATCGAAAACGGTAATTATATATTCTGCAGAATACGAAATTAGATTCTTTTTCATATCCACAATTTAATTGTTCTTCGCGAAAATCTGTGATTGACTAAAAATTCACTTCATTATTTCGCATTAATTAATATATAAATGTGTCGATAATTCAAATTCAGCTTATATTGCAAATAAAAAAAAAACCGAAAAATTGAACAAAAAAAATAGTGTGTGTATACACATATACGATACGGTAGAAACAAAATGCGACCAATCTATTATATAATTAAACCTAACTGATATTGTAAAAAAAGGGGGGGAAAGAAAAAAGAAAGAAAGAGAACTAATAACTTCGATCGATATCTCTTTGAAATTTTTTACGTGCAGATATTTCTATATTTATCTCAATTAAATAAATTCTCAAATCAAATAAAACATATGAATTAAGAGATTTGAGAACTAAGAACTAAAAATTGAAATATTATATAATAGAATATCTACAATGTAATTTTATCGGAACTTGTAATATTGAATATTTATTTCTTTAATTTTGTGTACATGCTTCTGTGTGATAATTTAAATAAATATTTCTCTCTTAATATTCACATTAAAACAAAAAAATCCTACAGATAACATCAAATTTGTTTAAGATGGATATTGAACAAATTTTGCAAATAAAAAACAAAAAAAATGAAATAAGATCAATTACATGTACATTGAATATATATCGTATGTAATATTAATCTATGGAATAATATAAGTACACACACACACACACACACACACACACATATATATATATATATATATATATAATAACTGAGACATAAAGTTCACTTCATTATTGGGGGTGTATAACAGATATTACATATAATAAAAAAAAATCAGATATTCTCGAACTTTTGTCAAAAGGGGCTCTCTGTAAGAATTGTGAATAGAAAAACATCTTCTCTCTTGCTGCTCTTTAAATAAAAATATTTCTTATATTTATAACTTAAGAAGGTCTTTCATGTGACGAAAAGCAAAGTAAAAGCAGAACTCTTCGAACTCCTAAAAATCACACAATAATTGATGTATATTGTTTACAAATACAAACATCATAATTAATAAATACCATTAATAGTGATTAACCGAGAACTGTGAAATTTACCTTAACCTTGTACTCAATCGCCTTGCTGTAGAAGAAAGCTACATTGGATGGGGTGATAGCTTGTTCTACTATCTGATTGCACTTCTTCTTAAGACTAGTCTCACCGTATTTGTCCGCCAATATCATTAGCTCTGTAATAAGTATGGTTTTAATTTGCAAATTGTAAATTCATAATAATATAAACTTTCACAATCAACTCAAAAACTTACCTAATGTTTTCTTCAAGGATAAATCGATTGTACCGGTATATAAATAATTCAAGAAGGCTTTATAGACGATATAGGAAATTTCCTCCAATACAATATATACAGACAAATCTAGTTTACTGTTAAAACCAATAATACGAAATAATCAAGGTTTAAAGATTTTCAATAAGAATAATTTCTATATGTTTACCTGTCATTATTTTCAGTCCAATCATATTGAAACTTGTTTTTGAAATGCTGACAACGAAACTGAAGAATAGCTTTATGAACGTGAATATGTTGTCCTTCCACTTCTATAATACAATCACTCGTTGACTGTGTTAAAAACGAACAAAAATCATTAAAATCCTTCAATAATATTGAACATAATAATTAATAAATAGGGATTTATTCTAAAAAGTTTACATAATTTTTCATTTACTTTAAAATTCGACATCATTAAAGTGACACTAGAAATTTTTATCAGAGTCATTACGACTGCAATTTAGTTCCTCTATGTAAAACTATTTTCCAATTCTTTTTTAGTAAAATCTGTAAATTCGTATTGCACATAAAAATTCACGGCAGAAATTAGTCTTTCTCTTTAAAATTCTCTATATCCCTTCTACATTCAATATTAATCAATTTAATACTTATATTTATAATAAAAAGATAATATACATATACAGAAAAAAATAACAGAAAACGTACCGGATCATCAAACGTCAATCCCAGGACATTAAGAGGGAGTTCCAAGGATTTTAATATATTCAATACTTCTTCGAGATCACTGTCTAATATAGCCATCGGTTTGTGCATGAATTTCATTCTACTGTACGCGAATGCATCGTGAATAGTAGATAACCCTGTGAGAAATGGGGAAGTAATTTTCTGATCGAAACAGTCGCCCCATACATAGATAGTCTCATTAGTGCCAACGGCAACACTGAAGTTAGCGGAGGCACCGATGTCCAAAACCAACTCGGATATGTCCACCTATCGATAAAATCATTCTCATTATTGTTTTCGTTTCACTTATCGTGACGATTTAAATGTTTTTTCAATTTTTATCAATAAATCATGAATTACCATGGTCACACTGGAAAATGACAGATTATTATTAACACCTATTTGTCCTTTATCGTTGTTGCCCCAGGCATAGACTTTTCCTTCATCAGTAAGCACTAACGTGTGCTCAAATCCACAAGCCACCTTAACTAAAACAACAATGTTAATTAAAAAGATATAAATTTTAAATATAAACTAATTAAATTTACCTATCACTTTGTCGTTTACGTTAATTTCGATTGGGTGCGCATAATGCTTGTATAAATTCGACCCATTCATTACGAATGTGTAGTTAATCTGGCCGCTTTTATTGTCGCCCCAGCCATACAATTTGCCCTCCCCAGTAACAACCATGTTGAACTTTGAGCCACAAGCTATAGAGACCACATTCTTCTCTTTTAGTTTAGAAATCAGGTTCGGCACAGCGACTTTATTGGGAATTTGGTTGTAATCACTTTCACGTGGCTTGTGGATACCCAACCGTTTATAACTATCATCATCATATAGCTTTTGGATACCAACCTGTCCATAACTATTATCTCCCCAGGCATACACCTAAATTATAAACAATTGTTTAGCTTGTAATAATTATTGTTATTGTTATTATTGTAGCTCAACCTTTACTTACTTGACCGTCGCTGGTCAGAGCGAGAGAATGATAACTGCCGCATGCGATGTCTACGATACATTCTTTGAACATTACTCGAGTTGGTGTAGGCTGCATATTAGGAATTAAAGATCTTTTGTCCGATTCAAACTCACTGAATTTCCAGGAATAAACCTTTTTCAAAAATATGTATAACAATGTAATAATAGCTATACCTTTCTTGATATCTTATTTCATATGCAGATATATATGAATAAAAACGTAGAGAAAACTTGACAACAAACTAATGATAAAGTATATTTTTTTCAATATTATATATACATATATATATATATAATATTGAAAAAAATATATATATTGCTTTAATTTTTACAAAACCAAATTGCATGCACAGAGTCATAAATAATATGCTATTTCTATCTTTATTTTCTTCATTTGTTAGAAATATTTTCCATGTCTTTCGTTTCTCTTCACGGAGTTACAATCTTTTACATTCTATTTTTTAATTTTAAATATAATTTTCATATTAAAGTAAATGGTCACATATCTGTCATTCAAACCAATTTACTTATTACATATTCTAATCTACTTACTTCATTTACATTACACAGTGCGTAGAATGAAAAAATTGCACATTTATTCAATTGAAATTAAGAATTAAAAAACATTGCTTTTTTCAAAATATTCATTTCTATAACTAATTCTAATGTTTACTATTATATATTCTCCAAATAACACAATCTATTCATTCTTGTAATTTCTTTCTTTTTATGTTATCATAAGAGACAAATATAAACTTTTATTCTTTTTTGATCTCGGAAAACACTTCAGAATTTAGAAAGATTATAATTTCAAGAATAAGATTTATATCAATTTTATCTTTTAATATCAGATTAAAACTTATTTTGAAAAATGTAAATATGCCAAATGAGAAATATTAATTATTTAGTGTACCTCTCCTTCTTCTGTAAGTGCCAGGACAAAAGCTGAGTTGCAAGTAAAGGTCCTTATTTTTTTCCCACACAGTTCTGTTATCTCTTTTGGATAGAGACCAATATGTGTGTCATTAATCTTCAAATGATCATCTTTGTTATAATCTAAGGTGTAGACATTCTTGTCCCTCGTCACAATTAAAGCCCTGTTTCCTCCGTTACCTGTTTAAAATGCCACTCCATAAATAACAATTTCATATATGCAAAATCAATAAAATAAAATATAATAAAATAAAAAAGATGGAAATCTTACCATATACCATAACCATACGAATTTGTATGACAAATTCTGGCTTTAACAGGTTCAAGATCGGCCAGTTTCTAAAAGACGACGGATACATCTTCTTCACTAGATCGAATGACAATTTTCTCTTATATTTCTGCATCTCTCTACGAACAGTTGATAACGTTGCACTTTAATTATTAACTCATTTTGACTTTATTAAATTAAACCACGTGCAATTATTTCAACATTGCTATCCAGCAGAGATAATGTACATAGAAAGAGAAAGACATCAAAAACTTACTCTTTCCTGTTCGTTGTATCTGACCTTTCCTCCTGCATGTCTTCTTCTTCTTCTATACGTGGTGCAAAACGAATTTTCCGATGATGGCACTCTGTGACTTGGAAAAGTTTAATAACCTTCTTTCTTGAATTATATGCTTCCAAGAATAAAACTGCATACAATTATAAAATATATCCTATACAAGATGTCTGAAAATATTTTATATGTACCAATCGTTTTTATAGTTCTTCCTTGATTCATCAAAGATATCTATCGACATTAAATTCGTCAGCCCAGTCAGGGCACAAAAATGCAACTGCGCGGTATAATTTATATTCGCAGATGTTTCCAATAACGGAAAATGCTATACAGGGTGTCCGGTAACTAACGGACCAACGATTACAAGTGGATTCTTTGGTCAATTTGGGAACGATTTTTCCTCAGCAAAAATGTCGAAAAAGGTCATCATTTTTTACAACTTTCCAATATTTGTCATTATGTATCTTTATAACTAAGCCTCAAATTAAAATTTTATTATAGTAAACTCTACCTAAAATTAACTGAAGAATGTAATTATGTTAGACTTTTAACTCCAAAACGTTTAGTTCTCAAAAAATCCATTTTTTTCAATTGTTTATAACTCGAAAATTATTGACTTCTCAATATTTTTGCTAAGGAAAAATCGTCTCCAAATTGGCCAGAGAATCCGCCCTTAATCATTGGTCCGTTAGTTACCGGACACCCTGTATATATATATAAATAAATAACTAGAAAGTACAGTTACTTCCCTAAAATGATTTCAATTTGATTCAAAAGATATAGTATATTGTTAACGAAAATAAATTGATGAAGAATGTAACATACATATAAAAATATATGGAAAGGAAAAAAAATACTGTAATACGGAAATTTGAAAAAATTATTGAATTTTGTACTTATTATTTTTGTTGCCTAACCTTATGTTAAAAGATATTGTTATAGATATCAAATAAAATTGCACTGAATTACGACATCGAAAAATAAATTATTTTCTGCAGAATACGAAAAATTAAACATCTACAATGTGATTTTATGGGAACTTGTAATATTGGATATTTACTTCTTTTATTTTGTGTACATGCTTCTATATTTGATAATATATTTCAAATAAAGTTTTCTCCCTTAATGTTTTCAAATTATAACAAAAAATTATACTAATAATAAGTATACATATGCGATGACTAAAACACTAAGTTCATTTCATTACTGAGCGTGTATGGCAAATATTACTTACAAAAATACAAAAAAATCAGCGATTTTCCTCGAAATTTTTGTCAAAAAGAGCTCTCTGTAAAAAAGTTACGTTCGAAAAATATTTTCTTTAGCTGCTTTTTGAATAAAATTATTTCTTATATTTATATCTAACTTAAGATAATTTTTTGACAGTACTACGTCTTTCATGTGACATAGAGCAAACTCAAAGCAAAACTTCTCGAACTCCTAAAATTCACACAATAAATAACGATGTACTGTTTAGAAATACAAATATATTATAATTAATGAATTCCATAATAGTGATTAATCGAGAATTATGAAATTTACCTTAGCCTTGTACTCGATCGCCTTGCTGTAGAAGAAAGCTACATTGGATGGGGTGATAATTTGTTCTACTATCTGATTGCACTTCTTCTTAAGACTGGTCTCACCGTACTCGTCAGCCAATATCATTAGTTCTGTAATACGTGTGGTTTGAATATCTTTGAGTTGTAAATTCATAATAATATAAATTTCTACAATCAAGTCAAAAATTTACCTAATGCATTCTCCGAAGGTAAATCGATCATGCCAGTATATAAAAATTTCAAGAAGGCTTTATAGACGATGTAGGAAAATTTCTCCGATACAACATATACCGACGAATTTAGTTTACTGTTAACACCAACATGTTGACAATACGAAATAATCAAGGTTTAAAGATTTTCAATAAGAATAATTTATTCCTATATGTTTACCTGTCATTATTTTCAGTCCAATCATGCTGAAACTTGTTTTTGAAATGTTGACAACGAATCTGAAGAATAACTTTATGAACGTAAATACGTTGTTCTTCAACTTGTATAATACAATCGCTCGTTGACTGTGTTAAAAAAGAACAAACATCATTAAAATACTATAATAATATTAAACATAATAATTAATAAATACAGATTTATTGTATAAAAATTTATATAATTTTCCGTTTACAACATTAGAATTCGATATCATTAAAGTGACACAAGAAATCTTTAGCCATTTATCAAAAAGCCATTGTAACTATAATTTATTTCCTCTATGTAGGAAAACTTTTTTCCAATTCTTTTTTTAGTAAAATCTGTAAATTCGTATTGTATTTACAAAATTACAATAAAAGTTAATTTTTCTCTTTAACATTCCCTATTTATTCTTTCTATACCCTATAATAATCAATTCAGTACATATGTATATACGCGTTTTTATATTTCTAAAACAAAGATAATTTACATATACAATATAGAGAAAAATAACAGAAAACGTACCGAATCATTGAACGCCATTCCCAGAACATTGAGAGAAAGTCCCAGGGATTCTAATAAATTCAGTACTTCTTCGACGTCACAGTCCGATACAGCCAGCGGCTTGTGCATAACTCTCGTACCGTGCGCGAATGCATCATGAATAATGGATAACCCTGTGAGAAATGGGGTGGTAATTTTCTGATCGAAACAGTTGCCCCATACATAGACAGTCTTATTAGTGCCAACAGCAACGCTGAAGTTAGCGGAGGCACCGATGTCCAAAACTAACTCGGGTATGTCTACCTGTTAATTAAGTCATTTTTATTATTTTGTTTTTCGTTTTATTTATCGTAATGATTTAATTGGTTTTTCAATTTTTATCAATGAATCATGGATTACCATGGTCAAAACGGAGATTGATAGAGCATTATGAACACCTATTTGTCCTTTATTGTTGTTGCCCCAGGCATAGACTTTTCCTTCATCTGTAAGCGCCAAAGTGTGCTCAAATCCGCAAGCCACCTTAGCTAAACAGCAACGTTAATCATAAAACTATAAATTTTCAATATAAACTAATTAAATTTACCTATCACTTTGTCATTTACGGCAATTTCGAATGGGTGCGCATAATACTTGTATAAATTCGACCCATTCATTACGAATTTGTAGTTAATCTGGCCGCTTTTATTGTCGCCCCAGCCATACAATTCGCCCTCGCCAGTAACAACCATGTTGAACTTTGAGCCACAAGCGATAGAGACCACATTCTTCTCTTTTAGTCCAGAAATCAGGTTCGGCACATCGACTTTATGGGACATTTGGTTGTATCCACTTGAATATGCGTTTGACTTGTGGATACCAACCTGTCCATAACTATTATCTCCCCAGGCATACACCTAAATTACAAACAATTGTTTAGCTTGTAATAATTATTGTTATTGTTATTATTGTAGCTCAACCTTTACTTACTTGACCGTCGCTGGTCAGAGCGAGAGAATGATAACTGCCGCATGCGATGTCTACGATACATTTTTTGAACACTACTCGAGTAGGCGTGGGCTGCATAATGGGAATTTGCGATCTGGCGTCCGATTCAAACTCATTGAATTTCCAGGAATAAACCTTTTTCAAAAATACGTATAACAATAATGTATAATAATAACTATATACCTTTCATGTTATCTTATTTCATATGCAGATATATTTAAATAAAAACATAAATAGAGAAAACTTGATAAAAAAACTAATGATAAAGTTTGATATTTTTTCCAATTCTATATACATATAAATGTTTCTCAACAAAATACTTATTGTGAACAGATATAATTAATATTTTCTCACACTCGTAACATATTATAGAAGTGTATATATATTACTTAAATTTTTACAAAACCAAATTGCATGCACATAAAGAATCAAAAATGATGTGCTATTACTATATCTTCATTTTTTCATTTGTTAGAAATACTATCTATATTTTTCGATTCTCTTCAGAAAATAAAGTTAGTCTTTTACAATCTGTTCTTAATTTTAAACATAATTTTTATATTGAAATAAATGGCCAATTATAGTTACATTATCTGTACTTTCATCAATTTACTTATTATACATACTTTTAACTTTTAACTACTGTGCTACTTACATTACACAATGTGTAGAACAAAAATGTTACACATACATTTAATCACAAATGAGAATTAAAAAACATTGCTTCTTTTAAAATATTCAATTCTATAATTAATTCTAATGTTTACTATTACACATTCTAAAATAACACAATCTAGTCGTTCTTGTATTTTCTTTCTTTATATAATATCTCGTACAACATAAAGAGAAATTTTCGCTCTCTATTGCTCTCTAAGAACCACTAGCAGATTCTGAAAGTGGAGGGGGGGAAATCAAAACCCCTCATTCAAATAAAAAAAACTCTTGGTTGATCCTTGAGTAAGCTAAGCATGAAACAAAAAACATTAATTAAATAATTTCGCAAAAACCCCCACCTCCCCCCATAATTGATATCAGGATCCGCTAATGTTAAGAACATGCTTTAGAACTTACAAAAGTTGTAAGATCTTATATCAATTTTATCTTTTAATCTCAGATAAAAATTTATTTTGAAAAACTTAAATGTGTTAAATGAGAAATATTAAATATTAATTATTTATTAGAAATATTAGAAATATTAATTATTTATTAGTATACCTCTCCTTCTTCTGTAAGTGCCAGGACAAAAGCTGAGTTGCAAGTAAAGGTCCTTATTTTTTTCCCACACAGTTCTGTTACCTCTTTTGGATAGAGACCAATATGTGTGTCATTAATCTTCAAATAATCATTTTTGTTATAATCTAAGGTGTAGACATTCTTGTCATTCGTCACAATTAAAGTTCTGTTTCCTCCATTACCTGTTTTAAAATGTGACTTCATAAATAACAATTTCATGTAAACAAAAACATTAAAATAAAATACAATAAAATAAAAAAGATGGAAATCTTACCATATACCATAATCATACGAATTTGGATGATAAATTCCGGCTTTAAGTGGCTCAAGATTGGCCAGTTTCTAAAAGACGATGGATATATCTTGTTCATTAGATCGCATGACAATTTTCTCCTCTTATATTTCTGCATCTCTCTACAAATAGTTGATAAAGTTGCAGTTTAATTATTCATTTACTTTGACTTTAATTAATTAAACCGTGCTATTATTTCAACATTGCTATCCAGCAGAGATAATGTATATAGAAAGAGAAAGGCATCAAAAACTTACTCCTTTTCGTTCTTTGTCTCTGACCTTTCTTCCTGCATGTCTTCGTCTTCTAAACGTGGTGCAAAACGAATTTTCAGATGATAGCAATGACTTGGACACCTTTAATGATGCTTCTTTCTTCAATTATATTAACCCGATAATAAAAGCGCATAAAATAATGAAATATACACTATAAAAATGACTAAATATAATTTCTTTTGCAATACGTACTACTCGTTTTCCTCAGTTCTTCCTGCAGGATATCGTTAGATTACTAAGGACACAAAACAACTGTAGGGTATTACGCGTTGATGTTTACTACTCTTCGTTTTCAAGAGCGAAAATGATATACATGTAAACACACACTTAATAAAGGAACTGTTTTCAGTTACTTGCGTATAAGAATTAAAATTTGACACACATGTGTATATATATATATATGCATAGAAATATGAACAAATTGTATTATTGTAATTTGAAAAATTCATTATTAAATGTCGTATATATTATTTGTTGCCGAACCGTACTTGAAGATATAGATATCTAGACTTAAAATGCGGGCAATCTATAATTAAACATAATTAATTGATATTCTAAGAAAAAAGGAGGGGGAAGAAGAAAAAAGAGAACTAAACTTTGATCGAAATCTCTTTGAAATTTTTACGTGCAGATATTTCTATATTTATCTCAATTAAATAAATTATCTCAAATCAAAAACTATATATGAATTAAGAGATTTCAGAACTATAAGAACTGAAAAAATGAAATATTATATAATAGAATATCCACAATGTAATTTTATAGGAACTTGTAATATATCGGAACTATTTCTTTCTTTCACTTTGTGTACATGTTTAAATTTGATAATATATTTTAAACAAATTGTTCCCCCTCAATTAATTCACATTATAACAGAAAAAATTGTAAATTTAAGATGGATTAAATAAATTTTCAAATATTCCGAAAAAAATTAAATAAGATTAATTAGATGTATACTGAATATGTATGTCATGTAATGCTAATCTATGGAAATATATATATGATAATTGAAACACAAAGTTCACTTTCTTATTGAACGCGTATAGTAGACAATACTAGTCCACATAAAAAAATAGACAAATAATAATCAGCGAAATTTTGCTCGTAATTTATTTCAAAACTGGCTCTTTGTACAAAAGTTATGTTTTAAAAATATTTTCTGCAGTTGCTCGTTGAATAAAAGTATCCTTTATACTCGCGTCTAACTTCTTATATTCGTCCGATAATACTACCATTTTTATGTCACACAAAGCAAATTGGAAACAAAATTCCTCGACTTCCTAAAATTTACATAATATTTGACGATATATTGTATACACATAAATCGTGTAATTAATAAATTCTAACATTAATAGCGATAAATAGCGAAGTGTAACACTTACCTTAAAATTGCACTCAATCGCCTTGCTGTAAAATAAAGCCACATTGGATGCTGTGATTGCACGCTTTATTAATTCATGGCATTTTATCTTAAGCTGAGGCACACAGTATTTATCGGCCAATTTCATAAGATCTGTAAGAATGTGTTTTATCAGTTTACAAGTTCATAATAACTTAAACTTACAATCAACTCAAATTTACCTAATGCATTCTCAGACGGTACATCAACTGTTCCAGTATATAAGTATGTGAAGAAGGCTTTATAGACGATGTAGGAAAAATCATACACACAGTATATATCTATTGGCATATCTTCAAGACTGTTAAAACCAATGAATTGATATTACAAAACAATTAAGACTGAGATTCTCAGAAGGAATAAATTACTTTTAAGTTCTTACCTTATATTTTTATCAATCCATTCCTGTTTAAACATATGTCTAAAATACTGACAACTATCTTTCAAAATATATCTGTGAAGGTGAATACGTTGTCCTTCAACTTTAACAATAAAATCGTAGGTCGCCTGTGTCAGAAAAAAAAAACAAAAATTGTTATAAATAATTTAATATATAGAATCAAATGTTTTATATTAAAAATATCAAATGTGAATATAAAAAGATTCATCTTAAAAAATTTCACAATTTTTCGCTCATAACGTTATAATTAAAGATAGCTGCATAAATGTTGCAGTAGTTATTTTATGATAGCAATTTATTTTTTCTATGTAAGAAAAAGTTTTCCAATTTTTTTTTATAAAATATGTAAATTCGTAATGTACTTGAAAAAAAATTACAATAAAATTAACCTTTATAAACTCCACAAACTTTTATACTAATCCAACATAATATACATATATGGTTTTATATTATATAACATGACTCTATATATAAAATATATAGGCAAAAATAACAGAAGACGTACCGAATCATCGAATGTCGTTGCCTGATTGACTCCCGAGGATTCCACTGTATTTAATAATTCTTCACTGTCCGATACTACCAACGGCTTGTGCATAACTTTCATTGTAATGGACGATAATGCCTCATCAATAGTGGAGAATTCTGTGTGAAATGGGGAGAAATAATTGTCACCGCGATAATCGCCCCATAAAACCGACTTTGTAATGTCAACAGCAACATTAAAATTATCATAGACAGCGATGTCCTCAACCAATGTGGACATCCTCACCTGTCAATTGAATCATCATATATTATTCTCATTTCATTTATCGTAGCAATTATTAAAAGGTTTTTTCAATTTTTTTTAATAAACAGGATGTATACTCAAATTTTATAAATAAATTCAATAATTTTCTAAGTACCTTTGTTCAAAATTTCAAGTAAAATTGAAGTATTTAAAAAAATTTTAAATACAATTTTAAATTAAATTCATTTTTAATGTATATAATTTTTTAACATAAATAAAAAATTTTTAATATAATATAATATTATGTTTTATAATAAAATATATTTTAATATACTTCTTAATATAAACCTAATAAATTTTATATTTTTAAAGGTATATTTGAAAATATAAAGTCAAACAAGCAATTTTTAAAAATTCCCTGAGTTCGAAATAAATTCCATGAGTATTCTAGGATTTTTCAAGGCAGAAAAAAATTCCCTGAGAATTCCAGGTTTTTCCCGAGAGTATACATTCTGAATGAATCATGATTTACCAAAATCGGAGCGTAGTGGAACGCCAAATCATAATCAGCGCCTAGTTGTCCTTTATCATTCTTGCCCCAAGCATAGACGTGTCCTTCATTCGTAAGCGCCAACACATGCTCGGATCCGCAAGCGATTTTAACTAAAACATCAAGATTAATCATAAGGATATGGATCATTATTAAAATTCTTCGAAACGAATCTCGGATAAGAAACTAATAAAATTTACCTATAGTTTTATTTATCATAATTTTGAGTGGGTTTATGTCAAATCTCCATACTGCACCGCTGTTTATAATTATGGAGCGGTTATTTTCATCGCACCAATCACACAGTTTACCCCAACCATACAGTTCGCCCTCATCAGTGAGAACCACGCTAAACTTCGAGCCGCAAGCAATAGAGGAAACCTTCTTCTCTTTTAAAATATGTTTCACGTTGCATGGAAAAATGAAAGGATTAGAATATTCATGTATATAATATTTAGATGACTTTTGATGCCAATCTGTCCATAAGTATTTCCCCAAGCGTACAACTAAATTACAAAGAAAAGTGATTAATTTGGAGGAATGTGACTATTGCTATCCTTACTATTGTAGTTCAATCTTTGCTTACTTGGCCATCGTTGGTCAAAGCGAGAAAATGTTCACTGCTGCATGCAATGTCCACGATACATTTGTTTCTCACATTGTTGTACTCCTTTGGAATACGTTTTATTTTAAGAACAGTCCATGAACAGTGCCTCTTGAAGCTCCAGAAGAAAAGCTTTTTCAAAAAACATAATAATGTATAATGATAACTATATCTTTGTTGATATCTTATTTAATATATACAATGATATATTTCAGTATGCAAATAGAATGCACAACTAGAAAAAATTAGCAAGACTAATATGATGAAGTTTCAAATTATATAAAGTACTGTACACAAGTGTTTCTACATAAACTTATAAATTCATTGATTATATATAACATTAATAGAGAATAAAATTAAAACTTTTGTTAAATAAAATTAAATACTTTTGTTAAATTTAAAATTTATATTACAATAAATTTACACATATACATATAGAATGAAATTACAACATATACTCACAACTATATATGTATATTCACAACTATACAATAAAATGAGAATACACATATAGAATGAAAATGTTGTACCCATTCAATTTAAAATGAGAATCAAAAAACATTGTATCCAACAAAATTATTATTCCTTTACTTAAATCTACTAATGTTTATATATTTTTCTAAATAGTACAACCTAATAGTTCTTGCCTATATTTTCTCTTTTCTTAAAATATCTTAAAATTAAAACATTAATATATTCATTTTTACTTGCTCTCTAAGAAAAATTTAGAATTTAAAAAAGCTATAAAACCTTATATTTAATCTTATTTTTTACCCAGTAAAATTTATCTTCTTAATTAACCAGTTTAAAATCTATATTAATATCTATATTAATATATAAAATTAAGTGTATCATTGAAGAGATGTGAAGAGATATCATTTATTGTACCTTTCCATCTTCTGTTAGTGCTGAGGCAACATATGGGCTGCAAACAAACGTCTTTATGTCCTTTCCACACATTTGTTCCATCTTCTTTGAGTAGAGATCATGTGTGTCCTTACTATTCCAAAGATCATATTTACTACATTCAAAAGTATATACATTCTTGTCCTTCGTCACAATTAGAGCCCTATTACCATTATCTGTTTCAAAACGCCACAACATAAGTAACAATTACATGTATAAACAAAACAATAATAAATAATGACAATAAAAATAATAAAATAGTAAAAATAAGTTAAATATCTTACCATATACCATTACCATGCGAATTTGCATGGTAAATTTCGGTTTTAGCAGATTTAAAATCGGCCAGTTCCTGAAATTCGACGAAATTAATTTTACAAGATTGAATGGTAACTACAAATAATTGGTAATTTTCAATTTATTAATTCACTCATCCTCACTATAACTTGGATTATTTGTACTTTATCTTACGCGCTTATCGTTTTCATCTCTTGCATTATACAGGGTGTCCCATAATTCGCGAATCACCTTTCATGGGCAGATAGAATTATGGACACCCTGTATATCTTGCAAACATCTTTAATTATTTCAATATCGATATCTAGGAATATGAATAGAAAATTAAACAAAAAGAAAACATCAAACTCACTTCATTATTTTATTCGTCCTCGAAGACTCTGATATCTCTTCCTGCATATCTTCGTCTTTCTCTTTTTCTTGAATGGAGGGATTATCTACTAAGCTATACACTGGGTTATCCGACGATGAGCTATTCATCCGTAATTTATTCGACGATAAGAAGCCATACGACGAAGAGCAATCCGAAAAGTTCTCCGAAGAGTTCTTCGACGATGAGGTTTCCAACATATTCCACATGATCGCAACGTGATTTAAAAAATATGATTCTTCTTGCTTAAATTATATGCCTGAAAGTCGCAGAAACACATAAAATAAAATATATATTACAAAAATTATTAAAAATAATTTTTACGTATTACTATGTATTACTCCTTTACTTCTAGAATATTGTTTAGAGATGCAGCAGAACAACCACGTGTTCACTGATGCAAATGCGGCCTCATACTGGTACTGGGTATCGATTCTGTAATTTCTTCTAAAGTAAAAATGTGAAAAGTAAAAAATTTCCGCCAATCACAAATTGAATTTAAAATGAAATCGATATGCGATTGGTGGAAATTTTTCACTTTTCACGTTTCACTTTAGAAAAAGTTACAGAATGGATACCCTAGTCACGGCTCACAGCTGGTGGTCCTTTGTTCTTTCGAAAAGTGGAAACGGAAAATAAAATGCATATATATATATTCATTTGACTAGAGAGTATCACTTCCTTAATGGCTAAAGTATGATTCGTCGAAATAGAAATTTTAGAAATTACATTGTAATTAAAAAAATTTGTTACTAAATTTAATATACATTTGTCGCTGAACTCTCCTGCAAGATATATTTTTATAGATATCTAACAAATAAAAAATCACGAACTTAATTAAAATACCGAAAACGAAAATTATTTTCTACACAATATAAAATTAATTTTTTTTCATACGTCACGTTTACTTTTTGCGCGATATAGTAAATTGATTGAAAATTTCTTCATTATTTTGCATTAATTAACGTGTTTAATTCATATATTCAGCTTACATTTTGAATAAAAATCAAAACCTAATAATAAGTGAACAAAAAGAATAAGTATCTATACGTGCATTGTACATAAATACAACAAAAAACGGGCAATCTGTAATTAGACATAATAACTAATTGATGTCACTAATTCTTTTAAAAAACCTGATTAAACCTTGCTATGATCGAAATTTCTTAAAATTGTTCACGTGTAGATTTTCTCTATATTTATTTCAATTAAATAAATTATCTCAAATAAAAAACTATGAATCAAAAACTATCAATCTGTATCAACAGATTTAAAAAGAACTAAAAAAATGAAAATTATATATAATAATAAAACATCCATGTATAATTTTATGGGACTTGTAATATTGGAGCTATTTATTTCTTTCATTTTATGTACATGTTCTTGTATTAGATAATATATTTCAAATATATTTTTCTTCCTTAATGTTTTCACATTATAACAAAAAAAAAATAATAAAAATCCTACAGATAGCATCAAATTAATTAAGATGTATTGAATGAATCATGCAAATATATCCCGAAAAAATTATAATCAATTACATGTTATATATCTATAACATAGCATGTAATTGATTATATTTTTTTCGAGATATGTTTGCATGATTCATTCAATATATCCTAAATTAATTTAATGCTGTCTGTAGGATTTTTATTTTTTTTTAACGTTATATTTATATATATTAACGTTACATTTATATATATTATATTATATTATATTATATATATATATATATATATATATAGTAGTAACCCTTTGCTTAGAATCCCCAGCTTTTGCCACTGAGACTACTCGAACCTGCGTTCCGCCTATTATTCGCCTCAGGCGAGTTTCGACGCAACGTGCACGATCACTTGATAACGCAATATATAATGTAACGTTAATCTATGGAATGATAAGTATAATACATGATGGCTGAAATACAAAACTTCATTATTGGGCGCATATGACAAATATTACTAGTCCACATAAAGAAAAATCAAATTTCACTAAAACTTAATGTCGAAACTGGCTCTTAAAAAGAATTCTTAAAGATCATAAAAAGAGCTAATAGAGCTTTTAAAAAAGGGTTTTGTTTTAAAAAGGGTTTTGTTTTAAAAAGAGTTTTGTTATAAAAAGAGTTTTGTTTTAAACAGTTTTGTTTTAAAAAGATTTGCTTCGGCAGCTCTTTGAATAAAAGTATCCTTTATACTCGCGTCTAACTGTTTATAATTATTCGATTGTACTACAACTTTCATGTGAAACGAAGCAAATTGGAAACAGAATTCCTCCACTTCCTAAAATTTATATAATATTTAATGACATATTGTATATACATACATCATAATTAATAAATTCTAACATTAATAGGCGATTAATTACGAACTGTGAAAAGTACTTACCCTAATATTGTACTCGATCGCCCTACCGTAAAAGAAAGCTACATTGGATGTTGTGATTGATGACTTTATTATTAATACGCAATCTTCCTTAAGATTAGTCTCACTGTATTTATCGGCCAATTTCATAAGATCTGTAAGAATGTATCAGTTTGAGAGTTTTAAGTTCCTAATCATTTTAACTTACAATCAACTCAAATTTACCTAATACAGTTTCTGAAGGTAAATCGACTTTCCCAGTATATAAGTATTTGAAGAAGGCTTTGTAGATGACGTAGGAAAAATCCGATACAATGTATCGCTCTGGCTTACTTCGCACACTGTTAAAACAGTATAATGATATTATTAAACAACAATTAAAATTGAGAGGTTCTTATAAAGAATAGTTTATTTTAAAAAATTCTTACCTTCTATTATTTTTAGTTTGATCATGTTGAAACATATTTTTAAAATACTGACAACGATTACTCAAAATATAGCTGTTAACGTAAATACAACCTTGATCTCCAACGCAAACAATAAAATCGCTCACTAACTGTCAGAAAAAAAAACAAAAATTGATAAAAATAATTTAATACAAAAAAGTCAGATATTTTAAATTACAGAAATATCAAATGTGAATACAAAGATTCATACTAAAAATTTTACATAATTTTTCAATTATAATATTAAAATTCAATATGACAGCAGCAGATGTTAAAGAAATGATTACAATAGCAATTTATTTTTTCTATGAAGGATAACGTTTCTTTTAAATCTTTTGTAAAAATCTTACTTGAAAAAAATTATAATCAAAATTAGTCTTTATAAGACTCCATAATCATTTATATTAATCTAACATAATAAATACATATATATAATTTTATATCACATAACATAAAAAATATACAAAAAATAACAGAAGACGTACCGGATCATTGAATCCGAATTCAGGATAATTGAAGAGAGAGCTCAGATAATCGATTCCGAAGGATTCCGAAGGACTCGGTAATTCATCTTTATTATCTGATACTATCAAAGGCTTGTGCATAACTCTCGTTGGAGTGTACGCAAATGCATCGTGAAGAGTGGAGAATCCTGTGGGAACTGGGACAGTAATCTGCTGACCGAAACACTCGCCCCATATATAGATAGTCTTATTAGTGCTAACAGCAACACTCAAGTTACCGTAGGCAGCGATGTCCGAAACCAACTCGGGCATCTTCACCTGTCAATCGAATCATCCTCTATTATTCTGTTTCCCATTTAATTTATCGTAGCAATTATTAAAAGGTTTTTCAATTTTTATTAATCAATCATGGTTTACCGTGACAGGAGAGTAGTAGAACAAGCACCGAGGATCGCCTATTTGTCCTTTATTGTTCTTGCCCCAGCCAAAGATCTTCCCTTCGTTCGAAAGCACTAACGTGTGCTCGAATCCGCAGGCGACTTTAACTGAAACATCAACAATATTCATTAAAATATAGCTTAATATTAAAATTCGTTGAGACGAATCTTGGATATAAATAAACTAATCAAATTTACCTATAGTTTTATTTATTATAATTTTGAATGGATGTGGATCATATGTTTCTCCTTTATAGCTGCGCATAATTTTCCATTGGTCGTTTTTGCAATTCTCATTATATCGTCTGCCCCAACTAAATAATTTGCCTTCGTCGGAAATAGCCATGCTGAACTTCGAACCGCAGGCGAGAGAGGCAATTTTAGTCTCTCTTAAACGTTTCACTTTGCGTGGATAATTGAAATTATATTTATTAATTTTGTATCCTCTATGTGTATATTTTAAGACAGATGGCTGCTTCTCGGTGCCAATCTGGCCATAGTGATTATTCCCCCAAGCATACACCTAAATTGTAAAAAATGTTTTGGAGAAATGTGTAATGACTATTGTTATCGTTATTATTGTAATTCAAACTTTGCTTACATCGCCATCGCTGGTCAAAGCGAGAAAATGATTATTGCTACATGTGATGTCCACGATACGTTTCTTTCCCATATATTTGTAATATGTTTCAAGTTTTACCACTTTCATCTCCTCTTCCATTTTGAATGAATTTTGCTCTTTAAATCTCCAGAAAAAACCTTTTTCAAAAATAACATATAATAATAACTGTACTTTTCTTGATATCTTTTATCATGTAAAATGATACGTTTGGATACAAAAGCACAAAAAGAAAAGATTTGGCAAAAACTAATAATGAAGTTAGAAATTATTTAGAGTACTGTATATATATACAGTAACTATATATAAACGTGATAAAACTTAACCTTATATAAAATAAATTCACTTATATTTGATAGACATAATAAAAAAAATTAAATATTTTCTTACACTTGAAATATTATAAACGTGTATATGTATATTGTCTTAATTTTTACACGACCAAATTGAATATATAAAATAATGTGCTATAATCTTTACTTTTCTCGTTAATTAAAAATATTTTCAAAATATTTCGACATCTCCCACTATCCTTCAAAATTACAATCTTTTACATCCTATGCTTTTAATTTAAAACTATTTTCATATTGAGATAAATGTCCAATTATAGCCAAATATATTTCAATCTAAAGCTATTTATTTATTATATATTCTTAATTATTAAATATTCTTAACTTTTTTTACTTTTATATTAAAACAATTTTACACATATACATAAAATGAAAATGTTGAACCCATTCTATTTAAAATGAAAAACGAAAAACATTGTATCTTTCAAAATTCTCATCCCTGTAGGTGTGTCTAATGTTTATATATTTTTCAAATTGACACAATCTAATATCGTTTGCCTTTATCTTTTTTCTATATATTAAAATTAATATAAACTTTCATTTTTACTTGCTCTTTAGAAGGATAATTTAGAACTTAGAAAGCTCTAAATCTTATATCAATAAGTTTATTTTTTAAACACGTAAAATATCTCTCTATTTATTTAACCAGATTAAAATATATTTTTGTAAACTTAAATGTATTCAAAAGATATGAAGAGATATGATTTGTTATACCTTTCCCTCTTCTGTAAGTGCCATAACAATATGTGAGTTGCAAGCAAATGTCTTTATGGTTTCTCCACACAGTTCTTCTATCTTCTTTGGGTAGAAACCAATATGCGACTCCCCACTCTTCTTCAAAAGATCATCTTTGTCGAAATAAAAACTGTATACATTCTGGTCCTTCGTCACAATTAAAGCCATATTACCATCATCTGTTTCAAAATGCCACAACATAAGAAATAATTTCATGAACAAAAAAACCATAATAATAAATAAAAGAAATAAAACTATAATAATAAAATAAAACATTAATAATAGTAAAAAGATAAATCTTACCATATACCATAACCATGCGAATTTGCGTGATAAATTCCACGTTTAGCAGACATAAGATTGGCCAATTTCTAAAAGACTGTGGATATTTGGCCTCGAGATACCGTGGCAAATTTCTCTCCTCGCCTTTCAGGATTTTTCTACGAATAATTGATATAATTTTCAGTTTATTAATTCATTCAACCTCATCATCACTTTGATTATTTGTACTTTATATCTCGCACACTTATTATTTACATCCCTTGCGCTATTATATCTTGCATATTTCGACATATTCGATAACATGAGATATGCACACCAAAAAAAAAAAAAAAAAGCATAAAATTTACCCTGTTTCATTCGTCCTTGACTCTGATCTCTCCTCCTGCGATTCTTCGTCTTCATCTTCTTCTTGAATGGAGACATCCTCTTCTTCAAGAGCGAGATCTTTTTCTTTTTCATGAGAAAGATCCTTTCTTTCTTCTTTCTTCTTTTTCTTCTTCTTCTTCTTCTTTTTCTTCTTCTTCTTCTTCTTTTCTTCTTCTTCTTCTTCAAGGGATAAAATTTCTTCTTCTTCTTCAAGAGAGAGATCCTTTCCTTTTTCTTGAAGGGAGGGATCTTCGTCCTCTATAATGCTAAACGAATCTTCTGTCGATGTCGATGTATCCGACATGATAGTAACGCGATTTGGAAATTAATAGTTCTTTTTGCTTAAATAATAAAATGTACACCATAAAATGAGATAACAATAGTTTTCAAGGAATCGTTATGCTCCTTCTTTGGTATATATATCATCGAACGTTTTACGGACGCAACACCACGTGTACGATCACGCTGACGGACTGACGCTATATGCTAACGCTGGTCCTTTGTCGTTTGGTCCTTTGAAAAAGCGGAAGAGGAGATGAGATATATACCTACACTTAACTAGAGAGTATCACTTCCTTGTAACGGCTGAAAATTCAACTCGAAAATGATTTTAGTATTGATAATAATAAATTGACTTATAACATAGCATATATATATGTAATTAAATAGATTTTGACACAGAATATAAAATTAGATTTTTTTTTCATACATCATTATTTGTGTATGTGTGTATACATACTAATTTGGCAGGAAAAAAGGCAATTTGTATATAATTAAACACATAATAAGCAATTAATATATCACTTATGTTTATACTTAATATTAAAAAAACTAAATTCTGTGATTGAAATACTTTGAAATTGTTCACGCGAATTAAATTATTACTTTTAATTATAAATATATATATGAATCAAGCGATATACGATTGTAGCTGGAATATAAAAAAATGGAATATTATATATATATATATATATATATATATATATATATATATATATATATATATATATATATATACATATGAGAAAATAAAATCATCTGAATTGTAAACTTTATTATCGAAATTTACATCATTGACTATTTATTCCAATTCTTTTATCATTTAACTATATACATGTATGTTGATGTATTTAAAAATACAATTATACAATAATTGTTTCTCTCTGTTTTCACATTTTTGTAAAAAGTAAAAAAATATAAAAAAATTCACTATGGATTTATATCAAATTTATTATTTAAGATATTGAATTAATTTTGCAAATATCCTGAATTCAGGTAGAAACCAATATGTTTGTCCTCAGTTCTTGAAATGATCATCTTTGTTGTAATCTAGAGTGAATACATTCTCGTCCTTGTATAACAATTGAGCCCTATTACCATCTTCAGTTATATAATACCACACCATAAAAAAACTATTTCATGTATGAACAAAAACCATAATAATAAAATTAAATTATCACATATATTAATATGTAGTCATTAATATATCACCTATCTTTATACTTTATATTAAAAAAAAAACTGACTAAAATCTGTGAGCGGAATTCTTTGAAATTGCTCACGCATAATTTTCTACATCGCCATCCTATTAAATTACTCCTAATCAAAAATATACGAATCAAGGGATACTGATTAGAAACATGGAATATTATATATGATAATAATCGTCTGAATTGTAAACTCTTTATATCATTGATTATTTATTCCAATTTTTTTATCATTTGACTATATACATATATGTTGATGTATTTAATAATACAATTACACAATAATTGTTTCTCTCTATATTTTCACATTTTTGTCAAAAGTAAAAAAAAATGAAAAGAAAAATTCACTATGAATTGGTATCAAATTTATTATTTAAGAGATATTGAATTAATTTTAATCATCATTAATTTCATATCATGTCATGTTAATCTGATATTAAATATTATAAGTTAAAATGATAAATAAATAGATTTACATTATTATAAAACTAAAATATGAAACAAATCGCTTGCACACATATAAAAATAGAAAAAATCAATCGGAACATTTCACCTGAAACTTGTTTGTTGCAAAAGAAATCACGTTCTAAAAGCATTTTCCTTTGCTGCTCTACGCATAAAAATATACTTTGTACTCCTGTCTAACTTAAGACAATATTTTCGAATAATACTATGATTTTCATGTGACACAGACCAAATTGGAAGCAAAACTCTTCGAATACCTAAAATTTAAACGATATTTGACGATATATTGTATTCAAATAAATTACATCAATAAATTTGAATACACAACTAATAATACCAAATAACCACGAATCTATAGTAATTACCTTATCATTTATCAAGACACACCATTAACTTTTCCTTAAGTCTAAGTTCATAGTACTTATCAGCCAATGTTATAAGCTCTGTAATAAATAAGTGTTATTTGTATTTGTGAGATGCAATCCATGATAATATAAGCAACTCTATCAACACAAACTCACCTGATATATTAGTCAAAAGTAAATCAACTTTGCCAGTATATAAATATTGTATGTAGGTTTTATAGACAATGTAGGAAAATTTATCTGGTACATTGTATACTGGCAGGCCTACTAAACTATAAAACATATATGTTGGCATTATAAAATAATCAAGTTTGAAAGATTTTCAATAAGAATAATTTATTCCGAAATGCTTACCGTTTATTATTTTCAATCCAATCACGTTGATCAAACTTATTTTTAAAATACTGACTACGAATTTTAAGGATAGATTCGTGAGCGAATATTTGATCTTCGCCGATTTTTATAATTATATCGTTTGTTGTCTGTAAAAAACAAAAATAAATTTAAAAAACTTAATAACATTAAAGATTACATGAAATCGAATAGAGATTCATCATCAAAATTCAAATAATTTTTCGCTTATAAAGTTAGAAATAAATGTGACTAGAATGGCACCAGAAATTTTAATCAGTCATTACAATTAATTGATTTATTTCTTTATGTAGCAAAAAGTATCCCAATTCTTCTTTAATAACATCTGTAAAATAGTACTGTATTTTTTAAAAAATGCAATAAAAAGTAGTTTCTCTCTCTTTAGTCTCTATAAATTTATGTATATACTAATAAATTCGACAAAAATATATGCAGACTAGTCCCGAATTTCACGAATCCAAATATCATAACAAGAAATTTCACGGAAAGTTAAATTAAAAAATTTGACATATTTTATTCTAAACAATCATTTTTGGAGTAGAAAAGTTTAAAATTAGCATATTATAACGAATAAATACATATAGTATGTATAGTACGCGCGCGCGCGTGTGTGTGTGTGTGTGTGTGTGTGTGTGCGTGCGTGTGTGCGTGTGTTCGCTCTTATATCCCATAACGCAAAAAGTGTTACAAAGAAAAATAACAAAAGACATACCGGATCATTGAACTTCATTCCCGGTAGATAGGCTTTATCTATGAGTTCAAATATATGTAATATTCCTTTTACATCACTGTCTGACACAATAAGCGGCTTGAATGTAACTTTAAATTTACTGAAAGCGAACGCATCTTGAATTCCGGAAAATTTCGTGGGAAGCGGAATTTTAATATGCTGACCAAAACAGTCGCCCCATACATAAACTATGTTATTATTACTGAGGGCAACGCTTAAGTGTCCGTAAGCAGCGATGTCCTTAACCGATTCGGGCATGTCCACCTGTCGATCGAATCATTCTCTATTATAATGGTACTCGTTTCGTTTATATGGCGGTTAATAAATGTTTCTCAATTTTTTAATTTTTATCAATAAATCATTAATTACCATCATCGGAACGGAGCAGATTGGCAAATCAGAATTAGTACCAACTTGTCCGTTGTGGTTCTTGCCCCAGGCGTAGATATCTCCCCTATCCGTAAGCGCCAAAATGTGTTCAAATCCGCAGGACACCTTTTCTGAAACGTTAATGTCAATCATGCAGATATTCAAAGCCACATTATCAGATATAAACTAATCAAATTTACTTATTCTTTTGCCCGTAATTATTTCTTCTGGGAATGCGTGATAGTACTGGCGATATAGACCAAAAATTGAAATCTCGCTATTCTTATTGTTACCCCAACCGTATAATTTGCCAGTATCAGTAATAACCATGTTGAAATTTTTACCGCAGGCAATATGAACAATCTTTCGTCCTTCCAATTCAACTTGTGTTGGCAGACTGATGGTTTCGTCGGAGCAGTCTCCGTTCCAAGCTGTCCCCAATCGTTTCTTCCCCAAGTGTACACCTAAATTGCAAACAATTGTTTAGCTTGTAAGAATGATTATTATCTCATTATAGTTCAACCTATACTTACTTGTCCATCTTCAGTCAAAGCAAGACAATGATACATGCCGCATGCAATGTCCACAATATATTTATCGTCTAAACCAACTAATCGAGCAGGTGTAAAATCCGTCTTAGAAAAATATATTTTTTTGTCCAATATATCCTCAATGTGTTCCCAGAAATAAACCTTTTTAAAAAAAATTACGCAGTTCTTGGTTAATAAATAAACTTTCCTTGATATTTTAGTTTACATGCTGAAATATACATTTAAATATGGAAGTACAAAAAAAGAATTGACAAACAACTCGTAATAAAGTTGAGTATTCTTTAATACCGTGTGTGTATGCATATACATAATATATATACAGGGTGTCCCTAAAGTTACCACTCCTAATATTTCGGAAATGAATCAAAATTTCAAAAAATCGATTTTCAAGGGGGGTCGCCCCTCTTAGACCCCTTTGAGGGGCGATCCCCTCCGACTCCCTTAAAATGATCAAACACGTGTTTTGCGATTTTTCGAAATTTTGATTCATTTCCGAAATATTAGGGGTGGTAACGGACTTTAGGGACACCCTGTATGTATATATACATACATACATACATACATACATACATACATACATACATACATACACACACACACACACATATATATATATACACACACACACATACATACAGGGTGTCTCTCTCTCTCTCTCTCTCTCTCTCTCTATATATATATATATATATATATATATATATATATATATATATATATGTACGTATACATACAGGGTGTTCCATCAAAAGTGGCCACCCCCTTTTATCTTTGAAACTAAGAGATAAACCATAAAAATTATATATGAAATTAAATGGCTCAAACATAGATAGTTTTTGTAAGCAACCACTGTGCCCACAAAAAAGTTCAGTTTGAGCCATTTAATTTCATATATAATTTTTGTGGTCTATCTCTTTTAGTTTCAAAGATAAAAAGGGGTGGCCACTTTTGACACCCTGTGTGTGTGTCTGTGTCTATATATATACTCATTAGTAATATTGACAGACAATTAATATTAAATATTATATAATATTAAATATCACACATTAAATAATATAAATGTGTACCAGTGTTTCTGTCATTTTTAAAATCCAAAATTGAATGTGATAATGAGTCAGAAATGGTATGCTATATAAGTATGCAATCTCTAATTTCTTCTTTTCTCTCTCTCTCTCTCTCTCTCTCTCTCTCTCTCTCTCTCTCTCTCTCTCTCTCTCAGAAATATTTTCAAAATATTTCCACATTTCCCCACTCTTTCGGAAAATAAAAATTACAATCTTTTACATTCTATGCTTTTGAATTTAAACATATTTCCATATACTGAAATAACTGCCAACTCTAACTAAACCTCTCTGTATACATCCAATCAGAGTGCAATTGTTTTATTTAATATAAAATATAAAATATTGACTAACTTTTTCCACTTATATATTGCAATACTTTTGCTCACATGCCAAAAAAAAATGTTGTACATACATTCAATTTAAAGTGAGCATCAAAACACAACATGTTTTATAAAATTTTTAATTCTATAACTAATTTTAATATACTTGTTATAATATTCCTCAAATAACACAAACTAATTGTTCATGTATTTCCTTTCTTCTTACAGTTAGCTTAAAATATAAATATAAACTTTTACTTCCATTTGCTCCCTAAGAAGATTTAAAACTACGAACATGATAAAAATAAATTTTATCTATAATAATAGTTCACTCTGAAAAACATAAATGTATCTTATGTGGAATATGAATCATTTGGTATACCTCTCCATTCTCGAAAAGTACATAAACAAAATATGCGGTGAAAGCAACAGTCTTTATGTTTTTGTGAAAAAGCTCTTCTAACTGTCTTGGGTAGGGTGTTTTAATATTCAAATGATCATCTTTGTTATAATCTAAAGTATACACTTTCTTGTTCTTTGTCACAATTAGAGCTTTGTTTCCGTCACCTGTTAGAAAATGCCACAGCATAAAACACAATTTCAAGTATAATCTATGAATAAAATTGTAAATAAAAATAATAAAGAAATGAAAAAGAAAAAAAGAGACCATACCAACATATACCACAACCATGCGAATTTGCATGATAAATTCCAAATCTAGCAGATTCAAGATCGGCCAATTTCTAAAAGCTGGCGGATATATACACTTCTCGAGATCAACCAGCAATACTCGCCTTTTGTCTGTCAGCACACTATAAAAAATTGATTTTCAGTTTAATTACACACTCATCAATTTCGATTTTAATTAATTGTATTTTATTTCGAACGCTTCTCTCGTTTTCATCACTAGCATTATTATCTTACCGGTGTCTTCCATTATTTCTATATCGCTATCTAAAAACGTGGATAGAGAGAAAAAAAACACATCAAACTTACATTATTTCGTTCGTACTCAATTTTAATCTCTTCTTCTGCACTTCTTCTTCCTATAGAAAAAAAGTCTTCGTTGATTTTCGTAATTATATTATTATATAATTATATAATATATAATTATATTTAATTATATAATTATATTATTTGTTGCCTGGGTAAAAAACAAAAATCGTTAAAAATAACTTAATAATAATAAATCTGAATAGAAAGATTCATCTTATTGACTTGATTCCCTGCTTATAATATTAGAAATCAATATCACTATAGTGACACTAAAATTTTAATCAAGGAGTCATTATAAATACTTCATTTTCTTTATGTCGAAAAGTTTTCCACATTTTCTCAAATAACATTTGTAAATTCGTATTGTACTTAAAAAAAAATACAATAAAAAGTCTCTCCATTGCCCTTCAGTCTCTATAAACTTATACACTACTCAGTTCAACAAATGTATATGCAGGTTTGCGCAGAAATTCATGGATCAGAACATGATAGAAAGGAAATTTTCAAAAAAATAAATTAACAAAGCATTTGCCACTTTTCATTCCAAACAGTAATTTTTGAGATAAAAAAATAAAAAACAATTCAATGATGCCAAATAGATGTGTGTTTGTGTGTGTATATATATAAATGTATGTTTGTATGTATATATGTATTCACATATATATATATGGTTTTTTATCAAATAATACAAAAAAGTGTAAACAAAAAAAAAATAACGAAAGACTTACCGGATCATCGAACTCCACTCTCGGAACATCGACTTTCAGAGAGTTAAATATGTTTAACATTCCTTCTAGATCACTGTCAGACACAATAAGCGGCTTGCACATGACTTTTAATTTAGTGAAAGCGAACGCATCTTGAATTCCAGAAAATTTCGTGGGAAGCGGAACTTTAATATACTGACCAAAACAGTCGCCCCATACATAAACTGTGTTATTATTACTGAGGGCAACGCTCAAGTAACCGTAAGCAGCGATGTCCTTAACCAACTCGGGCATGTTCACCTGTCGACCGAATTATTCTCTATTATAATAGTACTCCTTTCGTTTACATGGTGGCAAATAAAATATTTTTCAATTTTTATCAATAAATCATTAATTACCATCATCGGAACGGAGCAGATTGGCAAATCAGAATTATTACCAATTTGTCCGCTGATGTTCTTGCCCCAGGCGTAGATATCTCCCCTATCCGTAAGCGCCAAAATGTGTTCAAATCCGCAGGACACCTTTTCTGAAACGTTAATGTCAATCATGCAGATATTCAAAGCCACATTATCAGATATAAACTAATCAAATTTACTTATTCTTTTGCCCGTAATTATTTCTTCTGGGAATGCGTGATAGTACTGGCGATATAGAACAAAAATTGAAATCTCGCTATTCTTATTGTTACCCCAACCGTATAATTTGCCAGTATCAGTAATAACCATGTTGAAATTTTTACCGCAGGCAATATGAACAATCTTTCGTCCTTCCAATTCAACCTGTGTTGGCAGATTGATGGTTTCGTCGGAGCAGTCTCCGTTCCCAATTTGTCCACATTTGTTTCTTCCCCAAGTATACACCTAAATTGCAAACAGTTGTTTAGCTTTTAAGAAATTATTATCATTGTAGTTCAACCTTTGCTTACCTGTCCATCTTCAGTCAGAGCGAGACAATGAGATGAGCCGCATGCGATGTCTACAATATATTTATTGTTTAAAATATTTACTCGCGCAGGTCTACCCTGCGTATTAAATAAAAACGATCTGACTGCAGTACGCATGTGCCTCCAAAAATAAACCTTTTTAAATAATAGCAGTTCTTAATTAATGAATAAACTTTTCTTGATATCTCACTTCGTATGTTGAAAGATACATTTGAATATGGCAGTACAAGAAGAAAAAAATTGACTAACATTTGTAGTAACGTTAAACATTATTTAATTGCGTGTGAGACTGTGTGTGTGTGTGTGTTGTGTATGTGTGCGCCTGTGCGTGTATAAATGTGTGTCTGTGTGCGTGCGTGTAACAATAAAATTAATGACAATGTTGACAGACAATTAATATTTTCTCACACATAAAATATTATAAAACTGCATACAAGTGCTGTCATTTATAAAACGCCAAAACTGAATGCGATAATGAATCAAAAATGTATGCTATTAAATCTCTATACTTTCTTCGTTTGTAGGAACATTTTCAAATATATTTCAAAATATTTTCAGATATAATCAAAATATAATCAAAGCAATTATTTTATTTAATATGAAACCTTGACTAACTTTTTCTACTTAATATATTTTAATACCTTTGCACATTTAAATATTTTAATACCATTGCAAATTTAAATTTGCCATGGGTGTAAAAATTTGCATATAAAGTAAATAATGCACACACATATATTTGATTTAAAATTTTCAATTACATAACTAATTCCAATATGGTTTTTACAATATACCTCTAATAACACAAATTAATTATTCTTGTATTTCCTTTCTTTTTACAATAACATGAGATATAAATATAAACTTTTACTCTCATTTGCTCCCTAAGAAATTTTTAGGCTACAATAGTAAGGTAAAAATAAATTTTACCTATAACAAAAGTTCATTTTGGAAAATTTAAATGTGCCATATAAGGAATATGAATTATTTGGTATACCTTTCCATTTTCGAAAAGCACATAGACAAAATATGCGGAGCAAGCAATAGTCTTTATGTTTGCTTGAAGCGGCAATTCCAACTCTTCTGGATAGAGCGTCTTATCATTGACGAAATGATCTTTTTCGTTATAATCTAAAGCATAAACTCTCTTGTTCTTCGTCACAATTAGAGCCTTGTTTCCATAACCTGTTAAACGCCACAGCATAAGTAAAAATTTCATGTGTGCACAAAATCAATAAAATAATGAAAAGAAAAAGAAAGATGAAATCTTACCATATACCATAACCATGCGAATTTGCATGATAAATCCCAGGTCTAGCAGATTTAAGATCGGCCAATTTCTAAAAGCTGGCGGATATAAGTACTTCTCGGGTTTGACAAAAATTCGCTTCCCCTCTGCCAGCATCACATCACTCTCATCTGCCTGCATCTCTCTATGAAAAGTTGATGTTTCTGTTTAATTATTTATTCATTAATTTATTCTTAATTAATTGTATTTTATTTCGCATGTTTCTCCTTTTCATATTTTGCACTATTATATTGCCGGCGTCTTCATTGTTTCAATATCACTATGTAGAGACGAGAATTGAAAAAAAAGAAACACCAAACTTACTCTATTTCGTTCGTCCTCGATTCTGAACTATTGATACGATGCAACTTGTACAGTTTTAATGATTTTTCTTCCTTGGATTATATGCTTGAGAATGAAACCGCATACAATAATAAAATATATGCGCTATAAATAATAAGTCACAATCAATAATTTCGCCGTAACATGCACCACTCGTCCTTTTCAATTCTTCTTGCTAGATATCATTAAGACACAAGAGAAAGAATATAACTGTGCGGTATAACCGCTCTAATGTTTATCCCCTGTTTTCAAGGGCGAAAGATATATGTTGACGCTCGACTAAAAGTTTCATTTCTGTACCGATTAAATTTGATCCAAAATAAAGATTTTAATACTGATTAATGGAAAGAAATTGGCGAATAGTACAACATACATAGAAAGATATTCATACATATGAAGATATATGCACAAAAAACTTAATTAACTATGCATTATTGTAATTTGAAAAAATTCTTAATTAAATTTCGTATATATATTTGTTGCCGAAGCGAACTGAAAGATTATTTTTATAGATATCTATCAAACACAACCACATCCAATTATGACATCAAAAACTAAAATAACTTTTTGCAAAAAAGAAATTCATTTATTAATGTATGTATGTATTCCAATTTGCTCTTTCGCACAATACTGCGTAAGTTGATTGAAAACTTTCTTCGTTATTTCGCATTAATTAATGTACCAAACTAAATATTCAGCTTACATTTCGGATCAAAATCAACTTTATAATTTTATTGTTTACATACAGCTTTCTCTATATTTATTTCAAAATAAATTGCCAAATCAAACATATTCGACTCAAGTAACACAGATTTTAAAAGAAATGAAAAATGAAACATTTATATATAATAATAAAACATCTACAATGTAATTTTATTATGTAAACTTGTAATATTGCAGCTATTTATTTCTCATTCCTTCATCTCGTATATATATTGTATTTGGCAATATATTTCAATAATTTTTTCTCCCTTTACGTTTTTACTTCATAACAGATAAAAAAAAAAGGAAACAAATTCACTACAGATGACATAAACTGTATTAGTTAAGAAAATTTGAATAAATTTTACAAATATTCCCAATTACAAATAAAATTGATAAAATCGATTACATATACTGAAAATATATCATAATTGTTTTTATCTATGGAATGATAGATATGATAATTAAAACAGTTTACTGTATGATTCAGCATCTATGGTAAATATTACTAGTCCACACAAAGAAATAAGAAATTCAAAATCAGCGAAATTTCGCATTTATGTCAAAACTGGCTCTTTGTACAAGAGTTATGTATTAAAAGCATTTGCTTTGGCCGCTTTTTGAATAAAAGTATCCTTTATATCCGCATCTAACTTCCTATAATGATTCGATAGTATTACAACTTTCATGTGATGCAGAGCAAATTTAAAACAGAATTCCTCGAGTTCCTAAAATTTACATAATATTTGACGACATATTGTATACACATTAATCGTAATTAGTGAATTCTAAGATTAATAGCGATTAATCGCCAACTATGATACTTACCTTAACATTATACTCGATCGCTTTCCCATAGAAAAAAGCTACATTGGATGCTGTGATTGCTTGTTCTATTAACCGACCGCATTCTTTCTTGAGATTAGTCTCACGATATTCATGGGCCAATTTCATAAGGTCTGTAAGAATGTGTCGTATCAGTTTGCGAGTTTTAAATTCGTAATAATTTAAGCTTACAATCGAATTTACCTAATGCTTTATCCAAAGGTAAATTGATTCTCCCAGTATATAAGTATTTCAGGAAGGCTTTGTAGATGATGTAGGAACAACCTGATACAGGATATATCTCTGGTGTACCTTGCAACACACTGTTAACACCCATATATTGATATTACAAAACAATTAAAATTGAGATTCTTAGGAATAGTTTGTTTTTAAATTTTACCTTTTATTATTTTTAGTCTGATCATGTTGAAACTTATTTCTGAAATACTGACTACGAATACTCAAAATAACTTTGTGAACGTGAATACATTTATTTTCAACTTGAACAATAAAATCGCTCATCACCTGCATAAATAAAAAGAAACAAACATCGTAAAAATAACTTAATATATTAAAAATATCAAATGTGAATGAAGAGATTCCTTAAAAATTTATATAATTTTACGCTTGTAACATTAGAATTCATGATGATTTTAAGTAATACCAATAATCTTAATGTAATTATTATGATTCCAATTTATTTTTCTCTGTATAGAAAAGTTTTTCAATTCTTTTTTATAAAATCTGGAAATCCGTATCATACTTCAAAAAAATTACAATAAAAATTAGTCTTTACATGGCTCTACAAACTTCTATACTAATACAACATAATATACACATGGTTTGTATTATATAATACGAAAAAAATATACAGAGAAAAGTAACAAAAGACGTACCGGATCATTGAATGCCATTTCCAGACCACCGCAACCCAAGGATTCCATTATATTGAATACCTCTTCTTCAATGTCCGACACAACCAACGGCTTGTGCATGATTTTTACAGTGTGTGAAAATACATCATGAATAGTAGACAATTTCGTGAGAAATGGGTAGTTAAAACACCGACTGAAACAGGCGCCCCATACGTAGACAGACTTGTTACTATCAACGGCAACGCTGAAGTTACTGCAGGCAGCGATATCCGAAACCAACTCGGGCATGTCCACCTGTCGACCGAATCATCCTCTATTATTCTATTTCTCGTTTCATTTATCGTGACGATTATTAAATGAGTTTTCAATTTTTATGAATTAGGGATTACCAAGGTCGGAGTGGAAGTATCCCTATACTCATGAATGCCCAATTGTCCTCTCTGGTTCTCGCCCCAGGCATAAACTTTTCCTTTATCCGTAAGCGCCAACACATGCTCGACGCCGCAGGCCACCTTAACTGAAACATCAACACCAATCATTATATAAGGTGCTACTCGATATTAGAATTTTTCGAAACTCTTGAATGTAAGAGAATTAAAAATTTACCTATAGTTTCATTTATGATAATTTCAAATGGATATGGGTTATACGTCTCTGGCCAGGTTGATGACCCATTATTTCTGGCTATGAACTGGCTGTTTTTGTTGCCCCAATAACCTAGTTTTCCCCAACCATATAGTTGGCCCTTGTTGGTAACAACCATGTTGAACTTTGCGCTGCAAGCAATAGACACAACCTTTTTCCCTTTTAAATCATATCTTATCTTGTGTGGCACCTTGACATCATCAGCATAACTGTCGTGTGTACATTTACATGATTTTTTGCCAACTTGTCCATAACGATTATTTCCCCAAGCATACACCTATATTATAAACAAATGTTTAGTTTCAAAGATATATTGAAAATAGACTGGCTGTAAAATGTTTAGTTTGTAAGAATGTGACTATTGTTATCGTTATTATCGTAGTTCAATCTTTGTTTACCTCGCCATCGCTGGTCAAAACGAGAGAATGAAAATGACCGCAAGCGATGTCCACAATACGTTTGCCGTTAAAGTCGATTCGAGAAGTCGTAAACCTCCCCATTTCATATGAATGCAATTTATTGTCCGATTTGTCATTGACGCATGTCCACGTATAAACCTTTTTCATAAACAATGTATAATTTAATATCTTTCTTCATATCTTACTTCACATGCAGAATACATTTAAATATAAAATCACAAATAAGAAATGCTTGACAAAAGACCAACAATGAAGTTTAGAATTATTCAGAGTACTAGATGTAAATGTTTCTCAATAAACTTATAAACTCATATTGATCATATCGACAAACATAAGAAAACTGAATATTCTCTTACACTTAAAATATTATGAAAGTATGTATATACATTGTTTTAATTTTTACAAAACCAAATTGAGAATATATAATGCGCTATAAGTTTTACTTTCCTCATTTGTTAGAAATATTTTCAAAATATTTTCACATATAAAATCTTATGTCAATCTCTTCAATCTTAAAATTTATCTTTATTTATTTAACCAGGTTTTCAAAATTTATTTTCATAAACTTAAATGCGCCGTTCAAAAGATATAAACTCTTTATTATACCTCTCCTTCTTCTGTAAGTGCAAATTTGCCATAGATTCTGCAAGCAAAGGTCTTTATATTTTTTCCACACAGTCCTTCTATCTTTATTGGGCAGAGATTAAGATGTTTGTCAGTTTCAGAACAAGCAGCTTCTTTACAATCTAAAATGTACACATTCTTGTCCTTTGTCACAATTAAAGCTGTGTTTGCTGCATATATTTTATCATCCGGCGTTTTACATAACCATATGTTGGTGGACCACCCTGTAAATAACAATTTCATGTATAAAGACAAACAATAAAATAATAAAAAGGAAAAAATTAATCTTACCATACACCATAACCATGCGAATTTGCATGGCAAATTTAGGCTTTAGCAGACTCAAGATCGGCCAATTTCTAAAAGCTGATGGATACACATGCTTTGCGAGACCACATGGCAATTTTCTCTCCTCAACTTCCTGCATCTCTCTGTGAAAAGTTGATCAATTTAAGTATAATTAATCGCTCATTCACTTTGATTTTAATTAATTGCACTTTATTTCACACGCTTTTCATCTTTTGCACTATTATCTAGAGATGTGGACAAAATGAGAAAAAAATATCAAACTTGCTCTATTTCTTTCGTTCTTGACTCTGATTTCTCCTCCTGGATGTCTTCTTTTTCGTCGTTTTTTTATCATCTTTGTCTGCTTCATCATCTTCGTCTGCTTCATCATCGTCTTCTTCATTTTCTTTGTCTTCTTCATCTTCTTGATCTTCTTCGTCTTCGTTATCGTCATTTCTTAATCCTAGCAGAGGTTTTAGGTTGAGGCCTTCTTCTTCTTCTTCTTCTTCTTCTTCTTCTTCTTCTTCTTCTTCTTCTTCTTCTTCTTCTTCTTCATCATCGAGTAAATATTTCTTATTTATTTCTCTAAGTATCTTTTCTAAGTCTTGTTTACTTTCGTCTTTTACGGGGTCTGTTATGATGCAAAAGGAGTCTTCCGACGATGTGCTCGACGTCATAGTAATGCGACTTGGAAAGTTAATAAGTTCTTGCTTAAATTATAAGTCTGAAATAATAAAATATACACTATAAAAAGTGAGTAAAAATTAATCTTCCGCACTATCACTCGTTATGCTTTTTTTTGTTCGATATTGTTAGATCGTTTAGAGATACAACTCATACAACCACGTAGGACACTCACATTGATTCTAATGTTGCCTTACCTCATGCTGATCGTCCTTTGTTATCTTTGGTCCTTTGGACAAACGGGGGAGCGGAAGTTGAGATATAAGGTCTGCTCTTTTTGACTGCATTGATTCGGATGTATTTCTCTTTCCTTCCAATATGGACTAAAAAAAATTAAGATAAACTCTGAATTAGTGCAGCCAGATCAGCTGAGTTCAGCCGAAAAGAATAGACTTATATATATACACTTGACTAGAGAATATCACTTCCTTGTAACTAAAAATAAAAGTAAAAATTTGGTTTGTCAAAATTTTAATACTGATATTTTAATATATAATAAATTGACACAAAATATAGAACATGTGTATGAGAATATACATACACAGAAAATTATAAACAAATAATGTATTATCAAAATTTGAGAAATTTAGCAACATATGTAAAATATATCTTTCGTACAATATATAAAATTAAATTTCAGCGTCAAAAGACGTCACGTGATCAAAAATAAGGGTACCAATTTGTCAATTTCGGTCACGTGACGTCTTTTGGCGCTGAAATCTAACGTCAAAGCGTCACATGAAAATTCAGCCTTACATAAAAGCAAAAATATCGAAATAACAGAAATTATTTTTCGCAAAATATAAAATTAGATTATTGTTTTATACATCACAAATTGCGATATTGTAAATTGATTGAAAATTCTCAATATTATTTCATATTAATTAGCTGTTAGCATGTCTAATTCGATTTAATTTACGATTTCGAATAAAAATCAACCTGATAATTAAACAAAAGGAAGTTGTGTGTGTGTATACATACATACATATATTAAGTTGGCGAGAACAAAAAAATCTATAATTAAAAATGATAGATAATTAATATATCACGTATCTTTAAAAAAAAACTGTCTAAACTCTATGTCATCGAAAGTCCTTGAAATTGCTCGCATAGTTTTCTCTATTATTGCTATTCAATTAAATTACCTCGAATCAAGTGATATTAATTAGGAAAATGAAATATATATATAGATACCTACATACATAACATACACACACACACATATATACATACATATATATATATATATATATATATATATATATATATATATATATATATATATAAATAATTATATATGTATAATAAAATTATTTATAAAATAGATTTCATCAGAACTTATAAGGACTTATAGGAATTAATCCTTTATTATTTCATTGCATATACATTTATTTTATAATATATTTACAATTGTTTTTCTCTTATATTTTCACTTTTTTCAGAAGTGAAAAGAAAAAATATTTACCATAAATATCAAATTTATTATTTAAAGAAGATTGAATTTTGCATGCAAATTATCCCGAATTTTGTAAAATTAGATATGATCAATTACATGTATGTACACTGACAATGAATATATACATATCATGTAATGTTAAACTATCTATAATATAAGTAGAAACTATAAATAATTAGAACAAGATTCACTTTATTATTAAACGAGTATGGCACAATTCGCTAAGCACATATAGGAACATAAAAAATCAGTCGGCGGATTTTGTCCGAAACTTGCTCTTCATAAAAGAGATCACGTTCTAAAAACATTTGCTTCAGCTGCTCGACGCATAAAAGTATCCTTTGTAGTCATGTCTAACTTCAGATATTCTTCCGATAGTATTACAACTTTCATGTGACGCAAAGCAAACTGAAAGCAAAACTCCTCGAACTCCTAAAATTCAAATGGTATTTGATGATATTCACATAAAATATAATTAATGAATTTTAACATTAGCAGGGTGTCTACTCAAATTTTGTTTAAAAAATATTCCCTGAGAATTCCCTGATTTTAAAATTCCAAGTAAATTAAGAAAATTTATAAATGCAGATTTTTAATAAAGTTTTTTTTTATTGTATGCGCTTTCTAATGTTTTTTATAGATGCAATTGCAAAATTATCATCAAGAATGCAGTTTTCCTAGCATTTAATAGTGATTTATTAATTATGGAATTAATTTGGACAAATAAAATACGATATATCATATCTAAATAAATAATCATTAAAAATATGTGCAAAAATATAAAATAAAATTTATTATTATTTATTATTATATATTATTATTATTTATTTATTTATTAAATGAGTATTTTTATTTAAATATTATATATTAAAAAATTGAACAATTTTTAAAAAATCTTTTTAACATTTTTGATACTAAAAATAGAGTGTTAATAAAAAAATTACATAAAATTTTAAATAAAACTTAAATATAGTAAAGATATATTAGACATATATTTCTTAAGCTATATGCTAAATAAGAATGAGATTATCAAAGAAGCAATTTAAAAAAATTGAATGCCAATTAAATTTATGAGAATTCCTTTATTTTTCAAGGAATAAAATTATCTGAGAATATCAGATTTTCAATGTTTTTCTTTTCGGGAGTATACATCCTGATTAAAATAACAATTAACTGCAAACGTATGATATTTACCTTAACATTGTACTCAATCGCTTTATTATAGAAGAAAGCTACATTGGAGGGAGTGATTGCTTGCTCTAGAATCTGGCTACACACTTTCTTAAGTTTAGTTTCACAGTACTCGTCGGCCAATATCATAAGATCTGTAATAAAGTGTCATTTTAGTTTGCGGATTGTAAGTTTGTAATAATCAACTAAATCAGCTCAAACTTACCTAACACTTTCGTCGGAGGTAAATCAACTTTACCAGTATATAAATATTTCAAAAAAGTTTTGTAGACGATATAGGAAAAATTCGATACAGAGTATATCTCTGGCGTATCTCGCGTACTATTAAAATCAATGTATTGACATTACGAAATAATTAAGATTAAGAGTTCTAAAGAAGAGTAATTTATTTTTAATACTTACCTTTTATTATTTTCCGCCCTATCATGTTGAAATTTATTTTTGAAATAGGAACTACGAATCTTAAGAATAATCTTATGAACGTAAATAGATTGTCCTTCGATTTGTATAGTTATATCACTCGTAGTCTTCGTCAGCATAAAACATAAATTGTTAAAAATAATTTAATATTAAAAATAGTATTTTAAATTAACATGGATTTATTGTAAAAAATTTACACGATTTTTCGTTTTTTAATTAACATTATAATTTAAAGTGACTGAAATAATATCAAAAATTTCAATCAAAAAGTAATCATTACAATTACAGTTTATTTTCTCTACAAAAAAATTGTCGATTCTTTTTTTAAAACAATCTGTAAATTGGTATTGGACTTTTTAAAAATTTTCAATAAAACAAAAACTTTAAGTTTTTCTAATTTTGATTCACAAGTTTAAAAAATATATAGATATAAAACACAAATATATTATATATATATATATATACACAGGGTGTTCCATAATTCGCGAACCACCGCAAATGGGCAGATAGAGCGTGTTAAACTGAATAGAAAAGTCCTGTATCATTTTGCGATATTCGCAATAATTATTGAGTTATTTATTAAAATATCTAAACGAATAAGCAGGTAGAAAGCATTATTTGATCGAGAGACGGCGTCATGCAGCGAGCGGCGATCAATGTAGTGGCGCCGAAAAGTAAGATGATACTTTTGATACTAAGCGGCATATAACAAATAAGTCATCTGACATGCACACCGAGTCCGGCCTACCGCTTTCTACCCGCTCATTCGTTTAGATATTTTAGTTAATAACTCAATAATTATTGCGAATATCGCAAAATGATACAGGACTTTTCTATTCAGTTTAACACGCTCTATCTGCCCATTCGCGGTGGTTCGCGAATTATGGGACACCCTGTATATATATAATATGTTAATTTAAAATACTATTTTTAATATTAAATTATTTTTAACAATTTATATTTTATGCTTATATATAAAATATATAAAAATGTATATATATAAAATTAATTTACAATATATATATATAAAATATATAAAAAATGTATATATATAAAATTAATTACAATATATATATATATATATATATATATATATATATAATGTATATATATATATAAATAATCATATACATATATTGTATCCAGTTTTTATGCTACATTACACATAAAAATATGTATAGAAAAATGACATAAGAAAATATACCGGGTCGTCAAATGCCGCTTGCAGAACGAATGCGAAAGATTCCAATATATTCAGAACATCCTCGATGTCACTATTCGTAGACACAGTCAGCGGCTTGTGCATGTCTTTTATTGAAAGCGCAAATGCATCATGAAACCTCGAGAAGCCTGTAGCAAACGGGACAACAATTTCCTGGCCGAAACAGTAGCCCCATATGTAGACAGTGCCATTACTGTCAATGACAGCACTCACGTCATCGTGGACAGCGATGTCCAAAATCAACTCTGGCATGTCTACCTATCGATCGAATCATCTTTATTAATCTCGTTCCATTTCATTTATCGTGGTAATTATTGAAGTTTTGTCATCAATAAATCATGACTTACCAAATTCGGAGCAGGTTTTAGTTCATTAGTAGTGCCTAGTTCTCCATTATCATTATTGCCCCAGGTATAGATCTTTCCATTATTCGTAAGCACCAATGTATGAGCGAATCCACAGGCCACTTTAACTAATCAATGTTGATGAAGATATTCAATACAGTAACATTCTTTAGATACAAGTCTTAAGAAAAACTAATTAAATTTATATACCTATTGTTTTACCTGAGACAGCAGTAATTTCGTGTGGGTACACGTAAAACTTGTCCGAAATAACAGAACTATGTTTTTTAGGAGGATTAAATTTTGATTTGTTGTTGGCAGTTAAGTAATAGGTAATATGCACTGAAATCTGGCCACTTTTATTGTCATCCCAACCATATAGCTTGCCCTTGTCAGTAATAACCATGTTGAATTGTGAGCCGCAGGCAATTTGAACAACCTTCTGCCCTTCCAATTCATGTTTCACCTGTCTTGATAGATTATCCAAGATATCTAAGTGAGTGCTGCCAATCTGCCCCCATTTATTTTCTCCCCAAGCGTACACCTAAATTACAAACAATTGTATAGTTTATAAGAATGACTAATATTATCGTTACGACTGTAGTTCAATCTTTACTTACCTTTCCATCACTGGTCAGAGCGAGAGAATGATGTCTGCCACATGCAATGTCCACGACATATTTATCGCTTAATAAACCAGTTACTCTAGTAGGTGTGGAAGCAATCACAGATTTGCTGTCCAAATTGTAATATTTATCGAACCTCCACAAATAAATCTTTTAAATAATAATATCTATTTTTATGTCTATAGCTTCATATGTGCAGGGAGTTATTATCTAGAGATAACAGCACTGTTAAAGAAGACTGGACAAAAGACTAGTGATGAAGTTTGGTATTATTCTGTATTATATGCAAGTGCTTTTCGATCTTATAAACTTATAAATTTACTAGCCATATTGATAAATATTAGAAAAAATTGTTTTTTTACACCTATAAAATATTATAAAAGCATATAAATTGATTAAATTTTTACAAAACCAGATTGAATGCGCAGAGTTAAAATGCATGCTGGAATCTCTGTTTCCCTAGTTTTAGTTTATCAAAGAGAACAAATTTTTTCAAATCCTCTTGTTAAGGAAATAAAAATTAATCTTTCATAATTATTCTGTTGATCTTAAATTTTAAAAATATTTATATATTGAAATTAATATTATGGCCAAATATACAATCTCTACATCCCAGTACTCTATTTATGTATTCTTAACAACTTTTGTTACTTATATTTCATAATAAGTACACACACATGTGTAGAATAAAAATGTTGCACACATAATCAATTTAAAATAAGAAAGAAATAAGAATAGAGAGAAATCACATTTTTCAAAATTATAATTTCTAATAACTAACTTTAATAATTGTTATTACAATATTCCTCAAATAACACAACTAGGTCATTTTCTTGTCAGTATTTTCTTGTTTGTACAGTATTTTAAGACATGAATATAAACTTTGATTTCTACTTGCTCCCTAAAAGCAGTTTAGAACTTGAAAAAATCATAAAATCTGATATAAATCTTATCTTTCAATTAGACTGAAATTGATTCCTATAAATTCAAATGTGCTGTTCGAAGGATATAGACTCTTTGACATACCTCACCACCCTCTGTAAGTGCCAGCACAAAATATAAGCTGCAAGCAAAAGTCTTGATATTTTTCCCACACAGTTCCTTTATTTTTTTGGTTGGAGACCGAAACGTGTATTAATAGGCTTCAAATGATCATTTTTGTTATAATCTAAGCTGTATACATTCTCATCCATTGTCACAATTAAAGCCCTGCTACCGCAGTCACCTTTGTTACCTACATATTTCAAAGTGTCACAGTAATAATATCACATATAATAAGAAGTAATATAATAAAAAGGGAAAGAAAATTGAAACTTACCATATACCATAACCATTCGAATTTGCATGGTAAACTCTGAATTGAGGAGGCTTAAAATCGGCCAGTGTCTGAATTCCGATGGATATATCTTCTTTGCGATTTTGTTCTTCAACGAAGACGGAAGATACTTATAAGGCTGAAAGTGTCAAAGCGAACGCAGCCAATGCATATAAACACTTGACTGACGCATTTCACAGACTTCTAACGATAAGAAATTCAAAACTGAGAATTTCGAATGAAGATATAAATCTACGCATAATGTGCAACGAAATAAAAATGTACACGGGAAAACTGAATAAATATTATAAATATAAAATTAATAAATTATATTATTCTAACTCGAGGAACTTTTAATTACGTACGACGATCTTCTGTTTATGATTTCTGATGGAATAACCGAAATCAATATCGATATTTCCGACATCTCTCTGAAGTGAATCGCACTTTGTGACGTCGCAGTAAAAATTTCCCGCAAAATTTGAATTTTTCTTGTCACAATTTGCATTTTGCACGATATATCGAATATATTAAAAATTTTATTTTATTATGCATTAATAACATGTCAAATTCGACATTTAATTTCCACTTTTTATCCAAAATAAATTTGACAATAGAGCAAAAATTTTGGCGAGAAAAAATTTTTGAAGAAAAAAGACATCGAATTAATTATTTAAATGGGATTAATTTTGCAATTACACCAATATAAACCAAATAAGATTACTTGCACATACACGAGTATACAATTAATGTAACGTTAACCAAGAATAATAAATAGAAATGATAAAAAAAGATCAAGAGTTACTTTTTATTAAATAAATATGACATATATCGTTACTGCACACAAAAGAAATAAAAAATCAATCTGCGATTTCACTCGAAACTCATATCAAAGCTCTTCGGAAGAGTTATGTTTGAAAATCATATTCTTTGACTGCTCTAAGTAATAACTGATATTGTGTGTCCCTATCTAATTTCTCATAGTTATTCGTAACTACTACATCTTTCATGTGACGTACAGCAAATTGGACACACAATTCCTCGAGCTCCTAAAATTTACACGATATTTAACGATACATTATATTCACAAAATAAATCGTAATTAATGAATTTATTGTTAGTGACAACGAACAAACCTAGTGACGAAATTTGCTCTTTGTAAAACAAATTTACGTTCTAAAAAGTTTTGCTTCGGCTGCCTTACGTATAAAAATATCTTTTATAATCACATCTAACTTAATATATTCCTCAGACAGTACTACATCTGTCATGTGACATAAAGCAAACTGTATACAAAACTCTTCGAGCTCCTAAAATTTAAACGATATTTTACAATATATTGTATTCATATAAATCGTTATCAATTAAATTAATAAATTTTAATAAACAATAATAAAAATAACGATTAATAGCAAGCTTCTGATTACTTACTTTAGCATTGTACTCGATTGCCTTACTGCAGTATAAACCTACATTTGACACGACGATTAATTGCTCTATTATCCGACTACACTCTCTCTTCAGACAAATCACTCCATAGTCGTCGGCCAATTTCATAAGGTCTGTAAGAAAGTGTCAGTTCAGTATGCTAGTTTGCAAATTCGTAATAAATATAATTTAAACTTAAAAGCTCTATTTCACCTAATGCATCCTCTGAAGGTAAATCGACTGTCCCTGTATATAAGTATTTTAAGAAGGCTTTGTATACCGTGTAGGAAAATTCATCGGATACAGTGTATATCGACTCACTGTTAAAAACAACGTAATTATGATATTACAAAATTGATTGAAAAGTAGAGGTAATAGTTTTGCTTTTTTTAATACTTACTCTAGATTGTCAAACCAATCATGTTTTAACTTATCTTTGAAATGTCGACAACGAAGTTGAAGAATGGCTTTATGAACGTGAATACGTTTTCCTTCAACTTGTATAATAAAATCGCTTGTTACCTGTGACAAAAAAAAAGTTTAAACTAATTTAATAATATTAAAGAATTAAATACTTATAATATTAATATTATATACAAAATTAATGCCCGAATTTATTGTAAAAAATTTCCATGTATTTTCATTTTTGCATTTAATTAAAATAATCATTATAACTACAATTAATTTCCCTGTAGAAATGTTTTCCAATCTTAAAAAAATTCAATAAAAAAAATATTTTTAATCTTTGTAATCTTTTATACTGACCAACCGAATATGAAAAGATATGCATATATCTATTATTTTATTCTACATAATGCAAAGTATAAAACAATACCAAGAAACGTACCGGATCATCGAATCCTGCTTCCAGGAAATTCAATATATTCGATACTTCTTCGAAATAATAGTAATTATTTGTAGATACAATCAACGGCTTATACATGACTCTTGAGTCACTGTAGGCGAACGCATCGTCAATCTTGGAGAAATCGGTGGGAAATGGAACGTTAATATACCGACCGAAACAGACGCCCCATACATACACAATCTTATTATTACAGAGAGCAACGCTCAAGTTTCCACGGGCAGCGATGTCCTTAACCAACTCGGGCATATCCACCTGTCGATCGAATCGGTTTCTATGATTATGTTACTCGGTTTATTTATCCATGGCGATTATAAAAAAAAATTATCAATCTTTATCAATAAATCATAAAATACCATGGTCGGAGGGGAGACATTCATGGTTGATGGATTATTAACACCTGTTTGTCCTTTATCGTTCTTGCCCCAGGTATAGATTCTTCCATTATCCGTAAGTGCCAATACGTGATCAAATCCACAAGACACCTTAACTAAAACAATGATGATCAGAAGGATATTCAATACTATACACTCTTAGAGATAAATATCAGATATATAAATCAAATTTACCTATCACTTTTTCTGCAAGTAATGAAATACTTTCACATGTATGTACAAAAAAAAGAATCAGTATCCATTAAAATTTGATACCAATTGTTGTTGCCCCAACAGTATAGTTTGCCCATGTCAGTAATAACTACGTTGAAGGATGAGCCGCAGGCTATATGGACAATCTTCTGTGCTTCCAATTTATGTTTTACTTGCCTTGGCAAACTACCATCAAAAGTACTTGAGTTTTCAATGCCAAGCTGTCCATAATCATTTTTTCCCCAAGCATACACCTAAACACAAACAATTATGTAGTTTGTAAGAATAATTATCATTATTGTTATATATATAGTTCAATCTTTGCCTACCTTTCCATCATTAGTCAGAGCAAGTGAATGATCATTTCCACATGCGATATCTACAATATATTTGTCACTTAAACCAGCTACTTCAGATACAACCATAGATGAATGTGATTTGTTGCCCGATTTTCGTGTCTTGTTGAACTCACAAGAATAAACCTGTTTCAGAAATAAAATATTTAGTATTTTTTTTTAATTTTTTTTTCATATTGTTACATTTGAGTAGAAAATACAACCAGAGAAGATTTAATGAAAGATGAATGATGCAGTTTGGCATTTTACTGTATACAAAGAATTACTTTTAATAAACTTATCAACTCATTGGCCATACAAAATTAAATGTTTTCTCACACTCAAAAAATGTAAAAACATTTTAACTTTTAAAAAATTAGATTCACTGTACAAAGTTTTAAAAACGATACATATTGTAATCTCTACTTTTCTTATTTATTATGAATTATTGCAAAATTTTTCCACATGTCTTACTCTAATTGAAAAAATAAAAATAACTATCTTTCACATGTCGATTTATCTTAAAATTTAAAAAATATTTGAAGAATATTGTTACTCATAAATGTACTTTTAATCAAAGCATTTCATTATATATTTTTAACTACTTTTTCTAATTATATATTTCATTTTGTCTTTTTATTTATTTTCTTTTTTATTACAGTATCTTAAAACAAACATAAATATAAACTTTCATCTCTATTTGCTAACTAGGTAGTTTAAAGTGTAGAAAAGATGTATGTAAAAAGAATCTAATATAAATCTTATCTCTCAATTGAAGTAAAATTTATTTTTAAAAATTCAAATATGTCATGTGAGAAATATGAACTATTTGATATACCTTTCCTTCTTCTGTAAGTGCCAGAATAAAAGAGCTGCTATAATCTAAGGTCTTTATGTTTTTCCCACAAAGTCCTTCTATCTTTGTTGGGTATAGATCAATATGTGTGTTGCTAGTCTCCAAATGATAACTTTCGTTATAACCTAAGTTGTACACATTTTTGTCCTTTGTAACAATTAGAGCGCTGTTACCTTTACCTGTTTTAAATCGCCACAGCAAAAGTGATATTACACACTGTAGTAAAAAAATATGTAATAATAAAAAGATAGAAAGAAGATAAGACATTTTTTTATCATAATTCATATCATACACTGAAAAAAGTCCATGCATTTTCACATGAAAATTATTTGATCAAAATTGGAGAATTACTTGCTTATCACTATAATTTTTTTTTCCATTTCTTTCAAAGTATAAATACATATTAATGTAAAAATACATGTAAAAAAAATATAGGTAAAATTACTATTTTTATGCAAAAATCACATGTAATTTTAAATTTACTATTTTACTTTATTAGAACTTTATTTTATTTATCTATTTTATCGATAACATTTAATAGTATTTATACATTATTATCATTTCCCATGTGTAATCCCATGTTCAGTGAAATATTGTTAATCTTGAAACTATTTTAGAATATATTTCATATGAAATTACATATAATCTCTGTAATTTTCTATACTAGTAGCAATAGTGCATGACTATGCTGGGTTGAAAAACCTAGCTTAATCATGTAATTTTACATAAATATTTTTGTCAATGTACACATTCTTAAATTTTTATATTTTATGAATACCGCTCGTTTTAGGCCTTTTATAATATCAATTTCATTACATTCTTAATCCTTTGTCATAATTAGACCTTTGTTAGCATAGTAACATGTTTTAAAACGTCATAACAAGTAGCAATGTAATATATTGGAAAAACAAATTAAAAAATCAAAATAATAAAAATAAAAGAATAATCGTACCATATACCAGAACCATGCGAATTTGCATGATAAATTCGCGCGTTAGCAGGTTACAAATCGGCCAGCTCCTCAAATCCGAAGGATATATCTCCTTCACGAGATCACATGACAAATTTGTCCTCTCTTCTTTCGGCATCTCTCTGGAAACAAATAACCTTCATTTTCATCTTCAATTTTAATTAATTGTTTTTCTCCTCATTTTTCTGCCATAATTTCGATAGGAAATAAAGAAAAGGAAGACATCAAAAACTCACCCTTTTTCAGGCGAACTAAAAAGGTCGAAGGGAGTCTCTAAACTTTTCTCCTGCTTCTCGTCTTTGTTTTCCGAGGTACAAAGATTCTTTTTCGGCGATGGCGACATGATGCGCCGGTACTGCGATTTTCTGCCGATGCAATTTTTGACGAATCTCGAGTAAGTGGGATATTTACGTTGCGCATTCATACACACACAACCGAATATAAATGCAAGGCAATTTTGCAATAACTGTCACTCGTTCTTCTCGTAGTTCTTCAACGAAGACGGAAGATGCTTATAAGGCTGAAAGTGTCAAAGCGAACGCAGCCAATGCATATAAACACTTGACTGACGCATTTCACAGACTTCTAACGATAAGAATTTCAAAACTGAGAATTTCGAATGAAGATATAAATCTACGCATAATGTGCAACGAAATAAAAATGTACACGGGAAAACTGAATAAATATTATAAATATAAAATAATAAATTATATTATTCTAACTCGAGGAACTTTTAATTACGTACGACGATCTTCTGTTTATGATTTCTGATGGAATAACCGAAATCAATATCGATATTTCCGACATCTCTCTGAAGTGAATCGCACTTTGTGACGTCGCAGTAAAAATTTTCCCGCAAATTTGAATTTTTCTTGTCACAATTTGCATTTTGCACGATATATCGAATATATTAAAAATTTTATTTTATTATGCATTAATAACATGTCAAATTCGACATTTAATTCCACTTTTTATCCAAAATAAATTTGACAATAGAGCAAAAATTTTGGCGAGAAAAATTTTTGAAGAAAAAGACATCGAATTAATTATTTAAATGGGATTAATTTTGCAATTACACCAATATAAACAAAATAAGATTACTTGCACATACACGAGTATACAATTAATGTAACGTTAACCAAGAATAATAAATAGAAATGATAAAAAAAGATCAAGAGTTACTTTTTATTAAATAAATATGACATATATCGTTACTGCACACAAAAGAAATAAAAAATCAATCTGCGATTTCACTCGAAACTCATATCAAAGCTCTTCGGAAGAGTTATGTTTGAAAATCATATTTTTTGACTGCTCTAAGTAATAACTGATATTGTGTGTCCCTATCTAATTTCTCATAGTTATTCGTAACTACTACATCTTTCATGTGACGTACAGCAAATTGGACACACAATTCCTCGAGCTCCTAAAATTTACACGATATTTAACGATACATTATATTCACAAAATAAATCGTAATTAATGAATTTATTGTTAGTGACAACGAACAAACCTAGTGACGAAATTTGCTCTTTGTAAAACAAATTTACGTTCTAAAAAGTTTTGCTTCGGCTGCCTTACGTATAAAAATATCTTTTATAATCACATCTAACTTAATATATTCCTCAGACAGTACTACATCTGTCATGTGACATAAAGCAAACTGTATACAAAACTCTTCGAGCTCCTAAAAATTAAACGATATTTTACAATATATTGTATTCATATAAATCGTTATAAATTAAATTAATAAATTTTAATAAACAATAATAAAAATACGATTAATAGCAAGCTTCTGATTACTTACTTTAGCATTGTACTCGATTGCCTTACTGCAGTATAAACCTACATTTGACGCGACGATTGCTTGCTTTATTATTCGACACACTCTTTCTTCAGAAAAATCTCATCATAGTCGTCGGCCAATTCATAAGGTCTGTAAGAAAGTGTCATTTCAGTATGCTAGTTTGCAAATTCGTAATAAATATAATTTAAACTTAAAAGCTCTATTTCACCTAATGCATCCTCTGAAGGTAAATCGACTGTCCCTGTATATAAGTATTTTAAGAAGGCTTTGTATACCGTGTAGGAAAATTCATCGGATACAGTGTATATCGACTCACTGTTAAAAACAACGTAATTATGATATTACAAAATTGATTGAAAAGTAGAGGTAATAGTTTTGCTTTTTTTAATACTTACTCTAGATTGTCAAACCAATCATGTTTTAACTTATCTTTGAAATGTCGCCAACGAAGTTGAAGAATGGCTTTATGAACGTGAATACGTTTTCCTTTAACTTGTATAATAAAATCGCTTGTTACCTGTGACAAAAAAAAAGTTAAACTAATTTAATAATATTAAAGAATTAATACTTATATATTAATATTATATACAAAATTAATGCCCGAATTTATTGTAAAAAATTTCCATGTATTTTCATTTGCATTCAATTAAAATAATCATTATAACTACAATTAATTTCCCTGTAGAAATGTTTTCCAATCTTAAAAAAATTCAATAAAAAAAATTTTTAATCTTTGTAATCTTTTATACTGGCCAACCGAATATGAAAAGATATGCATATATCTATTATTTTATTCTACATAATGCAAAAAGTATAAAACAAATACCAAGAAACGTACCGGATCATCGAATCCTGCTTCCAGGAAATTCAATATATTCAATGCTTCTTCGAAATAATAGTAATTATTTGTAGATACAATCAACGGCTTATACATGACTCTTGAGTCACTGTAGGCGAACGCATCGTCAATCTTGGAGAATCGGTGGGAAATGGATCGTTAATATACCGACCGAAACAGACGCCCCATACATACACAATCTTATTATTACAGAGAGCAACGCTCAAGTTTCCACCGGCAGCGATGTCCTTAACCAACTCGGGCATATCCACCTGTCGATCGAATCGATTTCTATTATTATGTTACTCGGTTTATTTATCCATGGCGATTATATAAAAAATTATCAATCTTTATCAATAAATCATGAATTACCATGGTCAAAGGGAGGATAACTCATCATAATTAACACTTGTTTGTCTTTTATCGTTCCAGCTCCAGGTATAGATTCTTCCATTATCCGTAAGTGCTAACACGTGATGAAATCCACAAGCCACCTTAACTAAAACAATGATGATCAGAAGGATATTCAATACTATACACTCTTAGAGATAAATATCAGATATATAATCAATTTACCTATCACTTTTTCTGCAGTGATGAAACATTTTACTGTATGTAAGGATGTAAAAATAGAAGTATCCATTAAAATTTGTTTATAATGTTGTCGCCCCAACAGTATAGTTTGCCCATGTCATTAATAACTATGTTGAAGAATGAGCCGCAGGTTATATGGACAATCTTCTGACCTTCCAATTCACGTTTTACTTGCCTTGGCAAACACCATCAAAAGTACTCGACTTTTCAATGACAAGCTGTCCATAATCATTTTCTTCCCAAGCATACACCTAAACACAACAATTATGTAGTTTGTAAGAATAATTATCATTATTGTTATATATATAGTTCAATTTTGCCTACCTTTCCATCATTAGTCAGAGCAAGTGAATGATCACTTCCACATGCGATATCTACAATATATTTGTCACTTAAACCAGCTACTTCAGATACAACCATAGATGAATGTGATTTGTTGCCCGATTTTGTGTCTTGTCGAACTCACAAGAATAAATCTTTTCAGAAATAAAATATTTAGTATGATTTTTTAATTTTTGTTTCATATTGTTACATTTGAGTAGAAAATACAACAGAGAAGATTTAATGAAAGATGAATGATGCAGTTTGGCATTTTACTGTATACAAAGAATTACTTTAATAAAATCAACTCATTGGCCATACAAAATTAAATGTTTTCTCACACTCAAAAAATGTAAAAACATTTTAACTTTTAAAAAAATTAGATTCACTGTACAAAGTTTTAAAAACGATACATATTGTAATCTCTACTTTTCTTATTATTATGAATTATTGCAAAATTTTTCCACATGTCTTACTCTAATTGAAAAAATAAAAATAACTATCTTTCACATGTCATTTTTATCTTAAATTTAAAAAATATTTGAAGAATATTGTTACTTATAAATGTACTTTTAATCAAAGCATTTCTTATATATTTTTAACTACTTTTTCTTATTATAGTTTATTTGTCTTTTAATTTCTTTTTGTATTATCCGACTACACTCTCTCTTAAGATATCTCATCTTTCGTCAGCCACTTGCTCTGTAAAAAGTTTAGAGTGTAGAAAAGATTGTATTCGTAAAAAGAAGCTTACATAAATCTTATCTCTAAATCCTTCGAAGAAAATTTATTTTTAAAAATTCAAATATGTCATGTGAGAAATTAAACTATTTGATATACCTTTCCTTCACTGTTAGTGCCAGAATAAAAGAGCAGCTCCAATCTAAGGTCTTTATGTTTTTCCCACACAGTTCTTCTATCTTTTTTAGGTGTTGGCCAATATGTTTGTCACTAGTCTCCAAATAATCATTTTGGTTGTAACCTAAGTTATATACATTTTTGTCCTTTGTAACAATACAATCGCTGTTACCTTTACCTGTTTTAAATCACCACAGCAAAAGTTATATTACATGTAGTAAAAAAATATGTAATAATAAAAGATAGAAAGAAGAAAAATTTACATTTTTTATCATAATTCATATCATACACTGAAAAAACACCATGCATTTTTACATCAAATTATTATCAAAATTGGAGAATTACTTGCTTATCACTATAATTTTTTTTCCATTTCTTTCAAAGTAAAAAATACATATTAATGTAAAAATACATGTAAAAAAAATATAGGTAAAATTACTATTTTTATGCAAAATCACATGTATTTTAAATTTACTATTTTACTTTATTAGAACTTTATTTTATTTATCTATTTTATCGATAACATTTAATAGTATTTATATATTATTATCATTTCCGATGTGTAATCCCATGTTCAGTGAAATATTGTTAATCTTGAAACTATTTTAGAATATATTTCATATGAAATTACATATAATCTCTGTATTTTCTATACTAGTAGCAATAGTGCATGACTATGCTGGGTTGAAAAAACCTAGCTTAATCATGTAATTTTACATAAATATTTTTGTCAATGTACACATTCTTAAATTTTTATATTTTATGAACCGCTCGTTTTAGGCCATAATATCAATTTCATTACATTCTTAATCCTTTGTCAAATTAGACCTTTGTTAGCATAGTAACATGTTTTAAAACGTCATAGCAAGTAGCAATGTAATATATTGGAAAAACAAATTAAAAAATCAAAATAATAAAAATAAAAGAATAATCGTACCATATACCGCCCATGCGAATTTGCATGATAAATTCGCACGTTAGCAGGTTACAAATCGGCCAGCTCCTCAAATAAATGAAGGATATATCTCCTTCACGACATCACATGACAAATTTTTCCTCTCTTCTTTCGGCATCTCTCTGCGAACAGATAACCTAATACTTTCATCTTCAATTTTAATTAATTGTTTTTCTCCTCATTTTTCTGCCATAATTTCGATAGGAAATAAAGAAAGGAAGACATCAAAAACTCACCCTTTTTCAGGCGAACTAAAATGGTCGAAGGGAGTCTCTAAACTTTTCTCCTGCTTCTCGTCTTTGTTTTCCGAGGTACGATGCTTCTTTTTTCGGGCGAATAAAAATATATACACGGGAAAACTGAATAAATGTTATAGAATATATAATTAATAAAGTATATTATTCAACTTGAGGAACTTTTAATTACGTGCGTGCGACGATCTTTCGTTTATGATCTCTGATCGAACCGAAATCAAGCCACGATATCTCCGACATCTCTCTGAAGTGAATCACCTAAGTGACGTCGCGGCAAAATAATTTCCCGCAAAATTTTAATTTTTTTTCTTATGACACAATTTGAATTTGCACAATACGATCTATATATTGACTATATTGAAAATTTTCTTCATTATTATGCATTAATAATAACATGTCAAATTCGATATTTAGCTTCCATTTTTTAGTCAAAATAAATTTGAGCATTTTGGAAGAAAATGATTATAGGCATCTCTATCCTTCATTAAAACATATGATTACACAAATAACTGATCAATGCTTTGTAAAAATTATATATATATATTTATATCTTATATATATATATACATTTAATATATATAAACAAACATGATCAAAAGATTAGCAATAAAGTTGATATTACTCTACATAATAATAAATACTTCTCAATAAATTATAAAATTTATAGAATAGATATGTATATATCCCTATACATATATTATTTTTATAACCAGTACGACCATGTATAGATAAAATTGTATAATTAAATATATAAATTTGATCTCTATATTTGCTTGAGATGTTTTCAAAAGTTTCTCCACATTTCCTATTTTTTGAAAAAAGACAAAAATCTATTTTCTTTGATCTTAATTTTAAAAATATTCACATATGATCAAATATTGTATTTCTTAATAAAAATTAATTATATTATATCCTTAAATATTTTTTTCTTATATAATGAAATCTGCATGTAAATAAAAATTTACATATTGATTTAACATGAGAAAGCAAATTAGAATCGATATAAATTTTAAAATTATCTCTATAATAACTGAAATTTACTTTATCATTGAATGCGTAAGGTTATTCTTGTCAATATTTAATAGTCTTAAAACATATAATATCATAAAATGAATAAAATTTTCATTTCTATTTGCTCCCTAATTAAATCTTCTAACAAATTGAAATTTATAAAAAATTCAAATGTGCCATTCAAGATATAAATTCTTTGATTTATTACTTCTCCCTCTTCTGTAAGTGCCAGCATAAAATAGGTGCTGTGAGCAAAGGTCTTTATGTTTTCCCCACAGTTCTTTTATAATTGTTGAGTAGATCCCAATATGTGTGTCAGCATTCTTATCATTCAAATAGACATTATTTCTATCATAATCCAAATTATACACATTTTATTTTTTGTCACAACTAGAGCTTTGTTAGCGTAGTCACCTGTTTTAAAACTCACAAGTAGCAATGTAATAAATTAAAAAAAAATAAATTTTTAAAATAAATAAAAAAATAAAAATAAAAATGAATAAAAATTAAAAAATCAAAATAATAAAAGAAAAGAATAATCGTACCATATACCATAACCATGCGAATTTGCTTGATAAATTCGGGTTTTAGCAGGTTAAAAATCGACCAGCTCCTGAAATCCGAAGGATATATCTTCTTCATGAGATCGCATGACGAATTTCTCCTCTCGTCATTCGACATCTGCCTATATGATATAAATAATAATTGTCAACTCTTAATTTAGTAATTACTTCTTTATACACTTTAATTAGATTTCATGTCGCTTTTTGCTTTCACCTTTTCAGCTATTATTTTGCCAGCGTTTGCGATATAATGATTAGAAGAAAAAAAATAATATCAAACTTACTCGATTATTTCGTTGGTATATAAAAAATTATTCTCCTGCGATTCGTCGTTTTTCATGGTAGAAAGCGAATTATTTAACGTTGACATGATAGTCGCGAATTTTTACTACCGTAATATTTGATGAAAAGCGCAAACAAAGCTTTTTTCTTCTTGTTCGGATTCTTGACTTTGAAACAAACATTAACCAAATAAGAAACCTAGACACAATATAAAAAGAAAGAAAACAATTCCTCTTTAATCACTTTAATGTATCACTTGTCCTTCTTCGATTGGATGTATTGTTGAATTACAAAGGGACGGAAGATATAACTTCATGCATCAAAAATGCCGAAGCTCTCTGTTCTGAAGTTATCTACAAAAGCAAAATTTGAAACATAAACAAACACTTGGCAGACGAATTAAAAAATAGACTTTTATACAGATGACAGACATAAAGACATGTAAGTAACACGTGTGGACAAAAATATATACAAGGAATTCCAGCTTCAGGAATGTATAGCAACATGCGACATCTCTCATATATGTACACAATTTGTTGTCGAACCGAATTATTACGTCATTAATTATGACGTCAGAAGCGAAATTTAATTTTCTGCAAAATATAAAGTTAGTTTTTTTTCACATGCCCACGATTTGCATTTTGATATTATGGTTTGATTAAATATAAAAAGTATCTTAATTAATGTCTAACTCGATGCTGAATTTAAATTTCTTAGGCAAAAGAAATGATTGAGAAAAAAGAATATTAGTTATGTATTATACAAAAAATATATAGATTAATTTTATAATAGAATTATTATATATATATATATATATATATAAAATTTTGTAAATATATTTATACATATATTTTTTTGACATATACATTAATTCTTTTTGCTAAACTATCAAATTTTGACTAGAAATATAAACTGAATATAGAATTAAATATACAAATAATTGTAAAATTTTCGGTATATTTCATTATATATATATATATATATATATATGCTTCTAAAAGATAGATTTTTATCGGAAAAAGATGAAGGACGTCGGAATAGATTAGGTGAAATAGTATAGCCGAATAATCGGTCTGTAACTATTCCCACATCAAGGGACGTCTTTATTACCGATGATACGTTTGTTTCAATCATTCAAGTATAATTTCAATTATACATATTCGAAAATATACATATATCTACTTACTTATGTTTAAATGTGTAATATACATATACATATATATATATATATATATATATATATATATATATATAATATACAATCGACATTCGACACTCATCGATTCCTTCAGACATAGAGATAGAGGAGGAATGCAAATCAAAAATGTCGAATGTCGGCGTCACTTTAAGGCACCCGTTATAACATTAATAACAGTCCATGGAATTGATATCCTTCTGGTTGTACATTGTCAGTATGTCGTCCAGAATCGATTCGAAGCTACTGGTGTACGTCTTCAGCCAACGGTTCTTCTCTTCGATGTAAGCGTTGATGTCGCAGTTGAAGATCGCGCGGAGAAAATCTTGACGTGTCACAGACGAGATGTAATGCAGCATCTTCTTTTCATTCTCCTTCGTCACCTCGCCGTCCATGTTCATGGAGGTTTTGTAGATGGCTACCAGCAGATTGGTGTCGTTCGCATCTACGATCTCTTCGATGACGTGCGAGGCGTTTCGCGTTTCCTTGTCGGAAGGAGACGAGGGTTCCAGCGGTGTCTCCTTCATATAAACGGTGTCTATCGTCGCGTTGTTTTTCACCGGTGACGAGGGTTCGTCCAGTTTATACTTCAGCAGGCAAGATTTCAGCTTCTCGATTATTATAGCGGACGCTTTGCACACCTCAAAGTCGCTATCGTCCTTCAGGGTCACCAGGAGCACCTGACAGAATTGATTTATGAATTAATGTACTCATCTATTTTCTTAATCGCATATATTAGATCTAGAGAGAGATTAAGAATATCAAGGTGTATACTTAAATCTTGGAAATAAATTCCCTGAGGATTCCATGATTTTCTAGATACTTTTGTTCAAAATTCCAGGTAAAGTTAAAGTAATTTAAATAATATTTAGAATACAATTTTGAAATAAGTTTATATGTTATACATAATTTTTTAATATAAATGAAATATTTTTTTAATATAATAATGTAATATAGTATTATATTATAATAAAATATATTTTAATACATACTTTATATAAAACTAATAAATTTTATAGTCTTTAAAACTATATTTTAAAATCAAAGAGGTAATTTTTTTTTAAATTTCCTGAGTTTAAATCAAATTCGATAATAATTCCAGGATTTTTCAAGGTAGAACAAAATTTCCTGAGAAGTCCAGGTTTTTCCAGGGAGTATACACCCTGAATATGAAACTTGTAATTTTCAAGTTCCGTTACTTACACCTAGGCAACTTTGCCTTGCCAACTCGTCCAATGCTTTATTCAGCCTCCTCTTAATTTCCGTCTCATTCAACGCCATAATCTTCCTGTGCTCCTTGGAGAAGGTCACGTTCGGGAAGGAATCGTCGAGCATTCCCTGATCCGTCAAATGCGACTTGACGAAGTGATCCCAGAACGTCAACGCATTCGTCTTCACCTCCCAGTGCAAATCAAAGACAGCCGCCACGGACATCGCTTGCAACATCGAATCGATGACTTCTTTCCTACGAATCAATATATATATGTGTATATAATACAATTAGTTAAATTATCCAACTCCATTAATTGATATATTTAAATGTTCTACATACGACCACTTCTGATGAACGTATAACTCTTTGATCAGATTCACAGCCTCCTTCTGACTATCGCTTCGCTCTCGTTCTCGAGTAAATAAATCGCCATTTCCTGTAAAAACCAGTCCATTCAATCTGTTGTCTTTCTGAACGACCCACTCACAAGACATGTACAAGTAAGAAATAATACACACGGTTAAATCTATTTGCGACAACTGTTGCTCCCATAGTTTGTTGATGCGCACGATAGTCGAGATGAATGTCAACGCCGATGCTCGTACGTAACTTTCGCCATCCGTTTTGACGATTTCAATCGCCACCTTTGGAAACTGATTAATCAACAAGAAATCTTGAAACGCTGGATATTCTGTGAAAGAAAAAAAATCACACTGCATTTCTATGTATGTGTTATATTAACTGAAATACAGATAATTACATAATTCATATGTAGTTACACATGCACCAATCTTATTTTGATTCACTTACTATATTCGGAGATCGTCGCGATGGTGTTGAGAACCTCGAGAACACTGTCTCTTACTTCCCAATTGGGATCGTGCAGCCTCTTGAAGAGCATAGGTCCTATCCCATTCATATGGCTGTCCGAATCCACGAGTAGCGCCAAATTAGGCGGCATAAAGTTGTGGATGGCGAGCTTGCACAATTTCAAAGCCTTCATGCAAATCTGTAAGAATTGAGAATTCTTGTGAAAAAAATTATCCTTTTTTTAAACAATTACTTATAAAACTACAAGGTTCTTTTGTATTTAACAAAAAAAAAAAAAAAAAAAAAAAAAAAAATTTTAATCTATTAATGCAATTTCGGCAATCGATTTCTTACCATTGGTTGTATTCCAGAATGATTGAGGATTCCTTGTGCTAGAGATAATACACATATCGTTTCTACACATTCCTGCCACTTTAGTTTAAATTTCTCTGTCATAATGGCTAATCCATCGAGCAGTGACGCCAGTAAAATAGGATTGTCGACTATAGGATCACCTCCTAATATCGATTTGTAGTGAAACTTTCGCTGATGTTCTGAAGGAGAGGTGTTGTTCATATTCGACGATACATGATTTTTCGTTTCTCCACATAAGTCTGGCATGTAACTCTTCAACACGTGGCATATAGCTTGAAAGGCGATTACTGCTACATCCTAAAAAATATGACAATAATCAAAAAGGAGTTAAAATCTAACTTAAAATCTATAATTGCAAATGTATAATTATTTGTAATAACTATAAGTAAACTTAGAAATGGTGCAATTCAAATATATTGAAAATGCTTATTGAATTATAAGTTCAACCAATATCACATATTTAAAATTTTAAAATAATATAAATTCTGTATACATAAAAGAGTAAATAAAATAATTGTAGATTTTAATTTCAAATACAAATTGTAAAATAAAATTATAAAGTAATTATATAAATAATTAAATGTTAGAATTATATACATTTATTGTAAGAGAGAGATTATGCACATTTATAAAAAAACAAAGAAAAAAGATACTCACTCTATCCATTATATCTGATATTTCAAGCAGCAGATCGATAGACACTTTACAAATTTGCTCCACTGGAAGATCTCCCTTCCGTATGATGTCCCTCATGTTGTATGCTAATCTTTGCACAGTGGTACATGTTACATCAAAAAGTTTATTAACAAACATATCGAAAAAATCATGATTTAAATGATTCTTCTTTATACACACACACAATGGTAGTATCTGTAAACAAATAAAAAAATATATTTTTTAATACTATCATTTAAATATGTATGCTTGCATATAAACAGATATGCACAATATAAACAGTAGCTTACCATAAGAGCGATACCTTGATGTTCAAACTTGTGCTCCTCTGGTGGAACAATCTCTTGTAATGCGAGCAGTTTCTTCCAGTATACCATGGAGAACTTGTTACTCCTTACCACCTCTATTATATACTTCTTTGAGAGTAGCATCATAGATATATAGCACATATCAAAACAGAACTTTTGCCATGCATCGACATCGATCACATTGGTGTGTTTTTTGATTCCTTGCTTTAGTTTCAAAAACAGCAAGAGCAGCAGCAATTTGTGCACATGCTGAAGAAAGCGGGTGCTTATGCACGCCTCAAATAGCGCTTTCACCCGCATCTCGAGGTTCACGAGTCTCTCGAGCAGCTCGGGAATATTGTTGTCCAGACTTGCAAATACCGTGTTCTCTAAAATACTGGTCAATAGGTCCAATGTAGCACACAACAGCCTATTCTGTTCCAGGTACGTCTCCTCGAGCGCCTGATGCAGCTGAGCATCTGAAGTATTGTTCATTAAAGGAGCAGCAACTGCCAGGATGATCTCTGTACAAGCCTCGATGTTCTTTTGCTCGTACATCAGCAACGTCGACAAGAATTTCTGACTCTCCCTTGTAACATACATTGTGTGATTCCAATGTGCGCACTTTACGACGTCCCTCCACACACCTGTCGCATTTAAATAAGAAGAGAATAATAATTTACAACTAACCATTTTATAAAACAATTAATAGAGAGATAAGCTTAAAATACACTGATACCATTTTATAATCTTTTACATATATTTTTATTTTAGGAAAATGTCATTACTTATTTCTTAATCCATGACTTTAGATGGTATTTATGAAAATATATACACATGTATAGCAAAATAGTTGAATTTTTATCCCTTTGCTCTTTGCAATACAATTTTAAATAAATATTAAAATTAATAATTTACAATCTTGTGAGATGCACACCAGATTTTATCACCCATTGCCTGCCGCTTCGATGAGCAATCAAGTCTGACAGCATTGTAGTGTATGCCATTTTAATAGATGCAGGTAAGTCATCTCGCTGCAGTTGCAGAATCTTGTAGAGTCTGTTATACACATCCTGGCACTGCCAGTAATGATAACGCAGCTCATGCCGGGAGATAATCCCCACAAGTTTCAGCGTAAATGTAATCACGGGCTGGGAAACATTCTGTCCAGATTCCCAGACCTCCAGAGCCTTCGGTATCCACTTTTGAAAAACCTCGCAGTATTCATAATCGACTGTGGCACCTGCAAAATTCATGTCGCAAGTTATTCATCGCAAGATATGTATCAAATAAAGCAACAAGGTATATAATTTACATCTTTCTTAACTTACATTCCTTTGTGTTCTCCGCAATGTGACTGAGCAGGTGATCCAAGTAGGTTGTCGAAACGACGTTGTAATCTGGCAGAAGGAACAGGTTCAGGACTTGCGCCAGAACATCCTCGTTCCTTTTCTGCATGGTGTTTTCCAGGGATATTAAGATTCCTGCGACCGTCTCAAGGAGCACCTCCTGGACTGGATGCGATCGGCAGCGAGGAATCAAGAACCTCGAAGCAATAGAACGTAGCCTTGTTTATACTCTGCAAATAAGGCGCACGATTGACGATTAAAATTTATCAGCAGGACGAGAAAATGTTTATACAAGAGGCTGATAAGCACTTACATTTTGGAGATTCCTTGAGAAATGTATTACGTACTTACGACATGTTCAAGCGACGAGATAAGCATTTTTTTTTTAATACATCGCGATGAAACCATCTATTCCCTTTGCACGTGCACCAGCGAGACTGAAGACTGAACGAGATTTTGAAGAGTATATCAGTGTATTCGTTTGTCCCTCCAACCCTCACTCTCACTCTCCCCGTTATCGTAAAATATCACCGATAATACAGTAGATGATATCATGTTCGATAATGCAGAGCACTGTAATTTTACATTTTCAATCAATAAGGAAGATAACGCGCTTATCAACGAATTGTTAATTCGCGCCTTTTTTAAAATTATAAATGTTAATAAATAGTATATATAATAATATTCTATTATATTTATATTATATCTTATATATTATATATACTAATAGTGTATATATATATATATATATATATATATATATATATATATACACACTATTAGTATATATATTTATATATAATAAACAATAGTATATATTAAATGTAGAATTAATTATATTAAATATGTAACACGTTATATACGCAAAAAGGTAGATAACGTGTAAACTAGCAAAAATGTGATCATTATAAATGTTCAAATATATTAAATTAATAGAATTAATTAAATATATAAAACGCACATTTTATAACGCAGAGGTAGATAACGTGTAATAGCAAAAACGTGACTGTATTTCATAAAAGCTTGAATAAAATACATACTATGTAGCTGTGAAGCATATCTGCGTAATTACACAATTTTATCCGATAAGAACCTTTTACGTTATAATAAACTTCTATATCATATTATACGATTTTTCATATACATATATATATATATATGTATAAATATATGTACCATTCAATATAACATAAACAACGCTATTACCTGTAATTTTGTGTGTGCCATTTATATATAATACACCTGTTTTAATAAACAAGGATTCTCAATATATATATATATAACGTTAGTTATCTTGTTATTACAAGATCGGAAGGAAAGGAACGCGAGAAAAACGCTCGCATGGATGTAAGCTTAAATGCTTTTTGTAATGCAGTGCATCTTTTCTCAAATTCCTCTGTTTCTCACAGTCATAATTCACAGTAACTGACGTATATTGAAAGATATTGAGAAGTTTTAAACAAAATAAAAGAACCGCGTACGAGATCCTTTAGTGTGTGTTGAAATCTTTATAATAGTCTTTAAAATCTCAAGACTTCTAGATTTCCAGCAATCTTGAGACAACAAGTCTTAAAGATTAAAAAATGGGCATGTCGAGGTATAAAAATAAAAAAAAAAAAGATTTTAAACTTGCACAAATGTTAGAACTATCGAAGGTGTAGAAGTGTCAGGAAGTATCAGGAATAAGGATTCCAAACTTCCAAACTGAATTTGCGAAACAATGATCTTAAACAAAAATTACAAAGTCTTTCGATTCGATGTAACATGACAGACAACGCATCTCGAGCTAAGCATATTGTATTATTGTTGTAAAAAACAATTTATTAGCGAACAAAAAATATTTGAATTATTAAGATTGCAAGATTTGCTTCTCTCATGCACTACATTTATATCCTTAATTCCTCGATATCGAGATTCCAGGCTTCGCAGCTCCAATGTCATCAGAGCTTTTCAAGATTCTAAATTCCAACGTTCTGACATTCTATAGCTAGGAAATTTGAGATCAAAGACTTCCAAGTTTCAAACGCACCATGTTTTCTAAGTTGACGATTCAAGACTTCTAAAAATTCTGACATAAAAAACATCTAGAAATTCTGAGCGCAGGATATTTCGAAAAAGCGCCAAGCTTGCAAGGCTAATAATTAAAAAATTCTGATTTAAGAAAAATATTTTAGGCTCTTTTTTTTTTACATGAATACATTTTTCTTGAATAAAATTTTAAAATTATCGCGATTGCAAGTACTTGGATTTGTTGACTTATAATATTCTGTGATTTATTAAATATTTATAGACACCTAAATGCTTAAACACTTTCAGAATACATATATTTTAGTAAGTTTCAGAATACATATATTTTAATAAAGTATTATACATATAAAAGGCTAATAAGAGCAGAAGTAATATTACGGTTATAAAAACTAATTTATTACATTTAATCAATATATACTGATAGAAACAATAAAGTTTAATTAATATAAAATTATAAAAATAAACTCGAAAGTTAAAACAAATAAAAAAGCGAACGTTTCGATCCAATTTTTCGGATCTTCTTCAGCGCAGTAGCACATTTGCTTTGTGTACTGCGCTGAAGAAGATCTGAAAAATTGGATCGAAACGTTCGCTTTTTTATTTGTTTTAACTTTCGAGTTTATTTTTATAATTTTATATTAATTTAAACTTTATTGTTTCTATCAGTATATATTGATTAAATGTAATAAATTAGTTTTTATAACCGTAATATTACTTCTGCTCTTATTAGCCTTTTATATGTGTAATACTTTATTTCAATTAAAGAGCATTTAATTACATATATTTTAGTAATAGATTGCTTTAGATTTTCAGATCGTTGAAATGTCTGGAATCTTTGGAATTTTAAGGCCTTAAAATATGTCAGATCCTCGCGCGATCGTTGAATAAAAAATTTCTGAAAGTCTCCGAGACTAAAATCTCGCTGAAATTTGACTTTGCTTACTTATAAGATCTGACACAATCTCTGCGAGAGAACTAATTACATCTTTCCTCAAGTAGAATTATGCTTCCACCTCGGTAATGTGCGCTAAATAATTATTCAGGCTCAAAAGCTAAACAAAATGCATACCTGTTAAATCGTGTTAACATCGCAACGCTACACCCTAGTTACTTTCGTTTACGTTCTTAAACGCACATAGTAAGATACAATAATAATATCGCAAATATATACCGTGTAGATGTTCAACCGGCGTTCGCGCTCAACATTTATATTACGATTACTTGGAACATGGAAGCAACATGTCAATGTTTCATTTTTTTTCTTACGTAGAACACTCAAACGATATTAATTGCGTAGTACGAGAAAGAGCTCGGTCTGAATGGTACTTCAGGCATCAAAAGGAATCGTTGCAGGAAGCGGGATGTCGTGGAGAGAAGCACCCCGTGACCGAGAGGCTTCGCAATCATTCGCGTCATTTAAACTCTACAACTGCCATTCAGATCGGAATTATTTCAAGTCCTGTGTCTTAGAACAATAGCCCGTGTGTTTACATTAGAGCTGAAGTAGTAATGGTAGTTAACGAACAAAGTAGACGTTCGAAGAGAAAAAGCGCCGACCTGGTGGTGTGTCTAACTCCGAATCGCGTATCATCTTTAACTGGGACGCACCATTTAGAGAAGTATCCTGCGCGCGTAAAAGGAGTTTCCGTAGAGAGTCCTCTTCTCTTCGAATAGACGACTTATGTCTTCGCGATGTCCATCGGTGATCCTGGATGGGGAGCAGCGACGTTCGCCGTAGGATTCGGAGCGATGGTTGGAGGTCCACCAGGACTCACGATGGTGGGTGGTATTGCCGGCTTCACAAAACGATCCGACGTGCGTCTGCTGGACGGCGCCACGATATGTCCCTGTTTCGCATATAAACATGTTTCGAATAAATAAAGAATTCTTTCAGAGTACCTTAGGAACAAAATGATTTTTCAATTCCTTTTTATATTATATTCTTATTACAATTCCTTATTTTGTTGCACAAAATTAATTAAATATTAAATAAATATATAGAATATAGATATATAATAAATTTATAATAATGAATTTATATTAATGAGAGATATAATATATGGAATTTAAAAATAATTTCATTACCTGGCTCTTACTAGCCCTTCTTATATCTAAATTTGTATTTATACATATGTATAAATACAATCTTTTCGATTGATTATTAAAAAAGAATTATCTCACTCCAAGAAAAAATTATTGTGTCATTTCCTTATGTGATCATTTACCCCTGAAGGAGGCGACGAGCTCGCGAAAGGAGAGGCAGTCGGTTGGCCGCAGGCATAGCACCGGTTTGCGTTGAAACCCTCTCTGGACGTTGAACCTAGCACGTTAATACCTAGTGATAAAATGCGTATTCACATAAATTTACTAAACACAGAACGTGCATCCAGAGAGAAGAGCGAGAGCACTGATTTTACTTACACATATGCATTGCATCATTCCCTTTATATTCACATATAAATTGTATTTTCTGTCTTATATCATGCTCCTTCTAATTTTATTTATACAAGAATGAAGTAAAAATAAACTTTTAGATGAAAAACTTACCTGGGCTTAGTGGCCTTGAGGAACTAGGCGAAGGATTGTAGGGCACAGGACTGGACAGAGTGCGTGTCCTTATATTTCCCCCAGACATCACAATTTCATTATAGTGCCGTTCTTCTTCCATCTCCAAACTGTAAGGTCACATGTTTATGAAATTAAATATTAATATTGATATCTTTTTAACCATGTCTGAGATTTAATTATGTTGTAAGAAGAGATAAATCCAACTTATGTCAATTATGTTGTTATGGTTATTTAAGTTAAAGTTTACCATAATTAAAAAATATATATATATATATTCCTTCTAAAATAATCTAAAAACATATATATAAACTAATATGTGTCTTCAAGCACTGATATTCAAAATACAATACAAAAAATATTTAATTGTAATTGTAAAATTTATCGTAAGCAACAGAATTAATTTTGTTGAATATTTATTTTTTATTCATTATAATTCTTGAAACATCTGAACTATCCTTCTAACATTTTGTTTAAAAAAACTACATATAATACCTTGCACAAGTCACTGAAAAATAAACTGTACTTTGCAAGTTATTTGAAAGCATTAAAAACAAATAAATCATTCAATATGAATAAAATTAGTATATTTTAATAGTTTTAATTTGAAATTCGTTTAATATAAAATGTCAAATTATAAACAATTGTTAAAAAGAGTTGATATTCCTCTGTGTCAAGAAAAAACTGACTAAATTTAACACATTAAAATTGCATAAATAAGAAATATGGTAATTTCAGATATATTTTTAACAACTTTTTGCTCATTTAAATTGCAGATTTAAGTTGTTACAGAGGATTCGTACTATTATCGCTGCAGGCATTAATATATACAGTCAAGAAGCTTGACACTGACCTGGATTCAGACTCTGAAAGATGTCTGCACAAGGCCTCGCGACGCTCCACCTCGAGCTGCAGTTTCCTCTGCAATCTCAGATTCTCCTCGCGTATTTGCTTCTCCTCGTTAACGTATCGCTTCATTTTCTCCGTATCTAGTAAAACAATTGGTACTAAATTTCGGTGAAAAAAAACGCCTCGGTACAAAAATTAAAAACAAATCAAATTGATAATCCTTACGTTCCTGCTGCGAGATAAGCAGAGTGTGTTTTAATCGGGCGACCTCGCTTCTCAGGGTTTGAATGTGAGTGCTCAGATTCGTAGCTGTATCGCCGTTGTTGATCTCCCTGGGGGAAGTAGGATCCGACACTGGCTGGTCCAGCTTAATCTGCAGCATCCGCTTCTCTGCCTCAAGTTTATCCATTCGCTTCCACAGTTTGTTGACTAAAGCCTCTTGCTCTTGCTCCAGAGTATTCTCCAGCTCGACCTTCTCACGTCGCAGCTGCTCCAGATTACTCTGTTTAGCCAGAGTCTCCGCTTCTAGCTTCTCGATCTTCCTCATCAGCTTGTTTACCAGGCACTCCTGCTCCTGCTCCAACGTCTGTTCCAGTCTGCATTTCTCCTGCCGCAACTGGTTCAGCTTCCTCGACAGATCATTGGTGAGGCACTCCTCCTCCTGCTCGTAATGATGGGCCAGAGTTTCCTTCTCCTTCTTCAAGGCCTGGATCTTCTTCAGCAACGTGTTGCTTATGAACTCCTCCTCCTGCTCGGCCTTCGCTTGCTGCAAAAGAATACAAGAACACATCTGACATCTCTGCGCAGGAGAGAAATCAAGAAAAACCGATCCGCAAACTCACTATAATGACAGACGCCTGGCGCAGACCGCGATTCTCCTCCTGCAGAGCCTTCACTCGCAGCTTGTACGTCTCCAGCTCGACCTTGAGCACGCGGTTGTGCTGCTGCAGGGACTCGATCCGCTTCTGCAGCTGCTCGCGCGTCACCGGCGAGGGCGGCATCATAATGGGTCCGCCGTCGATCGAGCTCGAGTCGCTCTCGGACGCGCTATCGCGATCGGCCATAGTTTCTTACCTCGGGGCAAACGCAACGGGGAGGACAACGGAGGAGGGTACTAATTGCGAGCCGGTTGTCGCCGGCCGTAACTCATCGCACGTGAATATACACCGGGGAAGGAAAGGTTGGCCGCTGTCACCACCGGCGCGTTGCCACGCGAGCAAATCTCGTCCTCCGTAAAAACGTCACCCGACTCGCTTAACGCGTCCGGAGTGAACGAGAGGGAGAGGAGGAAGGAAAAAAACGGTGTCGTGGAAATGATTATCGCGCGACCGACATGTGCTCACTTGTACGATCCTACGATGGCGTATCCGGAAAAACCGGGGGATCAGCTGTTTCTCTCTCCGCCTCGCTTCGCTCGCCGCCTGTCCTGTTCCGTTCCGTGAAGCTCTGCCGCCGCGACTCGTCGTCGCGTTACGCCATTCGCTGATGAATCGCGAGCCCTCTGGGGGAACTGCTGCGGAAACTTCGAGCGGCCTAAAGTCACTAGACTTATTAATTACGGATTCGCAACACGTGCTGGATTGAACGTCTCCGGCAATGCTTGAACGCGATTTCAGATAGAATTGATTGATAAAATTGATTTAAAACTTTTTCTTGTAATTACTAATCTCTTACGAAGATGAGCGACTCCGAAATCGAGAAGAATTTAGAGTACGCCAGTGATCAAGATGTTTCCAAGCATCACACAAAACTTGTCGATGCTGTAGAACAGCTGGATAAAGGGCGAAAGTAAGAAAACAATGTGACGATACACTAAAATAAAGTCAGATACTTGGAATTCTTATTCCAGTTCTTATTCAATTTGATTAATTTTAGTATATTAATTTTCCTGCCTTCGCAGAATGAAAAAAGCTGTGAGGACCAAATCCATTATACTTGAATTTCTTATTCTAGTTCTTATTCAATTTGATTAATTTTAATATATTAATTTTCTTCTTTGCGCAGAGTGAAAAAAGTTGAGAGAAGCAAACCCAGTATACTTGAAATTCTTATTCCAGTTCTTATTCAATTTGGTTAATTTTAATATATTAATTTTCTTTCCTGCGCAGAGTGAAAAAAGCTGTGAGGAGCGAACCCAGTATACAAGTTTCGGAGTATCACTTAGTAAAATCTGGAGTGACAGATAAGGATACTGTGCGTATAGAAGACTTGGTGAAGTCACTGGGACGGAAGGGAGATCAAAACAGTATAAGTAAGAAACTCCGATATATTCAACAGAAGAACAAAGTTCTTCCTAAACCATTGGAGAAACCCACTGCTGAAAGAGTAAGATGTCTTACTGAATTGTCCAATAAATTGTCTTGTTTAAAAATAATTTGATTTCTTGTTAAGCTTGATTTCGTTTTTGCTTTTTTTCTTGACAATCTTAAATACTTAAATCACTAAAATTAAAATTCTAGATTATAATATGTGATATTATATTTTACTATCTTTCAAATAATATAAAGAGTCAAAGTATATGTAATATTTTTGAACAATAATTTAGACAAGAAGAAAAACAAAGAACAGTTATCTAAGTCTAAATTACTTGCAGATAAAAAGGACAATTGGCTATGACAGTGTCAAAAAGGAGCTGAGCAAATGGAATGGTATAATTGCTAGGAACAGAACATCTGATCGGCTGTCTTTTCCATTAGAACGTACGGCAAAAGTGAAAAATTTCAATTCTTCAAATATTCCGGAGTTTCTAAAGGGATTTAGAACAAAATCTGATCTGATGAAAAATTTGAAGAGGTAGATCCATCGTTACTATATCCTTCGGTCGAAGAAGAGAAAAAGGATGATGAACACAAATCAACAATGAAAGAAATTATTTCAAAGAGGAGGATAGCTGCCAAACTCAGAGCACAGCAGGTATATAAATAATATGTAACTTTTTAAAGATTGTTAAGAAAGTAGGAGATAAAAAGTAAGCCTGATGAGATACCAACTTTGATTTCTTTATGTTTTTAGTCATACCAAGAGGCAAAGGCGCGTCGCCAACGCAAGATAAAGAGTAAGAAGTTTCATCGCATTCAAAGGAAAGACAAGATTAAGCAGCAGCTGAAGGAATTTGAACAATTGCAATGTACTAATCCAGAAGAGGCTTTGGCAAAGTTGGAACAGTTAGATAAAACTCGCGCGGAAGAGAGAATGTCATTAAGACATAAGAATACAGGTCAATGGGCTAAGAATAAACAGATCAAAGCTAAATATAATAAAGACGTAAGTACTATTTTAATTAGGGAATTACTTTGATATTAATAATATTTGAAGTGATACTGTAATAATATGTTCTTTTTTTATAGATTCGACAAGAACTTGCCAATTCATTGGTCATTAGCAGAGAATTGACACAGAAATTACAGAGAATAGATAGTGATGATGATAGTGAAGAAGAAAAGGAAGAAGAAGAAGAAGCTGAGATATTGAAGAAGGAGAATAATGAAGTGAAGACTGAATCTGAAATTGATGATTTTATCAAGAATTATCGAAAATATTGGGATGAGAAGAATCAGAAAGAAGAAGACAAAAAAATCGAAATTTCGAATAAAATTATATCGGAAAAAGAAAAGGTGACACAGAAAATGAATCGCAAAGTCAAAAATGTACAACAAAAAAATAATACTTCACAGGAAAATGCAAGTAATACAAAGGGCAATGATGCAAGTAATGCAAAAAGCAAAAATGCAAGTGATGCGAAGATTGAAAATTCATGTGACACTGTAATAGCTACAACCGTATGGCAGATTGAAGATTATAATAATGAAACAGTTGAAGAAAGTAATAATGAAAGTAAACTGTGTGATAAGAAAACAAATCGAAAAATATAGACGAATTGTTTTACTCCATGGAGGAAAAGTTAAAGCATAAAGTCGATCTAAAGCTGCAAAAGTGAAAAAGAAATTTAAGCTAAAGAGTGATGAGAAAAAGCAGGAGGAAGAGAAGAAGGAGGACGAAGATGATTTGTTGAATCTCGAATTTGAGAACTCTAAACAAAAACCTATCTTAGATTGTCCATTGGAGGAAACGACCTCTAAAGAAAATGTCCAGGCGAATAAGAATATGATGAGTTTGAAAACAATAGTGAATACAGAACAGGAATCGACTAGCAACAACCATGAGGTGGAAATAGATCCAAAGAAATATTCAGCTGCGAAACCAGAATACTTAAAGACACAAATGCCAGATGTAGCGATAGATGAGGAAGAGAACAGCGAAGATGAAGAGAAAATGGATAAAATAATGGACGAGGCATTTGCGGACGATGGTGTTGAAGAATTTAAAAAGGAACAGAAGGAGGAGGTATGTAATATAAGAATTTTAAAAAACTATACTTTGTTAACGCAAACAGATACATAAATACATGTGTAAAGATATTTATGTATACATTTCCTATTTCATCTTGGAAAAATCAATATTGTTTGCAATAGATCATAAATAAAATTTTGTTTTTATGAAGAATTAACAGAAATGGTTTTTTTATAATCTAATATAATTGTAAAATAATTCTCTCTCTTCAGATGGAAAAATCGCAGCCGAAAACCATCGATCTGAGTTTGCATGGATGGGGCAATTGGATGGGGCCGAACATTAAGAAAAGTAAAATACGTCGTAAAAAGAAGAAATTCATATTGAACATGCCTAAGGAAACGCCGCGTAGACCCGAAAACCAGGGAAAAGTAATTATATTCCACGATGATGACAAGAAGTTGAGGAAGCATCAAGTCAGAGAGCTACCGTATCCATTCACCAGGGTCAAGGATTACGAGGCGAACATCAGGGCACCTATCAGCAGGACCTTCGTCCCGATGAACGCTCACTTAAAGATGATTCAGCCTACGGTTAACACCAAGCTTGGACAGGTGATCGAGCCGATGGACGAAGATGTGTTGGTGAAGAAACCTATGTTGAAAAAAACGTTGAAACGACGTATCGATAAAAAGAAAGACAATAGAAAAAATACTGCAAAGAATATTAAAAAGAGACGCAAATCAAATGTAACTGCATAATAAAATTAATTCTATCGAATTTCATTATTGTACATAAAACTTTTAATAAACTATATTAGTTACTAATGCGATATTTGATTAGAGATTATAAATTGAGCATAAAATTATTTCAAAAGTATGTAAGGAAAGAAACAGAGATATATCAGTAATTCACACAATGTTTCTTAAAATAATTTTTGACATGATTTGACTTTTATATTCTTAAAAGAAAATGACAAGATAAGATTTTTCTAAATCAACCAAAAGAAATTAAATTCGTATTTGCTTTTAACTGTATGATTAAAATGATAATAAATATCTTTGCAAGCAACCTTTATTCTTAAAATATTGTGCATTATTGATATTTATTGTTCATTTTTGTTTTACATTTTATCATTAAAAAAATCTGATTATTTCTATATCTCGATTATTATTTGCATTTTATTTATCAATTTTATCTCTGATAATTGAATGGAAAAGTTCCAGTTTTTTAAAAAGTCTATTTTTAAATATAGTGCTTATGTTTAAATTATAAACATGTAATATATATTAATGTTCAAATAATCAAAATATATATCGCTGGTTATTAATGTACTAATAAATGTTTGATCTCATCAGTTAATCAATAAATTAAATATAAACGTGTCCATCACGCTATACATATGTTATATTTATCTCTTATCTGTAAAATAACGCGCAATATCTTATCTTACAGAAATATATTTATATAAACATTAATTTATTATCTCAAGATCAACGTACTAATAATAATTCGCATTGAATGTAAATCAATATGAAATTACATATAGAATTATATTTATTAAATTATACAATCAATATTTCTATAGCAATAAAAATAATAAAAATTCGTAATATTTTGTCATACATCATTGCTATTTAAATTCCAAGAGAATTTTTTATTTCAATCGAGGTGAAAAAAAAAAAATCCTCGACATTGATTACAAAACACTTAGAAAGGCTTCCCCTCGTTCCGCGCGTCGTCCAATGGCAGGCGCGGATCTCGGAGGCCGCCATGTTGGTCCCTAGGAACGGCGGCCGCCCATTGGCCGGCGGCGGCGGCCGCGGCGCGGCGCTCGCGCATGCGCGGGCCGCGCGTAGTTCGGCGCGACGTCGCTCGCGCGCGGCAGAAGCGCGCGAACCGTGCAGCGCGGCGGTTGGCTGTCGACGGCGGCGGCGCAGCAGAGTACGGCGCGTGTGTGGATCCTGGCAGCACCGGCGACCTGGTGGCATATCGCATCCCGTTTCCCCGTCAGTCAGTCAATCGGTGTGCCTCCGTTCCGCGGTGTGGTCAGTGTGTCAAGTCAGTCCACGGGCGCGCGTGACCGGGAGCAGGGTGTTCCTTCCGCGAACGTATATTCATTTTCCTCGAACTTCGAGCGGGTCGATCCGGGCGCGCCGAGATATAGAAAATAATAACCCCCCAGAGAGAGAGAGAGAGAGAGAGAGAGAGGGAGAGAGAGTGAGAGAGAGAGAGAGATAGAGAGAGTAGGTAGGGGAGATAAAAGCACACGAATTGCGTGCCGCTCCGCAATTTCGGGCGACCTCGCGACGAGGAAGACGACGAGGAAGAAGAAGACTACGACAGAGGATGGCGGACACCAAGGACGACGTGCAGTTCTTCGAGGGCGTCGAGAAGCTCCTCGAGATCTGGTTCACCAGCTCCAAGGGCCTCAAGCAGCACCAGGGTGATCTAAGGCAGATACCAAGGTAAGTGGTGACTTGAAGTTAAGTACGCCGCCCGCCGGCGTCTCTCGTTCGCTCTGCTCCGTTTTTCCTCGTTCTCCTTCATCTCCTCTTCTTCCTCCTCGGCCTCCCCCCGCCTCCCCCCCCCCGGGAGTAATGACAATCGGCGCCGGTCAACCAGGATGAGCGATGACGAGCCGGCGTCCGAGAATTCGTAAGCTAGGTTGGTTTCTGGTCCCAGCACTTTTGACAGTTCCAGCCTCGCTCTGCAGCATCTTCTTCGAGGCCGCGATCTCCAGGTGGGCGACACGGTGGGAAAAAAGATTTTGACAGCTCGGGGTGGTGGAGAATTTTCGGGAAATTCTCTGGTGCTTGTTTAAAGGTGGCAAGATTTTTTTGACAATTCGGATATGTCAAAGATTGGGTTAGCGAGTTGCGTGAAAATTTGAAAATGGCTGCACGCGCGTCGCATTTTATGTATTTTATGTTTTTCTCGTAGTTTTCGCGGAAATATTCTTCGCGTCGGTTCTTGTGTTAATAATCAGCTGTCTCGTTTGAAGTATCGATCTAGAATAGTTTGGATTTCTGTCTTGGATAATATGTGGAAAAGGAAATATACGTGTGACCTTGAAGGACTCTCGCAGGTCTTCAAATTGAATAAAATATATCGAACGATACTCTCGATCTTATCTCGATCTTTAAATCTTGCCAATGTTTTCATTTCGCAGTCTGGCATCCACTATCTAAAGATTACTTCGATGAGAAAATGAAAAAGAGACGTTTCATAAAGATATATAATTTTTGCCGTTTATTTATTTTCATTTATTCATGCGTTTATGGTATACATTTTTTTTTTCAAAATAAATTTATTAACTTATTCATTGATTTTATAATATTTATAAACTTATAAATTAATACATTTTATAAATTTTATTTTATTATTTATACATTTATTAATTCACAAGCACATTTTTCGGCCTCGCCTTATGTCCATATTTAGCATCGAATTGCTTTAATTTATTAATGAATTTATACATTTATTTTAATTTAAAAAATTAATTATGAATTAATAAATTTATAAATTAATAAAAATTTTTCAAAATAAATTTATTAATTAATTTTATAAATTTATATAAACTTATAAATTTTATAAATTTTTTATAAATTTTATTCTATTATTTATAAATTGATTAATTTATAAATTTATTAATTTATAATTGATTTTTAAAATAAATTAATAAAAATAAATGTATTTTTTCAAAATTTTTATTAATTTATTTATTAATTTTATAATATTTATATATAAATTTATAAATTTTATAAACTTTTTATAAATTTCATTCTATTATTTATAAATTTATAAGCACACGAATAAATAAAAATAAATTTATTTTGAAAAAATAAATTGATAAGCACACGAATAAATGAAAATAAATCTCTTTTGGAGTGGCGGTCCACATGTGGCGGTCACATGTTGGCTATTACATAATCGCGGATTGATAGCGGCATAAAAAAAGCAACACTGATCTGAGGAGGCGATTGTTGCGGTTTGTGTTTACGACGCGACGTGTCGGGGGTGTCGTTGAACCTCGCAAGGTGCATCTTCGAGCGATGCCGACCACCGACGTTTATTTTTGCATATATATCGCGGTGACCAATAAATTTAGAAGCCTACCTAGTCGTCGCAGTCGAGAAGATCCGGGGCTGAGAGCGCGAAATCGCGATGAAGATTTCGATCGGTTTTTTTTATGAAGACGTGCGACCTCGACGTGAGGCTCACAATAATCCGTAATAATCTCTGGCTTGAATGACTGAAAAAAAGTTGAATCGCTTCGAGTTTAGAGATCAAGGTCTCGCAAGTCAGGTAAACAAACGTGAAATACCTCTGGCTTCGTGTCTCCAAGATATTCAAACAAGTATTAAAGCATAGACAATTTAATTTAATTAATCAGCTGTTTTCTGTCATAATAATGATTTTTCCAAATATAATTATTTAATATATTTATAAATATATATTATTAGATATAATTTTTCAAACAATTGTCTCTTCAAAAATATCATAAGGGAATTATAATTATTATATAATTGATATATATATATATATATATATATATATAATATATATATTTATAAATATATTAAATTATAAATTATTAATTATTATACACACACACATATATATATATATATATATATATATGAAATTATATATTAACGAAAGTTATAATAAAAGATTCGTACATTTTTTATACATATAAAGATCGATTTTATCATTTAATTTCGACGCAGTAATAAAGGGTTATTATTATTATTATTAGGGGTTATTATTACGAGAGATTAGTCAAACGTGCTTTTTATGAAATTTTTCGATGCAATATGAGTGGAGTGTTATATTTTTATATAGAAATAATAAATCGAAAAAGCTTTGATATATATAAATACAAATTTAATTATATGGAAAGGTCTAATAAGAAATTCCCATTTTGTAATAAAATAAGTATAGAAAAATTGAAAAATAATTTAAATTAAAATAAATTAAATGTTAAATAAATAAATTAAATATTTATTATGTAAAATAATATATTAATAATAATATAACATATATAGAATTTAAAAAAAATTTTGACATAACATCTAGATATTTCCATAACTGAATTTGCATGTATAAAAATAGATCCACAGTTTTTATCGGCGACAAATAAGAGTGATAGCGTATTATCTCTAATCTAAAACGTTTTTGTGGAATTTTTATAACGTCCTTGTACGATGCTTGCCGAAATCCGGACTCGAATTTTTGGCGATCTTACTTAACTTTACTACATAATCAATTTGGTCGGTTGACTGAGTAATAAGTAGAAAATCTCTAATTTTATTTAACAATTAATCAGCTGTTTTTCTCCTATACATTTTTCGATTCTATAATAATGAATTTTTCAAATATAATTATTTAATATATTTATAAATATATATTATTGGATATATTTTTCAAATAATTATCTCTCGAAAAAATTATTATAAGAGAATTATAATTATTATATAATTGTATAATATTTATATATATACACTGAAAAAAAATTGTTAAATAAATATTATACATATTTAGTTCAATATTGTCAAATATTATCATATTTATTTGTTTTAAAAAGAATTTTCTTATATCGAATAAATATTTTTCATATCAAGTAAATATTAGTTTCAAATAAATGATTTATTTGACAGTATTGAAATAACTAAATTTTTTCAGTGTATAATTGAAATTATATATATATATATATATATATATATATATATATATTTATTTTAATCATTAATTGCTAGAAAATATTATAGTAATAATTTTTTATACCATATATGAATATAATTTTTTATATATTTTTTCTATATATATATTTTTTTATATCTATAATATTTATATATATAATTTCTATATATATACATATATATATAATTATTATTTTAATCATTAATTGCTAGAAAATATAATAATAATTTTTTTCAGGCAAAAATGGGAATCGCTGTTGAAGATGGTCCGTTGCGAAATTATAAGTTTCTGTCGCAACGACCAAGTGGATGCCTACGTTCTCAGGTAAGTCGTTTTATATTTATGATCCGAAAAATTGACCCAACACGAACTTAGGTAACAAATCTATTGTCGGATTTATAAAGGAATTCTTGAAGCCTAAACCTTCTCATCAATAGTTTCTGCATACTTTTGCCTTTCGTAAATTTCTTCAAGAAATTCTGAAGCTTTTAACTTCCATAACTACAAATAAATTGTTTTCATTTTTAATTTAAACAACGTTCATTTGTTCGTCTATTAAAAAACCTAACATTATTATTTTGATTTTATTTTCAATTTGTACGAGTTATATCTAATTAATTATTATTCTTATTAACTTTTTCAATATTTATAGTTTTTACGACGATTTTCCAGTCGTAAAAAGTTGCTTCAAATATCATAAATTCGTGAAAAAAATATAAAGTCTCTAAAAATTCTCTTAAAAAGTATTAAGTTTCTATAAAAATTATCAAATCTGAAATCCATTAATTTTCTCAACATCAATAATTTTTGCGATAATTTTTCAATCACAAATTGCTTCAAATAGCATAAAAAAATTGCGAGAAAATATAAAATTTCTTAAAAATTCTTTAAAAAATATATTAAATCTCTACAACAATTATAAAATGTCTTAATTATTCTAAATAAATAAATAAATAATAAATATTTTCCTCGAAATTCCGATCAGGCTTCTTTTCCTTATATTTAATCTCGAATGATGAAAATAAGTCTTTATCAGATTTTCGTCTTTACATTCCATAGCCCTAATATATACTTTGATAAGGATTGTAAACTCTTATTCCTGTTAGCTTTGGATAACATTCTCTATCATATTTATATACAAATATAATATAAGAAAGATATGCATTGTCTGACAAATTTAGTTCGAACCTAAATTGTTTTCCTCTTTAAAGTAGAATATTCTTGCATTTACATACTTATTTCAGTGACATTTTTAATTATAAAAGTTGATACTTGTTGTCGAAAACTTTGAAAAGTTGAATGAAACTCGGCTTGTATCACTTAAAAAAGTTATTCGTTCACTATTATTAAATTTCTTAATATTTTTATCATTTCTTCGCTATTTTCTCCGAATATTTCAGCGAGAGAGAAATATCAAGACACATTTTTATAATATTTTCTAGCAATTAATGATTAAAATAAGAAATTTCGGCGAGAATCTTAAGCAAAAGCGAAAGTAAATAACTTTGGTAAATATTTGTTTCTAGTCAGAAGTTTATTTTCAGAGCCTTTAATTTCTCGCGTTTATTTTACATACATAAATATTAGAGAATTTATATAAAAATGGAGCATTTATATATATATATTGTATTTCAAAAATAGCTAATAAATAATTTTCCACTCTAAGCATTAATTTAAAAGAGGAGTTTTCGACAAAATTATATCGATAATATTATATATTGAATATTATTTTTAAAAAATAATCCGACTTTTTCACTCAAAATATTATAATAAATAATACAAATTAAAAATTAAGTTCGACAATATAGGAGATAAATTTCGAGGTTCTTTATTTATATTCTAATTTAAACTCGAATTCTCATATTAAGATAGAGTTTGACAAAATATTTATATCACTATTTTAAATAAGAAAAAAAATATTTAAATCAATTTTTAAAAATATTTATATTACTTAAAATAAAAAAATAAAAAATAAAAAGCTTAAAAAATGCGTTGTTAGATTCTAGTGATTATAAAATAAAATTTGAATAGTTTCAAAAGAAGGTGACCCCTTAAAGTATCACAGCTGATTAAAAATGAAAATTAAGATCAAACAAGAAGGAGATAAATTCTCTTAATTTGTAAAATCGAACAAAATATTTATATCGCATTTTTTTAAATAAAAAATATTTATATCGCATTTTTTAAATAAAAAGGAAATGATCCCTTAAAGTATCACAGATGATAAGAAATGAAAATTAAGATCATACAAGTAGGAGACAAATTCCCTTAATATGTAAAATGGAGCAAAATATTTGTATCGCATTTTTTTTAAATAAAAAGGAAATGATCCCTTAAAGTATCACAGATGATAAAAAATGAAAATTAAAATCAAACAAGTAGGAGACGAATTCCCTTAATTTGTAAAATGGAGCAAAATATTTATATCGTATTTTTTTTTTTTTTTTTTTTTTTTTTTTATGAGAAAGCAAATGCGCCGTAAAATAAAATTTATCGGGGGTGAGCGAGAGAGCCACAACGGCGCAATTTTTCGTGACGCGCGAGGCAAGTCGAGAGCGGGTTGGCGCTCCGAGGGGCGTTCCGAGGAGAGAGAGAGAGAGAGAGAGAGACGACGGGATGAAAAGTGAGAGAGAGAGGCCCTCACTCACCCTCCGTATGTGCTGTATAATCGATATATCGAATTGTTTTGATGGAGAAGAGAGATATGCCGTCCGGCCCGGCCGGCCGCGACGCCACGGGACGGGATGAAACGCGACGTGCCCCGGTTCCAGAATATTCGAGGGTGCGCGGGTCGACCCAGTGCCGCTTTCTCTCTCTCTCTCTCTCTCTCTCCCTCTGTCGCGATCCACCCCTAGAAATAAATATAGTCAAGGTGACACTTTCGCGCCGCTCGGTCCTCGTGGCGCGGTTCCTCCTCCTTCAATTTTGTTTTCTCCTTATACTAGAATTCTAAGAGGAATGTATCAGAATTTTTATATATTTATATGTAATATATATTTGTATAATATAATTATATAATATATTTTAATATATTTAGTATATTTTTATATATTTAATATTTTAATATATTTAATATATTTAATATATTTAATATTTTAATATATTTAATATATTTAATATATTTAATTTTAATATATTTAATATATTTTAATATAATTAATATAATTAATATATAATTATTATATTATAGATTTATATATATACAGATATATAGATTATATATATATATATAAGATATATATATATATATATAATATATATATATATACACAGATATAAGAAATAATATTACTATATATATATATAATGAATAATAAATATTATATATAATAAATAATATGATATAAGTATATAAATATATATAATTATATATATTTATATATATGTATATATACATATATTGCAAGATTAATAAGAAAAGATTGATATGAAAAAGTACAATATAACGAAGCGACGTAAAATAGAAACAAGAAAGGAAAGATAAAAAATAAATAAGAATGAAGATAATTTGAATATTTTCGGAGAAAATCCAAATTATTCATTTGACGAAAATGTTGGAACTCATCTCAACTTGTGGTGCCAAATTCTTGAAACTCAGGCTTATTCAGACTAGTATTTCGACATTTATATTGTATCTACCTGGTACTTTACAAAATGCCATTCCTTTTAGACAGAAGAAAAAGATTGAATGTTTTCGCTTGATCCTGCTTTTCTATTTCTTTATGCTTGTTTATTTTAGAGTCCTTTTAAAGTTTTACAGAATTTTCAGTCTTTCCTCGAATACCTGAAATAATCTCCAGTTTCATCTGTCCCTATTTGTACAAGAAAAAGAGGAATTTTTATAAAAACTTGTCATTTTATTTGACATATTTCACGTGTTCTACTTCGTTTAAATTCGTTCTTTAATCCTTCTTAACATTTTATTTTTTAAATTCTTAAAAAAAGACTAGTATTGTCCCATAAAACTTGAAAAAAAAAAAAAATTTGGATTCACATAATTTTTCAAATGAATTTTTTATCGGCGTCGCTTTTTTTATCTTTATATTCCGATTTTTATTGTTGCATGCTATTTGACAACGAATGCATCAAATGATGCAACGTTTCGACCATTTGAATTTGAAGCTACGATTTTTTTATCCTCGCAAATATTTATCGTCAGAAATTCCAGATTTTTTGTCCTCCAACCGGAAAACCCGAAATTTTTTCATATCAGCAACATGATGCATACTATGCAACGTGATGCATACTATGCAACTACGCGTTTACCACGAGGCTTTTATCGTGCATTTTATTTATCGGCATCCTTATTTAGACATTCTTGAGACAAGTGTCGCCGTTACTTCTCTCGTTGTCTTCACGGAGGATCTTAGGGTCAACGTCTATCGCTGATAACCCTTGATGATCTATTTTTAAAACAATTTTACATCGTATTTTCCGGCTTTTACTTTCATCGCTTTTGTCGCGTAGAATTTTTTTAAATATTGCAAATATTGCAAATCAACCTTTCCACGTATTCGGGAATTTACATTTTAATCCGAAATAATCTTACCGTAAATCATATTTAAAAAAAAAAATATATATATATATATATATATATCGAAAAAAATTTGTACTTAATTGATGTCGATTTAGAAAGAGAATAAATGAAATTAATATTCGCATGATCAGGATTAACATTAAATTAGAAGTAATCTTATCGTGAAATTTTTTTTTATATCAAAAAAGAAAATTAAATCGAGAAAATTTGTACTTCAAATGATGTCGATTTAGAAAGAGAATAAATGAAATTAATATTTGCATGATCGGGAGTTTACATTAAATTCGAAATAATTTTATCGTGAAAATTAAAAAAAAAATCGAAAAAATTTGTACTTTTATGATGTTCATTTAGAAAGAGAATAAATAAAATTAATGTTTGCATGATCAAGATTTACATTAAATTCGAAATATTATCGTGAAAACTTTTTTTTTCAAATAAAAAAAAGAAAATTAAATCGAGAAAATTTGTACTTTAAATGGTGTTTATTTAAAATGAGAATAAATGAGAAAAATATGATCGAGAATTTACATTAAATTCGAAATAATCTTATCGTGAAAAATATTTTTTAAATAAAAAAAATAAAGAAAATTATTGAGAAAATTTATACTCCAAATGATGTTGATTTGGAAAGAAAATAAATGAAATTAATATTCGTATAATCGAGAACATTTACATTAGTTTTGACATAATCTTATCGTGAAAGATATTTTTTTAATTAAAAAAAAACAAATAAAAGTATCGAGAAAATTTGTACTCTACAAATGATGCTGATTATAGAAACAAATGCAATAATACAGAAATTGTACATAACAACGTATAAATAAAATTAAATTTTTAAAGAGATGTCTCTGAAACACACGACATTTGAAATTTATCTCAATATAATTCTCGTTTGATCCACTTATACTGAAGATAAAAAATTGTAAAAATAAATCTCGAGAGTATCTTTTTTCTATTTATCGGATCCCGGGAAAAAATTGTTTATATATAAAACAATAAAAAATTATATAGAAATATATATATAATTAGATAAAAGTGCTTTTTATATATAACTATATAAATTTATATATATAATAAATAAGTATTTCTTCATATATATATATAGTATAATATATATGAGAATGTTTCATATCTAATTTGACACATGATTAGATATGAACCCTTATAATTTATATATAAATTTATATAATTATGTATAAAAATAGACATATTTCACATATAATTATTAAAATTAAAATATATTATATATGTACCTATTAAATAAATAATATAATCAAAAAATAATAATACATTATATATTAAAAAAAATAAAATATATTATATATTAAAATATATATAAAAAATATAAAAATTAAAATATAATATATTAAAATATAAAAAATTTTTTCCGGGATCGTATAATTAACTCCTTGAGCGAACTATGATAGAGATGAGGCAAGTTTTCGTCGATTTTTCTTCATTAATCGTAATCGAGAAAAGAATATACAACTATATATTCTCTGAATGAATGAATTATCTTGCCGCCGAGATAAAAAAAAAAAATAATTCATGTGTCGACATAAGAGCCGCGATACGCGAAGCTGTGACGTAACCGCGAGGATATGTTCACGTGCACCCTCGTCGGGGAAACGCGCGGTTGAGTATTTTCGCGAGTTATCTTCAACCGGTTGCATTCTAATAGAGAAGCAGAATCCGAAAATAGCGACTGCCACGACAGCCAAGCAAATATCTTTTAATAACCTTCATTCTCTCAGCTGACCTTCGCTGAGTGGCCCATACAATGGATAAGTTAGTCATTGCAATTAGCGAAGGCTAAGTAATTCAAGAGATTGAAATAGAAGAAAAAGAGAGAAATATCCGATGGATTCGCGAACGAAGATTTTCTATTATTTTGAATATATATATATGGTAGTCCAGTAAAATTAGACTTTGACTTCATAAAAATTAGGAGCAAGCTGAATTTTTGTGGAGACCTTTATTTCGGTGTTCTAATAAAATCCTGAAAAGTAATTCATTTAATTTCAGCCTTAATTTCAGTCTTTAATTTTAGCCAGGACATTTTTTATATAGGGGATAAAAGGGGGTAAATTTTAGTTTTTTGCCATTATCTCGAAAACTATCCATTTTTCGAGAAAAATAGTTATTATCAAAATTGTAGTTCGTAAAATTTTCTACAAAAAAGATTATTATCCTTTTTTTCGTACAACTAATCGTTTTTGAGTAAAACGTGCGGTAAAGTTGCAATATTTCTAATATAATTTTTCTGCACCTCTTATTGTTAGTCACATATAATATTATAATAATGTGCACATTTTCTTTCAGACTTAATTCGCTCCCCTTTATTTCGATGTTCTAATAAAATCCTGAAAAATATCCTTAATTTCAGCCAGGATGTTTTTCGTGGGGGATAAAAGAGGGTAAATTTTAATTTTTTGCCATTATCTCGAAAACTATCAATTTTTCAAGAGAAATAGTTATTATTAAAATTATAGCTCGTAAAATTTTCTACAAAAAAGATTGTTATACTTTTTTTCGTACAACTAATCGTTTTTGAACAAAACGTGCGGTAAGGTTGCAATATTTCTAAACGGTTAATTCCACGAAAAAAAAGTTTTGTTCTTTTTAAGTCGAATTTTACTGGACTATTATGTATGTAATGTCTTAAACACTTAAAGTATCGTGAACTTTGCTCTCAACCATCGCAACCACAAGCCATTAGTGAAGAACATTGATTTATGATCTTTTAGCTCATAATAATAATGCCACGTGCACTGCTGATTTACATAAGTACATATCAAGTTGAATAAAAATTAAGCAATTATTTGAAATAATCAAATCAAGCGATAAGAAAAATTTGAAAATCAAGTCAAACGAGATTTTTTCATTTAAAAAACTTAAATAAAATTGTAGATTAATTTTTTTCCCAGAATTTTCGTGTTCTTTTTCTTCTAGTTTTTTTTAGTAAAATAAATTTTTTAAATTTACGCTTCGAATAAATATGAAATTTATTATGATCAGAAAAATTAAATTTTGAAATAATCAAGTCAAACAAGAATGTTTTTCATAAAAATTAAACAAAGTTATCGGTTGAATTTTTTAAATCCTACACTAAAAAAAATTTATCTTGCATAATCTTAAACCTTTCAACTAAAAATATTTAAATTAAATATAACATATTATCTAACAAAACGTATATTTGATTTAAATACTAATATTTATCAATCAACAAAATAGTAAACAAGTTAACAATTTTTTTTCAGTGTAGAATTTTTATTTTCTTTTTCTTTGCGGAAAATAAAATTTTTGACAGTTCAAATAAATATGGAATTTTTTTCTTTTTTTTTTTTGCGGAAAATAAAATTTTAAATAAATATGGACTTTATACTATCGTCGAAGTGGGTTATCAGAGAAAATGTTGGAAATTAATGAGATTTTTTGCCTTGAATAAATGTGGAATTTATCATCATATCAGAGTAAAGTTAGAAAAATGTTAAAGATTAAATTCCACTTAAACATCGTTGTTAATTTGAGAGCGAAACTGGCTAATCAGTGCGATCATTTTATCTTATCCGCAGCGAGAGCAGCATGTTCGTATCCAAGCGCAGGCTCATCCTGAAGACTTGCGGTACCACTACGCCGTTGCAGTGTCTGGAGCCACTTCTGGAGCTCGTCGAGGAGTACACAGGCTTTGACGACGTCGAGGTAAAGGACGCCTCTGACACGAGTGAAGAATCGACGAGGAATCGAGAGAACACGCTTCGGATTTATGTATATTATTTATTTATGCAAGGTGTCCTAGAACTGTGTAAACCTATGCGAACGGCAGATTCCTAGGATCATTTGGAGACGATTTTTCCTCGGCGAAAACGTCCAGGCACCAATAGTTTTCGGGTTTTTCCCAAACTAGTTTTGTGGAAATAAAATCATGCACTGAAAAAAAAATTTAGTTAATTCTTATAAGTATTTATTTCAATACTGTCAAATGAATCATTTATTTGAAACTAATAATATTTGTTTAATATGAAAAGTATTTATTTGATATAAGAAAATCCTTTTCAAAATAAATAAATATTTATTTGGTTCAAGTAAATGTTTCATTTCACAGTATTGAACTAAATATCTATTAATTTAACAAATTTTTTTTCAGTGTATTCTTTAATTAATTTCAAGTAGAGTTTACTTTAATAAAATTTTTATTTAAGACTTAATTACAAAGATATATCGGGAACATTAAAAAAAATAATGGTCTGCCTTGACAACAGGTTTACGGATAGTTCTGGGACACTTTGTATATTCCATTCTCCAACTGTAAACATAAACGTAAAACATCGCCGAAATTACGAAGAAAATTCAAGTAAAAGAAACAGACATTATAGGAAAAATTAGACAAAAATACCAACTTTATTAATATTTAATATTAAAAAAAATTGAAATAGAGAGAAAGAGACGAGCAAAGAGAAATTCGAAATTATAAGAGGAAAGTTCAAGGAGAGGAGGCGGACAGAAAAAGATTTCATTTACTAATATTTTCCATTGTAAAAACAAATGTAATAGAATAGAGAGAGAGCTTCTTCTCTCAGATCACGTTGGCTCTTACTTAGGCATGCGGTGTCTTTAAGTTTTAAATTCGACTGAGCGCGTGATCGTGATAAAGGGGGATTAACTCCTTCCTCCCTTTGTTTGAAGAATGCTTGTTAGCTATATAACTTGACCTAGTGCGCGCGGATAAGAAACGCGACACTATATACGTGGTCCCTCCGCCACGCGAAACGCGTCTCTCTGCCGCCTCCTGGTTTATTGATCTCGTCTCTATCTCTCTCTCTGCGATATACACCTTTCCCCTCGCGCTATCTGTCGCTCGTGTCGCGAATAAGGAGTCGGACGAGTAGAGATCTTTTCTCCTTCTGCGCCTTCGTCGAGAATTTTGACATTTCGCGGTTCCCTCCCCCCACCCCCTCCCCTCGAACAGTTTGACAGTTGGAGGCCTCTCCTCGCGATACCGATCTTCGGAGATTCTAGGAGAATGACGAGAAATATTTTAAATTCGTCGAAGGAACATTTTTTTTAAGTCAAACACTTCTTTCGAAGAGTCATATTTTTTCTCGTCAAATCAAGCTGTTTCTTTCTTTTTAAACTCATTTTTTACAAATATTTAATAATATATTATATAATATATATATATATATATATATATATATATATATATATATAATATAATATATTAATAATATATTTAATAATATAAATTTTTTATAAAATATTATCACATTATTAACCGCGTTCTTCTGCGTTTGTTGCAGAATGTTTTTTATTCCCGAAAGAATTACAAGAAGCCGGAACTCCAGATATCTCCGCATCAGACGTTCGAGGAAGAAGTTGCTCTCCTGGATTCCCTCTTTCCTGGTAATTATCGTGCATGTCTCGATTAATTCGAGTATTTAATTTTATTCACGAATTAAAATTGAAAACTTTGAGAAGTTTTAATTCACCTGAACCTCACATACACTATTTATGGATCTGTTGAATATTACTAAAAAATATTCTCATTATTAATGAAGCTTTTTCTCCTCAGTTACTTCCCCAAGTAGCAAACTGACGTCATTAAACGTCAAAATGACGTCCAAATGCTTGCTACTTGAGTTGCTTTTCCCGGTTGCTTATTGGAAAATCAGGGACATAAAGATAAAAATGAAAGTGGAGATAACATTTCCAAGTTCTTAGAATGCTTAAAGAATGGAAGATACAAAGTTCTTAAAGCGATAAAATTTTTTCCGAGATAAAATTAACACCCTATCTTATTTCAGATGGCAGCGCCTATTGTATGGGTTCTCCAGAGACGGATTGCTGGTACCTCTACACTCTCATCCGTGATAAGTCGCTGCAGGATCCAGAACCGGATCAGACCCTAGAGATACTCATGACGCAACTGGATCCGGATGTCATGTCAATCTTCACCAGAGACGTTTGCTCGTCCGCTGACGAGGCGACAGTAAAGTCGGGGATCGACAAGCTCATCCCCAACATGATTATAGACGACTTCCTGTTCGAGCCATGCGGATACTCTATGAATGGCGTGTCTAAGAATGTAAGTCGAGCTTTGAAAATAAATATCCCTGCGAGAGATCCGGGAAAAAAATACCTTTCAGAAAATAACAATGCTTTTATACAATGCTTTTATAGTATCTTATTCTTCTAATTAAAGCTTCTGATTCTCCATTGCATATATTATGACGTCAAAAGTGGAAAGTTTTTTTATATTGCATATATATATATATTTCTCTTCAATTCAATAAAGATAATCATTCTAAGTTATCAAGATGAAGATCAAAGAAGTGATGAAGAAAACTTATATATATATATATATATTTCTCTTCAATTCAATAAAGATAATCATTCTAAATCATCAAGATGAAGATTAAAGAAGTGATGAAGAAAATTAATATATATATATATATATATATATATATATATATTAGAATATTTATTAATTTTCTTCATCACTTCTTTGATCTTCATCTTGATGATTTAGAATGATTATCTTTATTGCATATATATATATATATATTAGGATATTTATTAAATTTCTTTATCACTTCTTTGATCTTCATATTGATGATTTAGAATGATTATCTTTATTGAATTGAAGAGAAATATATATATATATATATAGAATATTTATTAATTTTCTTCATCACTTCTTTGATCTTCATCTTGATGATTTAGAATGATTATCTTTATTGAATTGAAGAGAAATATATACATATATATCCTAGCATACAGTATATAACTGTTATCATCAAAGAAGTGATGAAGAAAATTAATAAATATTCTTATATATATATATATATATATATATATATATATATATACTCACATCTCTTTTCGGCGTCTCCTCAGGGCAGCTACATGACGATTCACATCACCCCGGAGCCCGAGTTCTCGTACGTGTCGTTCGAGTGCAACGTCCCCGAGAAGTCCTACGACGAGATAATCCGTCGCGTGCTGAACACCTTCAAGCCGGACAAATTCGTCGTGACGATCTTCGCCAACACGCAGTCCGCGGCGGCCAATTATCCGCGCGACCTCAAGGAGCGCTCCGACTATCTGAATCGTACCGGGGACTGGCTGCGCACCAACGTGCAGTATTGCCACTTCTCGAGCTACGATTTGACCTGCGCCTTCTTCTCGCGCTTCCCGAGCTGAGGGTTCAAGGACGCTTCATTCGTCCCGGGCCCTCCCGGGACCAATGAAGCGTGCACCATTCCTCTTCTGCCTCTCCGCCTCGCTCTTCGTGACCGTTGTGTCCGCGACGACGCGGACACGACGATCCCGAAGAGCGCAGGCGAAGAGTGCTGTCCCTCTCCCACGCGGGCGTCCGTTTCCTCGGAGGCGATCCGATCGGCGTCGTTGCCGCATCTGATGACCGCGTCGAGCACGATGACGACGACGACGACGACGTCGATGACGACGATGAAGACGCCGCGGTCCAAGGTCTACCGCAAGACGTCCCTCAGGAATCCGTCTCTCAACTGCGAGATCGTCGTCGGCAACGGCAACGTTCTTGAGAAGAACGGGGTCGTCAGATACGTCAGCGCCCAGGAGAAGAAGCAGAAGAGGAGGAGTCTCGCGGGAAGCGAGATCGAGCCGAAGAACGAGAACAAATGGAATCTCGACGACATCCACATCACGTGCAATCCACTCTCGACGCCGTATCCGTATTCCACGCCGGCCGCGACGACCACGACGACCACCACCACCACCACCACGACCGTCACCAGCAAGACGACGACGGAGAGCGACGAGGAGCCGAAGAGCCGCAGCTGCGGCAGCTTCCTACCGATCCTCGCTCTGATCCCGCACTCGGTCATCAGTTTCCAGTATCTTAGCCCGAAGATGAAGTTCTCGTGGTGGCGGAACAAGATCTCGTGAAGACACGCGTAGACGTCCACCGTCGTCGCCGCCGACGTTGTGCGTCCCCGACCTGTTTTATGAAGAGAGACACGCCTCTCTTTTTACCTCGTAGCGAGCTCTCTCTCTCTCTCTCTCTCTCTCTCTCTCTCTGTCTCCGTTTCTTTGCTTGTATCTCTCTGTATCTCTCTATTTCTATGTCACGTCGGGCCAGTCTTCATCAATTAAATGTGCGAATCCCGAGGAAGGTATCGTCTCGCAAATCCATCTGTATTCACATTAGTTGTAACTTTCCGAGGGTCCTATTGTCGAAAACAAAAAAAAAACACAAAAAAGAAAAAAAAAGAAAATGCATGCCACGGTAATCTTAACGCATTTTTGAAACGCGTGGCGTTTTTAGAGATAGTCCTCCGATGAGTTTTCGTTGCCGGATTGTCACGAGGTTCGGTTCCGCGATGTTGAAGCATTTGAAATGTCAAAGTGTATTAAGATTCGAAAGATCTTCGGATTTAAGATCCAAGGTTTTAATTTTCTGCAAGAACGCTGTACAAGTTTTGTAACAACCATCTGTCAAATCTTTCAACCTCGCGGAAGGTAGAAAGTACGCTGACCTCGTATTTATTACATCTTTTGTATACGATATTTGTTTTGATTTTGTCAACGCGTTGTGACGGATTTCCTAGTCGATCAAAGTTCCTCCTTCATACGACGCGTTTTTAGATTCTCGAGAATCTGCGCCGGAAGAATATCGTATTTCATTTCCGGATATTAATCCTGCAAGGCAAAAAAAAAGATCCACTCAGATGTTTTAGAATCGAAATGACTTCACGTTAATTTAATTAAATTGAGTATACAGATTAAAATTGTTCATTCTACGATTTAAATTCTCGACGCTCGCGTTTCTTTTCTTCTCTATCTCGGAGAGATATAAACATATTCCAAGATCCTAGAATATCTATGTAAGTGGCGCAAAAAAATCAAGAATTTAAAAGACCGTAGAACCTAAGAATCCACAGTTCCTAGAATCTAACACCTAACGATCCAAAGACCCTAGAATGTAAGGATTCAGAGATCTTAAAATTTAAGAAGACACTTCAACACATCGTAGAGTGTAAGGATCCAAACTATTTTGCAGAATGCGAATATAATATTCAATTGAGTAAAATCGAGCATTCGAAGATTCTAGAATGTAAGGATTCGAGAAAAAGAAAGATATCAAATGTGTAAGCATTTCCTGCGGCGAAAGTGTCAAGCGAACATCATTGTTATCAATCTTTTAATTGTCGAGAGCGTAAAATATGATGAGAAGAAATTTTTAATTGAGATTTTAATGTAAAATTGAAGTATACATTGGAGAGCTGGAAGAAACTTTTTAACATCTCGACGATCAACCTTGAAATGAAATTCTCGGTCGAGGTAAAAATGTCTGTCTAGAAATTTCTGTCATCGACTTTGTTACGTGCGATCATTAATATCGCGGTATAGAAAATTATACGCGTTTCGTTGATCTTCCTTACAACTCGTATATAGAAGCAGCAATTGTATGTACATCGCAGAAAGTAAACTCGATCTAACAATTGTCGGTTGTTGATGGAGGTGTCGCGATAAGGGAAAATAGTACCAGTTTTTTTTCTTTTTTACACTTTTTTGTTCCTATTTTATGTTCCGTTAATTAATATAGTCCTTATATTTATAAATATGAGAGAAGATATTATGAGTCACACATGTGCATGTATACTTGTTTCGCTCGCTCGAGAGTAATTTTAACGACAGCTCTCGCGATTGAGTTATTCTGACTGTTATAATTCACATCTAGATTAGATGTACATCGGATTATACGATATGGTGGATTTCGTTTCTTTTTTTTTTTCATACAAATTTCGTACGCAGAATGAAATATATTGCTGATGCTACGATGGAATCGGTCACAAGTTGTCGTTTCATCAAGCAACAATTCGGTTTCTTGTGTATCTTTTTTTCCGATTTTAATAAATCATTTGCGCAAGCATATGCCGTTGTCTTTTCCGTTGTCTTTGATTTTTTCAAATTTTCTCCTCTGTCTTAACTTATTCAAGAAACTCGAGAAAAGAAAAATATATGTACATCTTTTGTTTTTATCTTAATAAGTAAATTTATATATATAAAACATTTTGTAATTATCGTTTGAATAATCAGATTTCTCGATTTACCTCACACGATCGACTCGAGTTGTGACGTCAAAATCAAGAAAAACAATTCACCTTTCTCGCTTCTGACATCATAATTCAATGTGACGTCAATGAGGGACCAAGAAATCTCACGATCGATTTCACACTAATGTCACAATTTTCATTATACATTTTTATATTTTTATAATATTTTATATTTTTAATAATATATTTTGTTTCATTATTTTTTTAATAGTTTTTATTATTTCATATTGTCATTAATCATTAAATCTCTATATTTCAACGAGTTCTATTAAATATATGATTATTAAATAAGATCAATCGGTGTACGATTAAGATAAGCGCGGTTAAAGAGAGAGTACAAATAATTAATCGAGTATAAAAGATTTAATTGATAGCAAATGTCAACATGATAGAAAAATTACTATTATACCGTGGAGTGCTTTCCGAAGCATATTACTATTCGTTGCTAAATATAGATCACTGTTGCATGCTAAAGTAAATGAATTTGTGTAAAATATATCTATGAAATAAAGATTATATTTAGTCAATGAAGGTGTCACATATAAATTTATTAGTCGTCGTTTTAAATTAATATTGTATTTTTTTTCCTTCAAAGTTTAACTTCAGGTATTTATTTAAAAATATTAATTAAAAAAAAAATGTTTTATGTATATTTCTTATTCTTTTTCTCTCGCGATATACTTCAAATTGTACAATTGTGCACATATATGATAAGCAAACGATAGAAATATACTTGTGTTGGGAGGAAGGAGAAGTAATTCTGATCCCCGAAAAGGTCATTGTTAGATCGTGGCATTCAATTTGGGGTGTTGACTAAAACGCACACGTGCTCCACCGAATACAGCATTGAATCTGGACCGAAACCCGATGTTCCGCTGCGTCATTTCCTCCTGCGCGATCGCAGATTTATCCCCCTCAAACTCGTTTCGGATCCTATCCAGAGCTGGATGTGAAAAAACGACCTTACAATTAACGTTCCATCTTCTCGAAATATCCAAATTTATCAAGATGAAAGAAGGTGGAGTACGAGTTATTTTTTTTTTCTTGCAACTATATCCTTCCTCCCTCAAATTCAAATATCCATTTACGTCTTCCTCTTCCTTTCCTCTTGATTAATGAACCTTGCAATTTACGAATCACGTCATCATACGTTGTGTTACCTTTTTGCAGATCCATCTCGTCCATCTCGGTGTTGCTGATCTTCGAGAGCTCGTTCCGGAAACTCCTGGTGATCCTCTTGCGAATGTAATCCGCCTGGATCTCCTGCTTCGTCCTGGGCACCCGGAAGCGGATGCAGCAGCACAGTCCGACGACGAGGCTCAGCAGAACGGAGAGAACGATGCCGGCGAGCTGCCAGACGCGGAATCCCGGAAACACCTCCTTCTCCAGCCACTGTTGCACCGCGTCATCCACGCAGTCCTCCATCCTCGTGGAAACCTCGCTCGACAGGCAGGGAGACGCCGAGGACGCGCTGGATGACGTCGTCTGTTCCATTGTGTGCTAAACGAGGGTGTAAATCCGAGTTCCGAGGAGTCTTTCTAAAATTCGAATTTGTCCTCTCGAATTATATTCGGGAAAAAATACGTGATATTTTTGATTTAAAACATTGTTATTCTGTCGATTAGACTTTCGTCGATGCGTATTCACCCTCGATAAGACATCTCTGAACTGAGGAACAAAATTCACGGCAGTGTCAGAAGGCTCTGGAGGGTGTGGCTGACTTAATTGAACGACATGTTCCGACACTCCCTATTTTACGCCGCTCACTGATTATCAATACTTACAGATCGATACTTACAGATGTAGAAGTAAGTTTGTAGATTGTTAATTGTCGTTTTTATTATCTTTCACAATAATAATCGAATGTATAGTCGTTAAGTAGACGATAAAAGTAGTATCGAAAAAAAAAAAAGAATTATTATTTAATACTATTTAACAATATTTTTTTGTTCGTTCGACGAGCTGAAACGCGCGTGAAATGTAAAATGATTTGTTACTCTTTCCTTATTTAGTTTTCGTTATTTCTGACGATTTAAAATGTTGCCCCAAAAATTCATCAAATTCAAATCACAGATTTAACAGACTGTAAAAATGCAAAATAGTGACCTGTCTCTTTGAAGGATATCTAAATCACGATTTCATTTTGAAGGAGTTCACCGTAATCCTATGTATTCGGTTGACAAAGCGCCAAATGTGTAATTGAGAATGTAACATATAATAAATTGTTTCATTGTAACAACCAGCTTAATATATAATGGAATCCAAACTTGTTGAAGTTTCAGCGGTGTGTGTATTGTATTCCAATCTAATCACACTGTAAAAATCGACAAAGTGTTTTGCGTAACGAGCAATATTTGTAATAGTATTAACTGTCAACCCGCCAGTACACAGATTGTAACAATAGTGTCTTCGAATATTCTTTCCGGATAATTGCTTAACTAAACCGACGCGAAACTGTGTGATTCTGCGTTGCTTCCTTACTTCACTTAAACGCGACGCTACGCTCTTTCCTAAATATAGGGCACTGTTTGTGAAACGGATTGAAACTCAAAGGTCCCCGAAGCACTTAAATTCGCCGATATCTCGAACGAATAAAGGAATGCCTTCGCGGAAAATCTTGTTTGCAGGAGACCTTTCCGACACCGCACTTTCTCTAACCGCGCACTCTAATCTCCCCTTAAGAAGTGTTAACGCTTTCGCTCCTCCGGTACACTCATTCTTTCCTGATGAATGTTCGTCCTCTGCAAAGAATTGTAAATTTAAATAATATAAATAATAAATTGTAAATAAATAATATATAAATAATAAATTGTAAATTTAAAAAAAAGAAATCCGACGAATCTCCTTGATAATATAAGGATCGTTATAAAGTGAGTTGGAACAAGCATAAAGGTAAGGTAATACATATATTTCTAATTAGAAATGTTACAAAGTTGTCGAATATTTTCCAATATTTTTTATGTAATATATATATATAAAAGATTTTTTAATAATTTATATATGTAATACTACAATTAAATGATTATGTTATAATCACATAACTGTCACTTTTATGTCAGTCTTTTTTTGTAATGTTAAATATTTGGTTACTCACGTGATAGTCTTCTTCTCAGTGTTCTTGGTCTGAGATCTCGCTCTGTTCAGCACTTTAAGGAAGTCCGTCGTCTTAGTACGCATTCTCGAGTGAATGTAAACCTTACTGCATTTAATATGATAGTGCAGATAATTCCTAAACATGTGTATCAGGTCGATGGTGTTATCACGCGATTCTCGATTGGTGTGACGTGGAAACAGAACTGCAAAGTACAATTTTATGAAAATTATTTTATCTTAAAATATCAGTGTAAAAAATCAATATAAAAAATAATTTTAAAAAACTTGAGAATTTCATAGTAATTTATAATTAATTAATTTTTTATCATTAAATCTTTAAAAAATTCTTAATATTTAAATTTATTTAAATATTAAGTATCAAATTTCAACAGTAAATTTTATATATTTTATTTTTTATATGAATATCGAAAAATTGTTTCAACTTGATGCAACTTAATAAATGCTTGAAAAACAAATCAATCTTTTTTTACCGAATGTAATGTAGCCAATGCAATCTCCAACTGCCGCTTCAGAATCTTGTAGCTCCAACGGTGGCTCGCGATGGTTGAATAAAACTTGTGGTGCAGTGTGACTTGCTCGCCTGCCCTCTTTCAATTCTTGAAGAAAGAGTTTGCCAATGACCATGTCATCCTCATCCTTGAATATTGTGCTAAATACTACTGTGACTCTGTCGCTTTTGGCCTCTACATACCTTGATGAGAATTAATAAGAGTTAATAATATAATAATAAGAAGAATATAAATTTCTCCAAAATATTATTCCAAACTTTTTACATTGTTTCCTCATCTCGATACTGGATGACAGCCCTCTTCTGTACTGGCCTACCCGGAGAATCGCAATACTCTTCCTGAAAATCAAAGTACTTCTCAAAGACACTGGCAAAGCAATGTCTCTTCAGCAGAGCAACTTTCTTTACTAATCCCTCCCAGTCTTCTGGTAACTTTTCTAAATCTATGAGCACTGATACATTGTAACCTGTGGAAATGACAGATAAATTTAAATAATTAATCTCTCTTGTTCCCAAGTATAAAGGAAGTTTTAGATAAAACAGATATCTAACCGCTTTCTGGCGCGATGAGATGAGTCCCATACTCTCGTTTGAGCAATTCATCCGCACCATGCTCTTGCAACTGTTTATAAAATTTGAGCAGAATACTTATCTGCAAAAGAAGCATATTTGTAATAAAACAGAATTGGCGAGCTGATACAAATGCACTATAAAAGATTCATTAGAATATTTGCTTACTCTAAGCTTCGATTTGTCTCCGCTGAAGTTTGAAATGTGAAATAATACCCCATCAAAATCAGCTATAATAACATCTGTCGATTCCTGCTTGTGTCTACAAACAAAAAACAGCGTGTCAAAGGGAAGTGATCGCAGAGCTATCAATTTGATAAAAACTTCCACATGGCACAGCAAATTTCTAAGAAAACTTGAAGGCAAATCCTGGGACGAGATTTTGAAAGAAAAAAAGAGTGAAGTAAAACGCGAAACATGATGTCAGGACGAAAGTAAATATCGACCTGAAGGAGCAGCGGTCTCGGATTTGAAAAAAAAAAAAAAAAATGGTTTGACAGGGACTTTTCGCGGAGAAGAAAAGTGAAAATTTCGCCTTCGGACACCGCCCCGGCGCCACATTTCCCGGAAAAGAAGGTTATGCGAGGAGATAAGGCGGGCCCTCGAGGATCCTCGACGAGGAGGAGAAGTGACGCGAGGTCCTTACCCCGACAAGGCGTTCTTGATTTTGTTCGTCAGCGTTTCCTCGAGTATCCTGTTGTGTATCTCCAGCAGGATCATGATTGCTGCCAGAAGAGACGTCCGCGATAAGGATAATCCGGGACACACCGTGGACAGACCGCGATGACGGATTTGTCATCCGCAACCGACTCGATGCTCCGCACTTGGTCGATAAAATAGACCGGCTGTCACTCGGTCAATAATGCGGAGTATTCGCGCGCTCGAAATGAATTTCGTCTCTATATCGCGCCTTATTAAAAATAAATACTGTCATTCGCGATATAGAAATATATATTTCGCCCCTTATTCTCTCGGTATTTATTCGCTCCGGAAATTACGAAAATACGAGCGGTCGAAACGAGCGCGAAGAATTATTATTAACTCGTCATTTCCGCTCTTCTGGATCCGATGACATGAACGGTTCGATTCCGCGACATTCCTTCCGTCACGCGCGATTTAAATTTGATCGACTCTCAAAATAACATTTTCAATTATATTTAGATTGTAATATTACATTTATACAACATTATTTATTTAAGTACGTTTATATATATAAAAATAATTTTATATAATAACAATAATACTAACAAACTTTGTAATGTTTGTTATTTAATTAATTTATTACTCTCGATAATTTATAATAAATATATAATTATAATAAAAATTATAATATAACAAAAATGATATATTAATATAATTATTAATATATATTACATACATAATATTAATATGTACTGTGAATATATTTTATAATATATATAAATATATTTAAAATTCCTATCATCAAGAATAGCAAAATTGTATATATAAATAATTAATTATATTTGCCACTAAAGCGATTCGCGATTCAAATTTACGCGCCAGTGAGTAGCGGCGGCCATATTTAATTCGCGCGGCGCAAGGAATCTCGGAACCGAACTGCAGCGTCTCTGGACTAACATAATCGCGCGCAATTGTTTTTTGTGTGGTGTCGGGAGCTGTGCTGAAGCTATTGCAGATAAATCGAGCATCGAAATCGGGTAAGTATCAGAAAAAATGGAGTCAATTAACATTGTAATTAACCTTGTAATCATTATGGTAATTATTATATTGTGGCACGATACTACGGTCATAAAAATCACTCGTCTTCTCGCTCGTCTTCTTCCGCGAATTCAGGTTAAGAGAATGATTCGGTAAATATTTCCCGTAAATAGTATTCTGAGTCGATTCTTCATTATTATTATGTAAATTTTATTATTCAAATACTGTACGTATCTATCAAATACTAAATATTATAGTATATAATATTATATATGTATGTATACCGCGAACGTGCGATAAATTCATCAGGTGATTTCCGTGCGACCGTAGTTGAAAACGTTGTATTAACAAAATAATCGCGACATTTACTTTTCGGGAATGAACATTGCTAGCAAGTAAACGTATCAATATTGGGAGTATCGAGAAAAATATTGGGTGGCACTGTATTATGCGTAAATATACTATTTTAATGTCGATAGCTCCACAGTTCCGTCACGTGAACTCCGCACAACCGTAGTGCAAAAATATATGAAACGGTATAATATCGGGAATGCTGAGGAAATTACAGGGCGATATTTATTGTGATCTAGCATATAATTTATTAAAAATATTTATATTAAATATATATATATATATATATATATTAATGTAAAAAAAGTTAATTTTATTTTTTCACTCAATATAAATATGTATATGTATAAATCTATTATAAATTTGATTTTTCAAATTATTGTAAGGAATATTTATCTCCACTTTGATATGATATATTAATAATGTTTTAATTTAATTTTTAGGAACAAATGGATAAACATCAGGACAGGAGCATCAGGAATTCAATGCAGCCAGGTAAATGTAACTACAGTGCTGGCAAGTAAATTTGTTGATAAATATATTATTGTTTTAATTTGTCATATTAATTGCTTCTTTATTAATCATTACCACAAGTAATTTGATGAACGCATTATACTTGCACAAATCATTCTAAGATTAAAAAATAATATAAATGTTATTCTCTTACAAAAAAAATTGTACGAAAATTTATTTTATTTTATATTTGTTTCGTAAATCTTGCTTAATTTGGCAAATTATTATTCCTTTATTATCATCACAAGTTTGATAAACGCATTATTTTACGTGTGGAAAATCATTTTAAAATTAGAAAACATTAAAATATTATTTTTAAGTAATAATGAAAAAAAAATAGTAAAAATATGTATTTGTGATGAAAATTTGTTTCGTACTATTTTTATATTTCTATATGTAAAATAAATGTATAGCATTGTTGTTCGGGCAATTGAACATTCGGTTACACGGATATAATCGCAGACTGAATATTGAATATTCATATAATATCACAGCTGTGTTGCTGAACTTTTATGCAGCGCTCTGTTCTTTTTCCTTTTTTCGATAAAATGTGAAAGAAATTATATAGATATTTTCCCTTCTCTATTCAAACTTATTGCAGACGTGATAATAATTAATTATAGAAGACTTATTTTTAAATAGGTCATTATTGAAAGACTATTAGTTGATGTATCGGATAATCGTAATTGGTGATCTCTGAAAATTAACATTAAGAAAACGCATTGGCAGTGAATTTTATTATTTAATTCTTTACAATAAGACGAACGTATCGTTTTCTCCAATATTAAATTTGATATAAACTCTCAAAATATTACAAAAATTAATTAAATTTTATACTTATAATAAAAATTAATCACTTGTATTCTACTGTATGTCTAACAATAAAAAAATCGTACAGAAAGAGTTAATACTAATATACATACATATAATTGAAGTAATGAATATGTTCAAAATGTATCTAGTTTAATATGAATCCAGAAAAATATATTGACAAAAATATATAAACATATATTTGTATATATAATAATATATGAATGTATATAGTTTTATTAATTCTGAAATATCCGATAAGAAAAGGACATTTAAATTTAATAATTTAATTTACTCTAAATTATATTTGCATACAGTACTTTTTCGAGTTTTGACCGGAATTTTAAAATCATGGGAGGCACTTAAAATTGAATGAAGAGAGTATCTAAAGATAGTATATAACTAGTAGATATTCAATAAAAGAACTTTATAAATTATGTATATTGATGATTTAATTATGCTGGCTATGATTCATTTCGAAGAATTGAAGCGATCGAACTTAATTTCTTAAAACTAATTGTTATTTAATTTATGTAATTCAATTTTTAATTTAAATTAAATGCGAAACATGACGCTATCAATCCAACACACCCAAAAATTCCAATAATTCTCCGATCATCTTAGTGGAGAGAAAAGCGTCGATTTTTTCTGTCGTTAGATGTCTAAGTCTTTCCATAATCGTGGCATCTTTGAAGAATTCAGGTGCTGTATCGGATATCACAGCACTCAATACATTAGACAATTCTTCATCGTCGAACAAACCTGTGACGCGAAACTGCGAATAACGAGAGGAATTAATTAAAAATAAAAAAGTAGGGCAAAGTGAAAGGTAAAGGTATTATAGTTTAAAATTGAATAAATTATTGAGTAACAGTTTCTATATTTTTTATGGAAATTTTTTATGGAAAAATAATCGTTTGGTTATATACTTACATCTAGGGCTCTCAGAGAAAGCTTCAATTTCATATTTCTCACTTTGAAATGTTCTCCATTCACTGTGAAACCAATTTCCGTCTCCAAAACGAAATCTCGCGCGGACAGGCTGAAAATAGAATATACATATAAAACACGCACATTCTTAGTTTCACTTTTTACGATCTACTTGTTTATTTTTAGATCGGAAAAATTGCAAAGAAGTCCTATTATGATACTACAAATACTTTTAAGAACTCTGAAAAAAAATTAAATTAATAAATATTTATATATGAAAAAATAATTATTAGATACAAGAAAACTTTTTTAAAACAGAGAAATATTTATTTGTTTCAAATAAATGATTTTATAAGGCAATATTGAAATAAATGTTTATTAATGTAATAATTTTTTCAATGTAGAAAGTATATGTCATTTTGATATTTAATGACGTCAGTTTGCTACTTGGGTATCCAAATGATTTATTATACATATATAAACGAAAATGAATAATGAAATAATTATATATTCGTCGAAGTTCTGTTCGGTTTTTGCAGAAGAAAATAAATATACTCACTCTATCTCACCGTTTCCGTAAAATTCATAAGAATCAGCGTTTCCTTTCATTGTATAATCGGTACTCGCGGTTATTAAAGGCCAGGAGAGATTTATGTTGAGTTTCATACCAATTACTTGGAAATCACCCTCGATGACTTTGTACTCGGATAAACCATCCACGTTGACGTTTGTCAAAAGCGCATTCAGGCTGAGAATATATGCAGAAATATAAAATATTGCTATAAATAGTATCCGTGAAAAAATTTTTTGTATATAACAATATAAAATTATACATATAATCGCAAAATTATATATGAAATATGTTCATACATAATTAAATAAAAGAGCTTTTATTTATAATTATATAAATTTATAATAAATAATATATATAATATATATATATATATATATATATATATATATATATATATATATATATATATATATATAATATATTATAATTTATATATCTATATAAATTATATATTATATATATAATATAAATATTATATATTAATAATAAATGGACATATTTCACATATATAATTAAATTAAAAATTTTTCCCGGGTATGATCAAGATATTTTGCCCTATTGCTGCAATTGACATTACCTTAGATTGCTTTGCACTAATTAGCAAAAATATATACATATAAAAAAATATTTACAGGAAGATAAATCGTAAATTCTAGGCTTTGACAAAATAGGCAGGAAAGTCGGAATAAAAATAACGATCTGTGAAACTGTTGTGATATACAAGAGCTATACTTTTTTTTACAGCGAATGTAAATATAACTTAATTGAAGAAAAATTAAAATAGCACGCACTTTATTATTTGCTCGTATAATTTGATCGGCATTTGCTTCGCAGTGAATGGATCAAGAACCGGAATTCCGAGCGATTCATTTCCGGTCTTTAATATGATCTTAAATTTTTCGAGAAACTCCTCAAACATGGTACGTTTTGCGAACACGTCTGTAAATGGAAATAAAAATTTGTTTAATTAGCAAAGAAGATTATTTCCAAGAATATTTTACGTAAAAACATTACGCGAGAAACTGAAAATATCTGTAGAATCATGAAAGTTTGATATTATATCAAAAATGAGCTGCATAAAAGTAAATTTTATTTATTAATATATATTATTAATATGTGTATTTTAATATATATTAATATATTATTAATATTTATTTATTGATATATTATTAATATATATTTTATTTACTAATATATTTAATATTAATTATAACTATTATATTGCAAGATGTATTAGAAAATATAAAAATAATAAAATAAAATAAAAATAAAATGAAAGGTTATATAAATTAAAAACAGATATAGCACGAAGAAAAATAAATGTAAGAACGTGACGTATCTTTAGAAAAATACTACTCGATATATATTTACGGAGAAATTCTAGAACAAAAAGAGAATAAAGCGAGAAAAGAAATATTGATATTTACTTACGATAACCGTTCGTTTCAATTGCCCGAGTAAGGCAACAGATCAGGATAAGCCCAAATGCCATGTGATTCATTTTCTGCACAAAATAAAAAAGCTGGAAATGGAGAACACACACAGTTCTCTTTCCCTCGAGATATATCATTCTCATTGTTAGATTTAATGAATTTGCCGAGGGCATCGAGATTACACAAATTATTTCCCAGACGTCAAAAGTCAACTTCTGCGACTGATTTTGACGTAAATGTTTGAAAGAAAAGTTTGCACATTTTTACGCGCATCGCGAGAGCGTATATAATTTATATATTTAAAGCAATTTATTATTTATGTATTCGAAATATTCAATATTATTTATAAATATTTGTATGCTGAAAAAATTGTTAACTTGACTGAACCTTTCAACTATAAATTATCGTTTTATTAATTGAACATATATTAGTATTTAAGTCAAATATACGTTTTGTTAGATTTAATATGTTATATTTAATTTTTAAATATTTCTATATGTTTAATTAACAAAATAATATTTAGTTGAAAAATTTAGAGTCAATTTAACAAATATTATTTTTAGTGTATTTATATATTGAAATGACGCATATATATTTACTAATTAATACATACAAATTCTTGTTTTTTTTTTTTTTCGATGACACGAGTCACGCTGTTTGTAATTTGAATTAAGAAAACAAAGAAACTGCGACTCGCGAAAAAAATATGGGCGTATTTATAGAAATTGGCTTGATTTTTATGTTATCGATATATATCGGGATCCGCCTAGACATTAAGATCTCTTATCGATCACGATGTCGTACAACGATTCGATTTTTGCGTAATCCGACGAAAAGATCTGATCTCGAAAAACTGGACGAAGACACGCGCGAAAGATTTTTTTTTTATTTTCTTATGAAAAAGCGTATATCTCGAGTTATCTGCAATCGTGAAACTGACGTTGACAAAAGTTTTCTCAACCGCGCGTTTATACGAAGCTCAATCGGGTATAATTATTTAATTGCAATTAATTTTGTTCTGAAATTGATCTCATTTTGTTTCTTCAATCTCGTCTTATCGCAACGATCAGATTAGATTATAGAAGAAACTCGTAACGCAATTAATTGGCATAATGCAGAAATGTTGTCTATAGTAATTTAATAAAGTCGTAAATCGCGTATAATGTGTGATCCAATAAAAGATTCGTATTATTTTTGTCGTCTCGAAATTGAATAAATTTCTTTTTTTATGTAGTATTTTTTAAATAATTTGTCTACTTATTTAATAGTAAATCTAACAATAAATAATTATAAGAGATCTTTGCTAAAATCGGATTCCCGAATCTTCACAAAAGTCGGAGCTTAATAAAAAATTGTTCTAATCAAGGGTAAAAAAGAAATAATTAGTTTAGATATCAAGATTGGTAAATCAAATTTATTTGACAAATTCAAATCGATTATTTTTTTATACACTCGCTCTCTCTCTCTTTCTCTCTTAATCATAGATTTTATTGCATTGTTATTACGTCATAATTATCTAAAATTCTTTAATGTACACAGTGAACAAAACAATATTTCTATCTCACTTCTTTTCCCAGAATAATTTTATATAAAAATTATACATTATATATTACAAAATCTTTTTTTATTTATTTGGCATGTATTATGCTTTATAAAATTTTTAATAATATGTCTCGTAGTCAAAAATAATACAAACAGTGGAAAAATATTCTCTCACACCCATAATTTTTATCAATAATTACCCTAATAATTGTATTGACTTTATTTATTAGCAGTTTTAATTTTCATTTACGAAATATAAATTCCCAATAAAATTGGTATATACATTTCTATTTCTCGTTGACATTATCAATATGTATTATTATACATTTCATCGCTTAATCGATCGCTTAAGTTCAAGTAACGCGAGTACATAAACGATTGATCGAATGACAGTGGGATTTGACCACTGATCTCTATATAAAAAAAAGAACTAATTCTAAAGACCTATTAGTTTCAATAGCTCCACTAACGTCATAGTGGACAGAAACTCGTTGAGCTTGTCTATAACAAGAAGACCAGCTATCTCCGTAATTGTGTCATGATAATCCTGGATCAGCTGAGGCACCATGTCAGAAATGATAGCACTTAGTAATTCGGACAGTTCGTCATCGTCGTAAATACCTGTCGCGTGAAACTGAAAAAAAGAAATTAATTTTTCATTAAAAAACATTAAAATAGCAAAAATAAAGAATAACGAAAAAATTGATTGAAATTTTAGTCGATAAAATTGAGGGGATCTTAAGCTAATATAAGTTTCATTTTTGTTTTATCGACAAAATGTGAAGTTAGATTCAGCTATAAATCTATTTATTGGCTATACGGATTGTTTTTTACCCGAAATTAGAACGCTTCGCCCTTTGTTAATATATTAATACTTTAATTTGTACAAGAAAAAGATTTATCAGTCTGTATAGTCTCATATATCTTGATTACAGAATTATGAATTCTAAGAATTCTAAGCATTCATAATTCTGTAATCAAAATATATGAGAGATGTACAGATTGATAAGTCGTTTTATTGTACAAATTAAAGTATTAATATTAACAAAGGGCGAAGCTTTCTAATTTTGGGTAAAAACAATCCGTATAACCAATAAATAGATTTATAGTTTATCTATAATCTCACATTTTGTTGATAAAACAGGACGGAAATCACAGACTTCTCAAGGATCACCTTAAGAACGATTGAGAAATAGAAGAAATTATATATTTTAAATTATTTTAAGACAGAGAAATTATTTTAAAAAATAATGAAGGATTTTTTGTTTTTAGCACAAGAATATAAATAATTAGTTTTCAAATTAAAAATTCATGTAACATATTTTTTTATGGTATTAAAATTGTAGAAAAATCATAATATAAACTTGGAAGAATTGGTATCAATGAAAGAAAACGAATATGTGCAGCATAGAAAAATGTAATATCCGGATTATGAAGCTGAAAACATGTTTTTGTGATTTTTAATTTCTTTTCCCCTTAACTTAAACTTCCTACATTTAATCGAAACGAGAGCTTACGGCGGCAACTTTTTGTCCTTTGTATAAAACAAAGGGAAAAGTACTTTTCTAAAAGTTTTTAATTACATATATTTTTCTGTTTCTTTTTTGCTTAGTAATTACTTGAAAATCATTAACGCAAAGTCGATATTTCATGTGCAACGATTGAATATTTGCTCCATTTGCGAGTTCTGAGGATTATGATTAAGAAAAAAAGAGAAATTCAGTTACTTACCTCAAACTCTCTCAAGGAAATCTTCATACCTACGCTCTTCACTTTAAGATATTCGCCGTTTATTCCGAAAACAACTTCCCCTTCGAAAGAAAAGTCTCGTGCGGCTGCCCTGGAAATTGAATACATATATCCTTTAATCTCTCATGACCTGAATTTTTAAATCAATATTGATAAGACATCTTCTCTTATAATTAATAAAAATAGAAATTTAATTATCGAAAAAGTAGAGTATTTAACAATATCGATGTGTTTTTCGAAGATCAGAAATTTTCTGCCAAAAAGTTCGTGTCCAATATTTTTAGTTTATGCGTGCAAAAAAAAAATTTATTTAAATATAAAGTTAATGCTTCCATTTTTAAACCAAAAATGTATGGACATAATCTATTAAATGATATTGATTGTATAGATTAAATAGAAATAAAATAAAAATAGAAATTATTTGAAATAGAAATAAAAATTTGAATCCCATAATAGGGTCTCGCGGTTTCTAAAGCTGGGCTTGAGCACTGTAAAAAAAAAAAAAAAAAAAAAAAACAACATTGACGCGATCGCGTGTTTCACGTAAAGCATATATGAATTCAGTTACGATTTAATAATGCCCTTTGTTGCACTTGACGTTATTTGATAACATCAGGAAAGCGCTCAATGAAAAACAGCTGATTCATTGTCAATCGTACTCCCGTCTTTTTTTTGTTTCACACGGTTATATTTCATGCATTGTGTTTATATTAAGTGAAACGAAATGGAAAATGTAAGGGTTTTCTGCGAACGAGAAAAAGCCGGCGAATAATAGTAAAAATTCTCATAATAAATATATTGAAACATGTATTATTTAATGAAATAATATTTTAAGATGCTTTAATAAATATTATTTTGTTAAATAATAAATAATAATAATTATTGCAACTGTAAAATAATATTGTTACGAAATAGAAATGTGTGTTATATATTATATTGTATAATATTGTATATATATATGTATATAATATATATATAAATATATATGTTTGATATATAATTTGGCATGATTATACATATATGAACTTATAATTTATATATATATATATATATATATATATATAAATTTATATTATGTATGAAAATGGACATATTTCACATATTAAGAATTACATATATATTAAGAAACATACTCACTTCATTTCACCATGGCCGTAAATTTGAAAGTTAGAGGCGTTGCCATTTATGGAGTAATTTGTACTCGCGACTATGGACGGCCAAGAAAGATCCATGGTGAGTTTCAGACCAGCTATCTTGAAGTCACCTGAGTTGACATCGTATCCGGACAGACCCTCCAGTCTGACGTTTGTTAAAAGACCGTCCAACCTGTAGATATGCCGGAAATCGCATAAGGAAATTGTCAGACATTGTTAAATAAATTTCGCAGTTTTGTTTATTATGACTCTTATTGTTAATAATAATTAAAGATCGTTTAATACGTTGATTGCCACGTGCACATTCAGTTAATTCACATCGCAGGAAAAATTTTTTTATATATAATATATAAATAATTGTATAATTATACATATAATCGTAAAATTATATGTGACATATGTTTATTTTTATACATAATTATATAAAATATATAAATCATAAGGATTCATATATAATTATGTCAAATTATAGATGAAACATATATATATATATATATATATATATATATATAAAAGAAATATTTATTATTTATATATATAAATTTCTAATTATGTATGGACATATTTCATATATAATTCGAAATTGATAATATTGATTTGATGTGAGAAAATATTTATTTATAAGAAAATTCTTTTCAGAACAGATAAATATTTACTCGTTTCAAATAAATGATTATTGCGAAATAAATATTTATTAACTTAATAATTTTTTTCAGTGTATATAATTTATGCACTGATAATAATTCGCTAGTCTTTATTTTAATAGCGATAATATAAGCCAAAAATATTAATTAAAAATTTGTACAATTACAAAGTTAATTTAAGGCGTTGGCAATCAACGTGTCACTTAAAACAATTAAAAATATAGAATCACAATGCACTTTAGAAAATCCTCATCAATTGCGATCGGTAATTCGTCCGCGGTGAACGGATCGAGGACCGGAATTCCGAACGTGTCATTTCCGGTCCTTAATACTTCCTTGAATTTTTCGAGAAAATCTTCGAACATATTATACGTGCCACGTTCCAAATATACATCTACAAAAAAGTGAGTTCAAGAAATTTTACGCAATAATATACATATAAAATTACCGTCAAAAGCAAAACGATATGTACAAGATAAATAATTAACAAAACGATTACGTAAGCCAATAAACGTACGGCGAAGGAAAGGTGATATAAGAAGCAACGCGACGTGTAACCAAAATATCATCACTGTGAAATCATAAACAAGTATATAAATATAATAATATAATAATAATATAAATATATAATAATGATATAATAATAAAATATATTTTTAAACTTATATGTATATATCTATATATAATATATACATATATATGTATATTATATACTACATCTTAATTATACAAGACTGTAAAAAAATATGTAAAATTACATAAATAATAAGTGTATAAATAAAAATGTATACATTTTTATTATTTATCATGTAATTTTACACTTATTATTTATATAAACATATGTAATATTTTTATATAAATAATATATATTATATATATAAATTGCATAATACATATATAAATTAGTAATATTACATATTTTTACAGTGAAGGTGAGAAAAATAATGTAAAGAATAATAGAAAGAAAACAGTATATAATTCTGTGAAGCAATTTAAAACAAGTAGGAGAACAGAAAGCAGACGAGCATCGAAACAATATTCAAAGTTACAACATAAACGTAAACTATGAATAATATTTTTCCATAAAGACATTATATAGACAACACAACACAGATTTTACATATTATTTATTTATAAGACATATATTGATAAGATGTCAAAACTAAATCAATCTTTTTGCCAATATGTTTATGAGTAGAAATAAAAAACAAATATATAAATATTGATGTAAGAGTATGAAACATGAAGATAATAAAAAAATATATATTATATATATAAGTCGTTCACAGTATGTCGACGCTATTTGTTTAATTTGTTGATTATAATAGAGTTATTTTCATTTTAGATTAATTGTTATCTATGAAAAAAAAGTAGAAGTATATGAAGGTAAACTTGTGATAAGATTGAGCAAATTATATAGGTTGGCATTTACTCCATTGAAGCAAGATAATAGTGCATTTTTAACTAAAAATTTAAGCAAAGACGTATTTTTTTTTTAACATAACTCGATAATAAAACATATTTTTCTACATTTTTATATAATAACTTGTTTCTCGTTTCCACCCATAAAACACACCGACAAAGTTTGATGGTTCAATTTTGACACACTCTGTAGATCTCTCATCTAGATCTCTATCAAAAACATATGCTCGAAATAGATAACTAAAAAAAAATAAAAATAAACTGATTAAAAATTAAAGTAGACTGAAAAGAGAGAAAGTAGATCGTTGAAAGAAAAAATAGCATGAGGATAGAAAATACCCGGGAAAAATTTTTATATATGTATAACAATATAAAATCATATATATATAGAAATATATAAAATTATACATATAATCGCAAAATTATATATGAAACATGTCCATACATAATTAGATAAAAGTGTTTCTTATATATAATTATATAAATTTATATATATATAATAAATAAGCATATCTATATATACATATATAAATATATATGTTTCACATATAATTTTACATGAATATATCTATATGAACCCTTATAATTTATATATAAATTTATATAATTATGTATAAAAATAGATATATTTCATATATCATTTTACGATTATATGTGTAATTATACAATTATTTATATATAATTATATATAAAAATTTTTTCCAGGTAGTATAAACGAAATATATTTCCAAAAGGAAAGAGAGAGAGAGAGAGAGAGAGAGATTCCAGAGAGAGAACTAAAAGTCAAATACATAGATATCAACTTACTTCTGGCGGTAGCCGTAATTATCACGGAAAGGAAACAGATCAGGCCACCGAACGTTATTGCGATCTTCATTCTTCTGTGGAAAAATAGAAAATATCGTCGGTTTAAAGCTACCTAAAGGAAGGAGGTCAGGATAAGACCTGGCAGTATACTTTTCGTCACTATGTTGTTATCACTAGCCGCGAGTTATCAGCGAATTATTATATATTATGATACATCACACGATTCCGCAAGGATTAATCACCTGAATTGTTGGCACAAAAATCGTTAACTATAAAAATCGGCACTTTTCTGCCTCCGAATGCACTCGATCGGCCACGTTCACAGCCGATTTACGTTCGACTTTTGTATATAATTGAACTTATTACGTATACAAGTCGTTCGTTTAAGTCGACTTCGTCGTTTCTGCAATTATATATGACCTGCGCGATAAGAAAACCACGCGAGTCGTAATTAAGACAATTCCCCGACCTTATATATATACATATCGTATTTTATATATATATATATATATATATGTGTGTGTGTATGTGTGTGTATATAATACGGTAGTCGGTATCGGATCTCTATAAACGTCGAGATCTCTTATCTTGACTGACAACTTATCGGGACTTGATGAGATAATATTGACCAATCGAGGAAAAAATCGAAATACTACACTCTACCTTTCTTCATTGTCCACAGAAAATTGTTCAGAATCTTCCAAGAATATTGGATCTTTCGTTCACAATCTCGACGCTGACAGTTAAATACGGAAAAAAAATTAATTATTAAACTTGAATTTTTCACTCTGTCTTTATATTATATTATATATCTGGAATTTAGTTACCATGCTTAAATTTTAGCTATGTATAACTAATATTTTCAAGCTATTTAGTACAGAATTTTCTGTTAAATTATGATTAAAAATATTAATAATTGTATAGCTACAATTTGAATATGATAATTAAATTTTAGGTGTAATATATAGGGACTTTTAAAATTTAACTAATATAAAATGTGGTAGCTAATATTTTTGACAATTCTTTAGACGAGACAATTATTTTCATAGAGATGTGTTAGATAAAATGTATATATTAAAATAAATATATATTTGCGTGTATGTATATATGTATATATATATACATATATATATATATAAAAGATAGATTTTGCATATACTGTTATTCAAATTATAATTTGAGTGGTATGTGTGTATAAATTATAACGAAATAATTATTTTCGAATTTCTTTCTAAAAAAGGCATGCAAAGCCGAAAATATTGTTGCTGCTTTTTCGCGATGCTGATTAGCAGAATTGGGAAAATTAATGATTTTTTAAAACTAAGCTAACAATAAGTTGAAGTTAGTTGCTTATAAAATTAATTTAGTTAAGTTAAAAGTTTTATGAATGAAAAATTAACTTGGTTAAAATTAAGTTAGGATTAAATTAACTGAAGTTAAATCAAAAGTTAATTTTTAAAAATATTATTTATATTAAATTAGAATTTTGTTTGTTAATTCTTTTGAAATATATATAATAACAAAGAAATTTTGATTTTTATATAGAAATATATTTTTGGTAGTTACAATTGATGACAAATAAACATGAAAATTGATAATACTTTATTTTAAAAATAATACGTTTATATAACTTATAAAAGAACAATAATGGTATTCGCAGAGACAAAAGAAATTTAATTTAGGAAAAAAGTTAATAAGTTTAAGGTAAAAAAATAACTAGTTGAAGTTAAAAATTAATACGTTTTAAATTAACTAAGCTAAGTTAAAAGTTATTAACTTTTCAACTTTTTAACTAATTATTATCCAATCCTGTTAATCAGTCCCGCTAATTATCGTATATATAAATGCAATCGGGTCGCTTGCACCGACATCGTGATCGCGACATTTTTTATTTAAGTGGCCAATTCTGGAATACAAAATATAGTGAAGTGCCCCAATTCTGGAATACAAAATATAGTGAAGTGGCCAATTCGTGAATATCCTTGCGGGGCCTTAAAAAAGCGGCGACCCAAAAATGAACATGGTCTCTAGCAGGGGAAATCTGAAAAACCGGGAAAAGCCAGATTTACTATTTATCTGGATTTTTTCACATTATTCTACATTTCTCTCAATTATTTGAAATTTTTTATTCAATAAATATCTCAAGGATTTCATGATTTAATATTTAACTGCATGATTTATCATATAGATATATGCAAATTATATATTTGGAACAAATAATACTAAAAAGTCAAGGAAAAAATTAATTCCTGGTCTTGGAAAATCTGCAAAAGTCAGGGAATTTTTTCATTGAGTCTGCTGGATACCCTGATGGAGCATCGGTTTTATTCGCGCGTGAATAAGCTCTCGCGTTTCACCGAAATGCGTCGAAAATATGATACCTAAAAAATGTTGACGCGCGAAAAAAAAACGAAAAAAAGTAACGCGAGTGCAAAGTGTTTCAAAGTTTTTACGAGTTTCCGGACGCAGAAGTTGGTCTCCTGCAGGAAAAATGGATGGCACCGGCGAGGAATCTCCGGAGAAGAGGAATCGTCGAAATGTGAGTCGAATTTATTTAAAACAAAGTGATAAATATAAGGCCAACTTATCGAGCTGAATATTCGAGATGTTCAGTCAACTACCATTTATTACATGTATAAATTATAAAACTACAGTCATTATATTATATTAAAACTAACGCAAATTAACGCAAATTACAATCATTCTATAAACGTTTCGACCGCACGCGGTCTTCTTCAGTATAATTATTGAAAAATAAATTCTTACAATTCACATGATATCGAAATTTAATTATAGTTATTCAGAATCGAGAGTTTTTGAGCAATTAACGCGTGTTTCAATCCGTCCTGTCCAACAATGTTCGCCTCGATATGATCTCTGATTTTGTTCAGATCTCGGATGATTTCATCGTTAATATGCGAGAAATTAACCCGTACCGTAGGCGCTGCGATTAATAAGAAATTACCGATCAACGTATGTCCAAATTATAATATATATCCCCTACAATTGGTAGTATGCTTACCTATCATCGTTCTTCTTGACAATTTTGCTACTTATTAACAGTTATTAAGGATGACACTTAACAAACAACAATACAGAAAGACAGCTCATTTTAAACTCTACTTGATCGGAGAGCGTGCGTGTTTATATATGATCTAATATCTATGTTTTACTCGTTAATGTCCTATTTGTCCTATTATTATTTATTGTTCGCTAATATATCCAAAATATCAAAATACGACTCGCTAAGTAACTCAGTATCTTTGTTTAAATTTAGTCCATTTTTTTGTTCCTTGATATGTAGCATCTCAGAAATGAGTCTTTTATAATAATTATTTTCGTTGTCCATGATCTTAACATTGTCCCAATTAAAAGTATGATGTTCATTTATTATGTGTTCAGAAATTACTGAATGTTTCGTTGAGTCCAACCTAATATTATTTTTATGTTCTTTTATTCGCGTCTGCAATTGCCTCTTTGTTTGGCCTACATAAGATGCATTACAATTATTGCAACTGATCTTATAAACCACATTCGAATTGCATGGATGTTTAGTTTTATCTTTCTGTGCTTTAATAATATTATCCAGTTTGTTGAGACATCTATACCCTACCATACAATTTTTATTTTTCACCGAGGAAACAATCATTTCTGAGACCCTATCTATATACGGAATGACAAAGAATTTTTTATTAACCGAGTCATTTCTTATACTTTTTGTTCTTTCTATGTTGGCCTGTCTCTCTAAAATGCTCCCCTTAGATATGATGTGTTCTATCCGATGATTAATTTTGTTAAAAATCAGATCAAGAGGGTAACCATTGCTTCTGAGTATATTAATAATTAACTCCAAATTTTTATTAAAAAATAGTGGATGTGATAGCAATAGACATCTGTCTACAAGGTTATATATTATTCCAATTTTGTGGCATAATGGGTGGTTTGAATAAAATGATAACGTCCTTCCTGAGAAGGTTTCTTTTTGATACCAGTCTATATATATTTTGTTATTAATAATTTTAAGTGATAAATCTAAGAAATTCAAGCTATGATTAACCTCTTGTTCGACCGTGAATTTAAGTCTTTCATGATAGTTGTTAAAATTATTCACAATCTGAGTCATATTAGTCATAGAGGTGGCCACTATTATGTCATCCACATAACGAAAATAAAACAAACATTCCAAATTCAACGCTTTGAGAACTGTATCCTCAAGATCTTGCATAACCAGGTCTGCAATAATTGGTGATAACGGTGACCCCATAGGGGTCCCAAACGTCTGTTTATAAATTATGTCATCAAATGTAAAATATGTAGAAGTCAATATGAATTTTATACCCCCCAAAAATTCGTTTTTCGGTATTTTAGTATTTATTCCAATGTGATCCCATCTATCGTTAATACCGTCAATCGCAAGATCCAGAGGAACGTTCGTAAACAAAGACACCACATCCAAGGAAAACATCCTATCATTCTCATCAATCTTTTTACCAGACAATATGCTGTACAAATCAAAACTATTATTAATATGACTTTTCGCTTTGGGTAGGCTAGTTCGTAAGGTGTTTTGTAAAAACGAAGCCAGCGAGTATAGAGCCGTATCAACCGATGAAACTATGATTCTAACCGGATAGTTTTCCTTATGGATTTTAGGTAATCCATACGCTTTTGGAAGGAGAGAATCACTACAACGTAATTTATAATATTCGTTTTTTGAAATATAATCTTCCTTAAGCCATCTCTTCAACAAACCATTCAAATCGTTCTCTATTTTTTTGCACGGATTTTTTTTGACAATAGTGTAAGTGTTGACATCTTTTAAAACGTTTTTCATTTTGTTAATATAATAAGATCTATCCATCGCGACCGTAGCATTACCTTTGTCCGCGCGTGTGAATAGAACATTCGGATTGTCTTTACAAAATTTTTTTAAATCTCTGTGTGCACCAAGTAATTTTTGTTGACTTACGTCATTTTTATCCTTCGTGTTAAGAAGTTGTGCAAATTTTGGAACCGCGATATTTCTGATCGTTGTGAGATTATTAATATTATTTCGTTTGCTATTACTCTCTATGTCCTTGATAAATTCATGTATCGCTGTTTTTTTACTAATATTCGGAAGACAAAATTTATCACCCATTTGCAACAGATTAGATACGTTAGGCGGAATGTCTGTGTTGGATAGATTAACAAACCATTTTTTATTAGTATTTTCCAAAGGGTTAATTGTATCATTGAGAAATTTATTGGCTTCAATGTGTATATTGATCTCCTTGGCATCATTAGTGATTGCCCTGAGAGAATTTTGTGATATTTTCGTCGGTTGTGAAGTTTCAAAATGTAAAGAACAATGTATATCTATAGGTTTGATGCTGTTGATATACTTGTAGTATTGTTTCTCTTAAGCCAATTGAATTTCTTTTCATGTGCAGTAACCAATCTGTTGTGGCAATTTTTAAAAGCAATGTTATGATGTTCGAAAATTCTATTCCACGCGAGTACAGGCAAACGATTAATAACCCGCTAGTGAGATGAAAAATCCTATTTTGTAATGACTCTACCTGTCTATGCAAATCAAAAATTTCAATGCTCATCGCATTTGTTTTGAACTTGTACAACATACTATCTAGTCTTCTGATTGATCTGTGATGAAAAACGTTAAATTTAATGCGGCAAAAACCTTCCAAATGTAAGGGGAGCATTTTAGAGAGACAGGCCAACATAGAAAGAACAAAAAGTATAAGAAATGACTCGGTTAATAAAAAATTCTTTGTCATTCCGTATATAATAGGGTCTCAGAAATGATTGTTTCCTCGGTGAAAAATAAAAATTGTATGGTAGGTAAGATGTCTCAACAAACTGGATAATATTATTAAAGCACAGAAAGATAAAACTAAACATCCATGCAATTCGAATGTGGTTTATAAGATCAGTTGCAATATTGTAATGCATCTTATGTAGGCCAAACAAAGAGCAATTGAAATATATATAATAACAAATAACAAAGAAATTTTGATTTTTGATATAGAAATATATTTTTTGGTAGTTACAATTGATGACAAATAAACATGAAAATGATAATACTTTATTTTAAAAATAATACGTTTATATAACTTATAAAAAGAACAATAATGGTATTCGCGAGACAAGAAATTTAATTTAGGAAAAAAGTTAATAAGTTTAAGTAAAAAAATAACTAGTTGAAGTTAAAAATTAATACGTTTTAAATTAACTAAGCTAAGTTAAAAGTTATTAACTTTTCAACTTTTTAACTAATTATTATCCAATCCTGTTAATCAGTAGCTAATTATCGTATATATAAATGCAATCGGGTCGCTTGCACCGACATCGTGATCGCGACATTTTTTATTTAAGTGGCCAATTCTGGAATACAAATATAGTGAAGTGCCCCAATTCTGGAATACAAATATAGTGAAGTGGCCAATTCGTGAATATCCTTGCGGGCCTTAAAAAAGCGGCGACCAAAAATGAACATGGTCTCTAGCAGGGAAATCTGAAAAACCGGGAAAAGCCAGATTTACTATTTATCTGGATTTTTTCACATTATTCTACATTTCTCTCAATTATTTGAAATTTTTTATTCAATAAATATCTCAAGGATTTCATGATTTAATATTTAACTGCATGATTTATCATATAGATATATGCAAATTATATATTTGGAACAAATAATACTAAAAGTCAAGGAAAAAATAATTCCTGGTCTTGGAAATCTGCAAAAGTCAGGGAATTTTTTCATTGAGTCTGCTGGATACCCTGATGGAGCATCGGTTTTATTCGCGCGTGAATAAGCTCTCGCGTTTCACCGAAATGCGTCGAAAATATGATACCTAAAAAATGTTGACGCGCGAAAAAAAAACGAAAAAAAGTAACGCGAGTGCAAAGTGTTTCAAAGTTTTTACGAGTTTCCGGACGCAGAAGTTGGTCTCCTGCAGGAAAAATGGATGGCACCGGCGAGGAATCTCCGGAGAAGAGGAATCGTCGAAATGTGAGTCGAATTTATTTAATTCATTATTTATTTTGATAGAGCGATAGAAATATAAAAGTATTTCTGAACCGGATTTCGTGTCAGAAGAAATTCGATATAGCACGTTGCAGTCACTTTTCAGACACTGAAAGATTTTTCTTAAATATCTATGAAGAAGTCTTTTCGCTTCTCGTAAAATCACTTGACATATATTTATTTAGATAAAATTATTTCTTCAAAGTTATTTAAGCTTAATATATTTATTAATCATATCTATTTATTTCTTCATACTTTTCTTGTAAAGTTACTTCAATTTTTATCGAATAAAAATAAAATAAAAGATATTTATTTCTTCTTCCAAAAAAAGTCAAAACGAGTTTACTTATAGCCATTTTTCTACATTTAAAAAATTATACTATATTAATATTGGTGGAAGAAAAACGTTTAAAAAAATTTTAATTAAAAAATTCACTTTTGACAATCTGTTTAAACAATTGCAATTTCTAAACTTTACTTGATAGAAATTCGGTGAATTAAAAATATGTATGCATTATAAAAACTCTTTTAATTAAAATTATGTACAAATTCGGCCAATTAAAATTATGTACATGATAGAAATTTGAGAATTGAAATTATGTCCCTTTCTAAAAGAGGCATGTAAAAGTCAATTTTTGCAAGTATTGTTTTTCGTGATGCTAATTTTTTTTTTTTTTATAGCATCAAGCAACTGTCATCGCGAAGATTAATACAGTTTGACATTTGTAAAATGAAAAATAAAATAATATCATTGGCGCGCGCTTGTGTGTTCTCTAGTTAATTAAAAATAAGAGTTTCTCCTCCGATTAATATTTTACTGCGATAAAAAATATGTATATATAAAAAAAAATCTATCCGTGTAATATAAAAAAAATGATCATGGTAAAATCAAAATTGAAGTTGAAAATACATCGATGAAAGATTGTGCATCGACAGAATTGAATTAACTATAATTAATCTTATTTTGAGGCACGTTTTGTTTTCATTGTTTTCGCATAATAAATTTTTCATTCGATTAGATAAACGAACGATTTGATTGCGAAGTATCTTGTTGTTGTAATTTATAACGCGCGCAAATCTGAAATCAGAATATCTCTGAGTTATCGAGATTAAACTTCCGATTGCGACATCGCGAATATGGATTTTTATTTGTTATTTTCTTAATAAAAAGTTATACACGCGCGCATCTTCCTTGAAAAAGGGAAGAAAAAAGAGAACGTTGGAGGAAATCAAATGATCAACGAGGGGAATTGAGAGGGAAATCTCGCTTTTAGCGAGATATTTGAGAGAGAAATACCTATACTCTCGACAGTCGTTCAGATTCAGTCATATTCGCAGATACGCGAAGTATCAGCGAAAAAGCACCGTGGAAATTATGCTCTCTCATTTAACTAATCAGCGTGCATTACGTTATTAAATTACGAATCCTGCATCTCTTTCCTTTTCATACATATTATATATTTATTTGAATATATAAATTATGTGTATCTATAACTCATCTCTTATGAATTGTTGAAACATTATTATGTTATAAAAATTATATCTTTCTTAATTTTTGTGTATAATTGATTAGACAAAATCTTTTATACACGCACTTTTTTTTATTTTAATATATGTATAAATTATCTGCACTGAAAAAAATATTTATTTCAATACTGCCTAATAAATCATTTATTTTAAAATTATAATAGTGATTTGATGTGAAAAATATTTATTTGTTTCAAATAAATGATTTTTAAGACAATATTGAAATAAATATTTATTAATTTAATAATTTTTTTAGTGTATTTATTATATATTTATTTATAAATATATATAATTGATATGGTTCAATAATAGATTAATAATAATAATCTATTATTAAAAGCCTGAATATATGAATTCTATATATAATTAATTAAATATGTATTAAATAGAGATTTTATTTTATATTATTTTATAATATATATATAATATATATTAATATTATTAATATATATTTAATATATATTATTGAAATATATTAATCAGAGTTGGGTAATAATTAGTTAAAAGTTAAAAAAAGTAAGTAACTTTTAACTTAGCTTAGTTAATTTAAAATGTATTAATTTTTAACTTTAACTAGTTATTTTTGACCTTAAACTTATTAACTTTTTTCCTAAGTTAAATTTTGTTATCTCTGAATACCATTATTATTTTTAAATTAAAGTATTATTAAGTATTAATTTTTATGTTCATTTGTCATCAATTGTAAAATATATTTCTATATAAAAATCAAAATTTCTCTGTTATTTGTTATTATATATTTCAAAAGAATTAACAAACAAAATGCTAATGTAATATAAATAATATTTCTAAAAATTCACTTTTGATTTACCTTGAGTTAATTTAATCTTAACTTAACTAAATTACAATATATATATGTATCGGCTGTAGAGCTTAAATGCGATGTCTTTTACGTTTGAAAATTAATTTTTTTCACTAATTAGGAATAGTATCGTCGGTTTGGATCTAATTCCTGCGTTCCCTTAACTAAATTAATTTTATAAGCAATCAACTTAAACTCAACTTAATTTAAAAAATCATCAACTTACCCAACCCTGATATTAATTCTCTACATATCTCTTATACACACAAATTATATAGTCCGGATAATATATCAATTTTACTACTAAATATTTGTCCAAATATTATTTACAATATAAATTTTTCATCGACATTAAAATATAAACACATTGAAATATAAAATTCAATATTTATTAAATTAAATCTCATTATATTTATTTCACTATATTAAATTTTTTTTTTATAATATTATCTTCATATTTAATTCTATTACATTCATTTCATTATATCAAATTAAATATTCATCTTAATATTATAAATCATACAATAGACATCTCTCTCGTTGCACGATCAATTAAAAAATGACACCCTTCTTAATTTCCAATAACGAAAGATCTTACTTGACCCCAACGTTCCGCACCGTGCCCAACTTCTCTCGCGCTATATTACAGCAGTCGTACACGCTATAAACCATCCTGCTTTAAATTCCAGGCTCTCTCTCCGTCGCGACCAGGGGTTGGAGTAGAGCGACGTAACGCGCAGAGGGAAGCGGCAGAAGCGACGAGAGAAGGGCTGGCGACGAGGAGCTTGGAGGGCGAGACGGGATTGGCGGCAGCGAGCGCGGCGACGAGAGGGTTGAGGGTGTTCGCCGGGGGTGGAGAGGGTGCGTGTCGGGGTAGCGAGAGGAGGGATGCCAGGCCGCCCGCCGGTTCACCCTCACTAACCCGCGGCTCGCTCGACTCTTCAGTGCGGCCTGAACGGTTAACCGGCCTACTTCTCTCTCTCTCTTCCTTGCGCTCTCCGCCGTTTTGGTCCCGCGAATCGCCGCTGGAGTTCTCGCCGTCGCGACAGCATCAGCATCATCATCATCAGCATCAGCGTCATCGTCATCGTCATCGCCGGCACACCACCACCACCGTCACCGTCAACACCACCTGGAGGCTGGTGCCGTATTCACCGATCCGGATGTGACATCGCGCGAGAAGAGATGTGAGATAAGGAATCCTCGCCAGGAAGGACTCCGCTTCTCTCTCTCTCTTTCCTTTTCCACCCTCTTTTTCTCTTTCTCACCCCTATCCGTCTCTCTCTCTCTTTCCGTCTTCGCGAGATCAAGCTCTCTCGCAGCCTCCGCGGCGGCTCGCCGCTGCGGATAACCGGCCTAAGGGATAGAAGAGGAGAGAGGGTGCTTTTTGTTCTTCTCCCGCTCGCGAGTGCATTTTTCGAGATCCCGAAGGGAGAGTGTCTCTCTCTCTCTTTTTTCCCCATCTATCTTTCTCTGTCTATCTCCTTCTCGTCGACGCTGACGACGACGAACGGACGCTACCTCGCTCCAGAGGGGTAAGTGTCTATCTCTTTTTATCTCTTTCTCTCTTCTATTATAACGAAGATCGATTCTTCTCTCTCTCTTTCTCTCGGTTTATTACGCGGCCTCCCGTAAAAAGAAAAAAAAAAAATATACGTCTCGTCTCCGATCGCGTCCTCGCTTTCTTCCCTCTCTCTCTTGGTGTTCCCGCTATTCTCATTATGTTCTCGTTATCCTCTCCGCGCGAAACACGACGCAGAAGGCCGCGAGAGGGAGAGAGAAAGCTGCGTGGATCTGCGTGGGGCTGCGTAGACGACAGGCGGAAAGGGGTGGCCTGCGATGACGGTTGACGGCTGACTCGGAGCAGCCGAACAGGCCGGATCGTTCGCTCGCGATCAGAAGGGTTGGAGTTTTAACGGGGTGTCTAGCGCTTAGAAATCTGGAACACCGGCCAGTCAGGGAATTTGAGAAATCCGGAAAGTCGGGACATTTTTTTTTTTTTACTATTTCTCTGGATTTTTCTGTACATCTGTCTCAATAATTTTGACATTTGTTGGGTTCAATAAATATCTCAGGATTTCGTGATTTAATGTTTAATTGATTTATCGTATAGATATATGTAGATTATAGATTTGGAAGAATGGTAAAAGTGAATTTCTGGGCTTGGAAAATCTGAAAAAGTCGGAATTTTATAAATCTGGAATTGTAGGGAAGAGTCAGGAAATTTTACTATTTAGCTTTGGATTTTTGCACATTATTCTACATCTGTATCAATAATTTGACATTTTTTATTAAGTAAATAAATATCTCGAGGATTTCATGATTTAACATTTAATTGATTTATCATATAGATATATGTAAATTATAGATTTGGAGAAAATATACTAAAATGTCAGGAAAAAGTGAATTTCTGGGCTTGGAAAATCTGAAAAAGTCGGAATTTTATAAATCTGGAATTGTTAGGGAAGAGTCAGGAAATTTACTATTTATCTTTTGGATTTTTGCACATTATTCTACATCTGTATCAATAATTTTCTGGGTTAAAAATCGATTCGTTAATTTATATTTCATCGTCGTATTATTTTATTTCAATGTGTTTGATAGAGATAAAATAAAAAAATTTGATATATTATAAATAAAAAACGTGATTATTTAAACAGTTTATAGTGACATGTTTGTTTCGATTATCGTACATAATGCAGATTGTATAATTGATTTAAATTTTTGTTTTTTAACTTCCGAATCTTTTTATTGTTGACAAAACTATCTCAAGGATTTCATGATTTAACATTTAATTGATTTATCATGTAGATATATGCAAATTATAAATTTGAAAAAAAAAAGTCAGAGAAAAAATTAATTTGTGGTCTTGAAAAATCTGCTGGACACCCTGGTTAAATTTTCCTGAAAATTAGTAAATTAAATATAAATTATTGTATATGATGAAATGAAATTTCTTTCACATTTGAAATCTACAAAGGCGCACACATGTCTGTCTAAACATAAGCTGCGTGGAATTACATGTTTCGCAATGTACCGTCGCGAATTACAGATCCGAATCTAAAATGAGTTTTACGAGAGAAAGAGGGAGAAACGAATGAGTTTTAGGATGTAGGGGAGACTGTAAAATCGCAAAAATATGCTAAACCTATCTGCAATTGTTCTTTGAAATTTTTTGTGCTTCTCTCAGTGTGCTATTTATTTATTTGGCCGCCAAGAGTTATAATTGCAAACTCTGTGCGCATAATTCTCCTCATTGAAATATTTATTCAGATCTATTTCATCTGCATAATGTGATAAATAATGCATCGACTCCGAGACTGCACTTTTAAATTATAGACTTTAAGTACGCTGGCTTTTTTGCTCAGTATATATATATATATATATAGAATATTTTTTATTTATTTGTATATTTTATATAATAAGACTAAAAGCATATCTACACATTTATATATTATATAAATTATTTCTTTAATATTAACATAGTATGATATATAATATTATATATATATATATATATATATATATATCATAAAAGTACATATGAAAATATATAATTGTTATAAAATTATATTTATTAATTATATTACATCTAATATAATATATGAAAGTGTAGACGTTTTTTCTTATCGAAAAACTTGGCAAAAGGGACGTGTCGATTCCGCGCAACTTCTCCCTGAAATTACAGGCTTTTGATCCGCTGCTCGGCCGCTTTTGTTCTTCTTTCCACCGAATGTAACAAGTATATACACATCCTGCGTTTGAAAAGGATCGTGCTCGGCGAAACTTTTTGCATGCGCGAGGCATACGTACTTATATATATATATGCTGGATAATGTGTCGATTAAAGGCCGCACCATATTATCCACCCCCTCCGGCCATCTCCCCCTATTTTCACCCCGGGTTACTCGTTGTGGAATAATTAACCGCTATGCAGCAACGTACCGCGAAACGACGCGATCGATTTTAGGTCACGATCGTTCGCCCGTAATCCGATTAGTTTCTGCAACAGAATGATAAGTAACGACGACGGCGATAAACAATGACGCCACCAAGCGGAGGAAGGGGGAAAAGGAACGAAGAAACGATATAAAGGACGACCCTCCACGATGGCTTGTCGTCCCGGCCCTATTATCGAGCGAAAAAGTTGGCTACTTTTTTTTTTTTTTTTTTTTTTTTTTTTTTTTTTTTTTATTCCCTTTTTTCGTCAGTCGTCCGATAAGTGGAGCGAAAGTGATGTGCGTTTGGAGTGTTTCTATTTTTATATTTAAAACATTTTTCTTCTCTTTTCGGTTACTGTAATCATTAATCGCGCGCTTAAATTCAGTGTTTTTGCGCCGCGAATAATAATCTAACGATAAGATAGGGAGGAGGCTGATGTTTGCCTCTCTTTCTTTTTACGTACTGTGAAAAGAAATTTGGTAACTCGACTAAATCTTTCAATTAAATTGTAATTTTGTTAATTGAACATATATTAGTATTTGAGTCAAATATACGTTTTTCTTAGATTTAATATGTCATATTTAATTTAAATATTTTTATATGTTCAATTAAAAAATAATATTTAGTTGAAAGGTTTAATCAAGTTAACAATTTTTTTTAAGTGATAATGAAAAGAAATTAACTTGACTAAATCTTTCAACTAAGTTGCTATTTTGTTAATTGAACATATATTAGTATTTGAGTCAAATATACGTTTTCTTAGATTTAATATGTCATATTTAATTTAAATATTTTTATATTATATGTTTAATTAATATTTAGTTGAAAGGTTTAATCAAGCTAACAAATTTTTTTCAGTGATACGTCCTGAAAAGAAATTTGTTAACTCGACTAAACCTTTGCTATTTTGTTAATTGAATAGATATTATTACTGAAGTTAAATATACGTTTTGTGTTAAATTTAATATGTCAGATTTAATTTAAATCCCCCAAATGACGTCATTCGACGTCAAAATGACGTACGCTTGCTATCTGGGTATTTTTATATGTTCAAAATAATATTTAATTGAAAGTTTTGCTCAAGTTGCCAAATTTTTTTATAATAAATAAAACTTTCGGCGCTTCGGGAGTGTTTCCCGCAAATTGACATTAGCCATTGTAGGATAAAAGCGAGTCTTTCTGTCAAATGAGGGTTCGCCATTAGGCCTCGTTATTGGTCCTTCGCTTTTACTTAGTCGTAACGTCGTTTCGTGACGACGTATCGTCAAAGGAAAAACATTTTACACGAAAGACCCTTCCTCTCTCTCTCTTTCGCTCTGATTGGCAGAGTCGGGTCTAATTTCCCGTCCAATTTGCACTTCGTACGATCCGGTGACGTCACCATCTGTCATCTGTTTTTTTTTTACCTGTCAAACTCCTTCGCTTTTTTTTCACACGTCGCCTTGGACGAAACAAGGTATCTCTTTTACCGCAGAAGGCTCCTCCGTAAATACTTTAACACTTTACGTTCGATCGTGTCCTGCCATTATTTACTATACACACATCGGCGAGAAGAGGAGCGATTCTCTATTTTTATCTAAAGTTATAACCGCGTTTGTGGGGGATAATCGGGATAATTTATCGTTCGCTCGAGATTTTCACGGATCTTCGCAATTTCTTCCCCAGATTTCTCATTATACATTTTCCCGGGGCGAAAAAAAAAGAAACAAACCTCTCCGAGCAGTTTCGCTCGAGATTTTAATTTCCGATCGATTCGCGTCCCGCCGAAAATTCTCCAGCAAAAATGGAAATTCCAAAGCTGGAAAGGGACGAGTTTTTTTTACTTTATTTGTAGTGCACAGAAAAAGAATTTGTTAACTCGACTAAACTTTTCAACTAAATTACTATTTTGTTAAATCGACATATATTAGTATTTAAGTCAAATATACGTTTTGTTAAATTTAATATGTTATATTTAATTTAAATATTTTTATAGGTTCAATTAACAAAATAATATATTTATTTCGAAATCAACATATCATTTCTATAAATATGTCGGCTAATTAGGCTCCTACAGCTGACATATTTATAAAAATAATATTTAATAATATATTTAATAATATATATATTATATAATATATAATAATAAAATAATATATTTTTTTTTATTAATATATATTTAATAATATATATTTATAATAATATTTAATAAAAATAATATTTAATTGAAAAGTTTAGTCAAGTTAACAATTTTTTTTCAGTGTACAAATTCGTACTATTTTGGACATAATTCCGGATGGAATCTAAAAAAATATTTACAATATTAAGAATATTATTCGGCTCTCGAAATCGACACATAATTTTTATAAATGCGTCTGCTAATTTGGCTCAAGTTAACAAACTTTTGTTTTTCAGTGTACAAATTCGCACTATTTTGGACATATAATTCGAGAGCATAATTCCGGATGGAATCGATAGGATCCGATCGTGTGAGGGAACGAAAAGCTCGGCAAAGCGGCGAAAATCGATTTAACTGCGAGGAGCGAAAAGTTGGAAAGCGACCGGAAGCCGGAGAGGGAGAGGAAGGAAGAAACGGAGCGTGAACGCGGAGAGC